ATATATAATATATATATATATTATATATATATATATATATATATATATATATTATATATATATATATATATATATATATATATATATATATATATATATATATATATATATATATATATATATATATATATATATATATATATATATATATATATATATATATATATATATATATATATATATATATATATATATATATATATATATGTATATATATATATATATATATATATATATTATATATATATATATATATATATATATATATATATATATATATATATATATATATATATATATATATATATATATATATATATATATATATATATATTATATATATGTTAATCCTAATTTGGTTATTTGGCCAGTTTTCATACTAACCAGCTAATTTGAAAACGGACTAAATAGGCTGTTATTTTGTAGGAATCAGCCAGTTCCGACAAATTACCAATGATCAGTGGATGGTTGATAGAAACTGCCTGGTTTGCTTCAGTTATGATGAAGATTTTTATTTAAGCATAGTAAAATAACAGCTGGTTTAGCTACTAACTGGTTAATTTATAGACTTTATTTCAGTTCATGTTAATATAGGAGGGTTAATATGGTAACAAACTTCCCGGTATTAAGAGTAAAGACAATTTTTTGTTAATTGTTAAGATTTTTTAAAAATAAATTTACTATTCCACGTTATTCCAGAACTTACAAATTTACATTTTTTGTTGAGACATCTTTTGGTATACTGCAGACACAACTACAGACCGAAGTGTAATTTCTGTTTACAAATTTCAAATTGATTTGGGCATTAAGTTGTTTTTGAAATTCCAAGTCTATAAAAACCATTTTTGACAGCCATTGCTAAACTTAATATACCTCTATGATTACCTCTAGAGAGTTCAACATCTGCAACAGGAAATCTGCGCCTACTTAATAAATGGGTAGTTCGCTTTGTCTGTACTATAAGGTGCTAACTCTTTAATGCTTCTAAATCTCCTCACTAATTCATCATACTGAAGTTTCTTAAAAAATTTATAATTATTGGCCTTATCCTCTAACTTGGCCCTTAACTGGTTATTGTACCCATATTTTCTTTAAAAATGTAAAATTTAAGTACACCCAAATTTTGAAAAAAATATTAAAAACGTAACATATTTTGGTGTTGTCAAATTTAAAGGTTTGAGTAAGAATGATGAAGAATAGGTTTTTTTTCCTAATATTAATAATAAAGTTTCCTATATGGTTCCAACTTACTAAGACATATTGTAGTTAGTTGTTAATTTGACTTTACAACTTACAAAAGGTTAGTTTTCTCCAGTTACTCTAAGGTATATTATCTTCAGGACTTCCAGATAATGTAATTATTAAACCATTACCGGTATCGCTGAAAATGTATATAGAAAGAAAGGATTATATTATTCGATCTAGTTAAGTCATTTTTCGTGCGCTTTGCCTCCGATCGCATAAATAAATGATTGGCTATCGAACAGGAAATGCACGAGAAGGAATTCTTGTCTTTTTTGTTACACAAAACGTATTTATTCAACACAATTATCGACTGTGGGTTATTTTTGCCAAGTTCACTATATTTTTACGCTCAAATTTTTATCCGTTTTGCCCCACCATTAATAAATCTGGCGCAGTTTCATTTGATCAAAAATAGATACTAGCTAGCCTTTCTATATTGCAATCAAAATGGAGTTTTGGTTAATTGCGAGATGATTTCGGTATAAATTTAATATTGTCATGATTTTTAATGCAAAGATTGACAAAAATTGTATCACTGGGACCAGAAAAATTTAATTTAAATAAGAAATTAAAATTTAGTTCACATAAAATTGTTACCGAAATGTTGTGTATTTTTTACAGGACATAGAAATCAGCACGTCAAAAATTGATAAAACAAACATACGGACCGAGTGCGTCGGTCGACCCTCAAGTGGCAAAAAAAAAAATTTGTCTTTTGGTTAATAAAAAAGCCATTAGTCATTTCGGGACAAACAAAAAATTAGTCGTTTTGCAAATTGAAACATGGGCGACCTCAGTGGGTCAAATATGGGGAGTTGAAAAAATTTTTAATTTTCTACAGGCACTTGCCTTTGCAATTCTACGCAATAAGGTCGAATGTTAATTTATGCGCTACCTGACCAAACGTCATCTTGAAAATAAATATTTCACGTTCATTAATGGACTTTCAATAAGATAATTAACATCCAAAAGATGAACTTTTTGGACTGGGTTAAAGGGACAGAAATCAAAACCGTAACGGGACCAAAGGCCGTAGTTTCACGTTGAAATTTACCAGTTAAAGTGGTATAGAATTATTTTTTTGCTGCTGTTACAGATAAACTTTGGTGCCTCTAGTATCTGCGATGGTTTTAAAGTTTTCGCTTGAATCAGAGATTGAGAAACTTCACTAAAACCTAATATATAACATATGGTCTATTAGTTGACACTCAAATGTAATTTAGGATTATTAAGCGTAATTTTGTTTTGTCATAGAAAATTTTGCAAAAGAAGCTAAGTATGCTTTAGAGCCTACGACTGAAGAAACCTGATTGGGATATGCAGACAGGGAGCAAAAAATGATCTCGTTTCCGAGACGGTAAGCCATCCTTCTCAATAGAAGGTTGTTTAATACTGCTTGATGAGTAACAATAATGCCACCTTGAAATTTTAAATAGAACATCATCATTTTACAGTATCGAAACAGGCAGCTGCTGCAGCTCAATATGAATGAGTCGTTTTGGTTTCCTGGTATCATCTCCAAACCGAATGATTCAAAATTTCCGCGACGTGGAGAATAAGCTTTAAAAAAAATCAATATACTAAAAAATATGACTGAACAAAGAGGTGTGAAATAAAATCGGTGTTTTTGCTACTTTTTCTTATAATTCTTTCCATCATTCATGGAAGCGGAACATAGATTAAAGTTCGTCGGGCTAGACTGTTTTCGATTTCTGGGACGCAAAGGATATATGTTATGTGCCTTTCGCTGTTGCGGCGTACACATAATAGAATTCGTGACTTCTTCGGAACACATTACCTCTTTTTGAGATATACAGAATTTGTCAGTTTTTGCTCGTGCTTGGGAAACCTATAACTCGTAATGAGAAATTCGTTCCCAGTATACACACAAGTTATTAGGTTTCGATACTGAATGGTAATACGCATCAAAAAGAAATATGGAATAGTTTTGTTTTTAAAGGAGAGATGTCGTAAAGTAGCACTCGTGTGCTGAAATACGCAATGTTAATTTCCAAAGGCATTTGAGAGGTTTGAATGTTAATAGGTTTGGTTCTTAATAACTAATTCAAGCTTAAACAAAGACTTGGAAGATTTGCGGTAATTTGAAAGAACGTTAGCATTCTGGTTTGTGAGCCTTTATGATCCAATCGCTCATCACACACAGATCTTAGATGAAGATTTTGAAGATTTGAAACCAACGTTTGAAGGTTAATAATATCAGTCTTGTTTGTGGCAATAAGGCAAGTAAAGTCTTTATAATTAATTCAATTGCCCAACCTACGTGGTTCTCAGACGAAAACTTTGCAAAGAACTTTAGCAAAAGCACAGGTGGCGTTTACGTCAATTCGATTGTCAAATCTGCGCGTTTTTCAGACGCAGATTTTGTTGTCGACCAACGTTGTCAAGGAAATTTTCTAATAACGTAAGAGAAGTTATTTTCGTCTTCGTTTACCGAAAAACGGAAGAGTAAATTTTTTAATTCAATTAATTTTCAATGGTTGACTGAGGTTTCGTTGAAGATAGGCAACTAATTCCTTCAAAGGATGTTCCCAAAGGCATTCGAACTATCAATCAGAACAATCTGACAAAAGGTATGTTAATGTGTTTTTTGTTTGTGTTTTGATAACGGAAGTACAAAGGCTAATTTGTAGGGAAAAGGAAAAGACCAATTCGAGTTAACCGGAACGTTAAAGTTAACTGGAGAATCGGCCTTTGATTGCTACATAACGCTAACGGGAAAACCCTACCGACACGTTTGCCGAGCTCTGTTTAATATCCTTCTGTTCTAACTTATTGTGGTCGCTTATTTCATTTAACCTGTTAAGTTGCTGTTTCTGTTATTGATGCCCCGTTATCGATTTTCGGTTGTCAGACTTTGCGAAGATATTTCAAAATCCTTCGTTTGTTGTTTCGTTTACGTATTTCGCAGACGAAGGATTATTCGTTATTAGTTTTCGTATATCCGCTTCTTACTGCCGAAGTTAATTTTCGCACGTGTGTCGAAATTTTATATTGACGTATCTCTGGACCGTTTAAATAAATATACGGGGTGTTTCAATTTATTGTAGCATGAATTTCACAGTTAAATTTTAATCCTTTAAAACGATTGGCTACTACAATCTATAACACGTATTTTTTAACTAAAAAAATTTGCAAGCCACTATTGTAAAAATTTTGCAGTATTGTTTTAAAATAAGACCTATAGTTTCACATTTTACCTTAGTTTGTAATAGTTAATAATTTGTCTGGACTTTTAAAATAAAAGCGAAATAGCCCTTTTTTGAACTTGACGATTATACAGGGTCTACATCTTTTAGATTTAAGATATTTTATTTACACTTTTACACCAAAAACTGTTAACCACATCAAAAATTGACAAGAAGCGGTGCATTTTTATATTAATTGGTGCCATTTCAAAGTTACCAATATTTTTTTAATTATTTTATTAATCCACAAAAAAAATACAATATGTAGCAAAAAATGTATTGAGAATTCTTTAAACAGTGCGTAAAGCACTGGTCCCAAGAATACAAATAACAAATTTATAGAAAGAATAAATTGAAAAAAAAAGGTAAGTATACAACCCATTACTTAATCTTATTACTATTATACATTGTAGAGTACTTATATTTAATTTACATTCAAGTGAATTTTTAACTGTTTAACAAATTGTATTTATTTATATTTTTTAAACTTTCTAGAAGCATGCAATACTCGATTGGAAAGTCCTTTATTAGTTCAGATATTATAATTGAAAATATCATTATGAGATCTGGTGTCATAGATGTGAACGTCTTTATTAAATATAATCTTTGTGTTAGACTTTTGTATTTTATTTATCATCCTATGCATAAATTTACATTGTTCTAGCCTAAGAAATTTGTCTATTTTATAAATGCCCAATTCTCTATACAAATTTTCTGTATGCGTGCGACGATCATAATTAAATAAAATTTTGAAGAATTTATTTTTTAGAGTTTGTATTTTAATAAAATAAGTTGCGCCACATACAGCCCATGTTGGAATTAGGTATCTCATATGTGTTACAAAATAACAATTGTAAATATTCATTTTACTACCGTAACTCAGAGAATTTCGTCTTTAATATACGGCACTGACTATTGGGTAAATTATATTTGATATAAAATTAATATGCTCAGCCCAGTTTAAACTATCATCGATCAGTAGGCCTAAATATCTAATTTGTTTAACACGTTCTATATTTATATTCTTAATACTTATCTTGGCATCTGTATTACTTTGTTTTTTTGCTTGAACAACATGTATTTAGTTTTATCAATACTGATTTTTAATTTATTACCCAAAAGCCAGTGCGCATATTTTTTTAAATCAGAACGTATTATTTCTTGTAAAAAGATGTTATGTTTTTGACGATATTGTAGCTTTTTTAATTCTTTTTATCAAAAACTGTTAACCACATCAAAAATTGCCAACAGGCGCTCTATTTTTATAATAATTGGTGTCATTTCAGAGGTACCGAGTTGTTTCCATATCCATTAATAATATCTACGCCAGTGGATATACTAAAAAGTTATTATGTTTTGGTGATAATGTACTTTTTAACATAATAATTATTTTTACCTATTATGAGTTTAATACATTTAATTTTAATAATTTAATTTAATGATAGGTCTGCGAATGTATAAGGATTATTTTATATAAACTAAGCATCTGTTGATTTTAAAAGTACTAATGACCGTAAAATTAACAATAAACGGATACGGCCTGTACCTATTTTGGATTGTGCTGTTTTAAAACAATTAAATGATCAGCAAGTGATCTGTACAGAAACGTATTATGCTAAACCATTTTTGAACACCGTTAATTTCATTAACAGTATTTTGTCGATTTTACCTACTTTAAAATCATAAAATTTCAATCATAAGCATTGACAAAAATTAACCTCTCGTGGTTTGTTTTTTCGATGGTAAATTTATTTTCATGTTTTGGAAATTTTCATGTTTAAAAATAAATTAAGAAAGTTATGAATTTTCACGTTAATGGCGGGGGATAAAATTATTTTATCTGATTTTGTCTTAAATCGATGACACGGTTAAAAATCATACTATTACTACCCTTCTTACACAATGGATCGTTCTCAATAGTCTCCTACAATATAAAATAAGTATCCAACGACATGGAAAATGATAACCTTTAAATGTCGTGCCAACACCGCTCATGATTGTTATATTTATAGCGCCGAGGTTGACAACGTTTTAGATCTTAGCCCGAGGAACAATTAAAATTTAAGTCGGGTAGTTGTATTACGTGCTTTTTTCGTGGATCGAATTGAAACTATGATAGATCACTCGGAAAATTAATTCCGTCGCAGCATTTGCCTGTGCAAAGAACAAGGAAAACGGAAAACTCGGGCGGGGTTCGGAAATACCATCCATTACTATTCAATCCACGGTTTGTTGTGAGCAAGGCACCCTGTCACTCTTGTCTCTCGATATACTACACACCCCTTTGGCGTGAAAAATAACTAATGCCCTGTTTCACTTTTCCGATCGTGTTGTTTTTCCATCGGAATTTTTTTTTTATTTGAAAATTGATTAAGGTAAAGCTAAACCTTAAGCTCCTTTTTAATGTCTAGTTCATAGCATTTGCTTAGGCTCGTGTGTCTACAAATCAAAAGGAAATTAGCGGCGTAGCAATAAAGCCAATTCTTTTTGCCGGAGATGGACGTTTTTCTCTTAAAATCGAACAGGACTGACGACATTTTGCCGCCTGGGACCTATCATTTTTCCCCAGCCAGAAAAAATGTTCCATATAAGCAGGGCAGAAAGTCCGAGTCTTCATATCGAAGCTATATTTATTGGATTGACTTTTGACTCGATCGATTTGTATAAACGCATTTCTTTACTTAATTACTAGTTTTATTGTATTGCTCCAATGTCAATAATTAATAAAAAAACATTTTCCAAAGTAATGTCCGGGGTGGTGAAGTAATTTTATTCTTTTATTTGTAATTTTTCCGACATATTGTAAGACAAACTTTAAACTGTAAAAATTGTAATTATAAAGATACAACTGAACGAGAATTGAATTAAACAGCAGCGTCGAAATTGCCGGGTGATATTCTAAAACAATTAAAGCATATATTTGATATGTTTTTTTTATTAACAAAAATGAAACTAAAATAAAATAAAATTGTTAATAATGAAAACTCATAAAAAGTATATGACTGCAAGTTTAGCTGTTAACTGGAAAGGGGTCTTTTCTTTTTTATTTTCAATTTTCCCTTATTTTCCTATGAACTTCATACTTATTTCAATTATAAAATTACATCTGAAACAGAATTGATTAAACAGCAATTTGGCAGCTTTAAAAAAAATACGATCATATGTCTAACATTGCTATTCAAAAAATATTTGCAGATAGATTTTGAAAATTTGATTTTGAATTGGTAATTTAGTTAAAAAGGTCCACGCATTTTCCAGCTGATATTCTCAAAGAGCTAAAGCGGTCGTAAAGTGGTTAGTATACTTCTGATATTTTCATTATATTAGATACATTTTTTAAAAATAAAAACTAAAATAAAATAAAATTGATGAGTAGTTAATTTGAGCTAAAATGTCTTGATGTTTTTAGTAATAATTTTATCACTCGCAATAGTAGGCGAGAATTTTCGAATTCGTTCATTAATATAATTCCAAAAAATCAAATTGCAAAGGAGATGCGGCATGGCATTTGTAGAACGAGAAAATAACAGAATATCAAAATACCTTAGAGGTACGAGCACAAAGGACTTTGCATGTTTATGGATTTAACCCCGGCGAGTTATATAATTTTCTTGGTAAAGATTTTAGGCACATTTTAATGAGTTTACGATAGAAATTAATTTTAAAACGACCTCAAAGAAGGTCTTTTTCCGAGATCGGTAGAAAATTCACTTTGATGCTCGAAAGAAACACAATATGGGGTCTTTTTAAGGTCGAAAACACGGGAAAGTCATCTTTTTTTTCTTGATAGCTCTAAGCACATGTCAAAAACGATATTTATTCTTTTAAAAATTTTGCTAATGTCGTTTCAAATAAACAATTCGCGTGGAGTGAAGTTAAATTTGAACTGAAATATCTGAAAAGCGTACCTACAGCCGATTAAAAGTCGATATAATAAGCAAGCAATGTTCGTATATTTTCGGTATTAATAACATCGAATAACGGCAGAGATATTCCAAGAATGTCATTTTATTTTCGGTAAAAAATTAAATTCTAAACAATAATTTTATTAATAAAATCCGTCGACGTATTTTGAAATCTGCTCTCGACAGACGATTTTTATACGGGGGAACAGACTTTGGATTTAATTCGTTATGTCTTTAATTAAATGGTAATGCAATTTGAACTACAGGCTTTACGATTTGGATACAGTTAGACAAATTTGAATTTTTAATTCTGTAAATCGAAATTATAGCTAATGTTATTTCAAGAAATATCGATTCTCGCAAAACTGTGATAAAATTCAAAGCATACATTCTCTTAAATCTCAAAGAGTAATTAATCTGCGAAATCTATATAAATAACTTTCTAAATAAAGTATCGGTCTTAAGAATCATCTGTGCCCCCCATCAACCCAGGTGAATACATACCTGTATTGTACGGACCTTGGAATTCCCTCACTTCCACACGAATTAAGCAAGCTTAAGCACCTCTCGCCAACCAGTTTGGTTATGGTTAAGACAATGAGAATAATATTGTTTAAACAGATTACGTATTAACAAATTTGTTCAAAAATGCCGAGAAAATTGCTAAAATTCCTAATTTTGTTCGACAATACATCTTTGCTTTATTTCCCGGGTCAGTTTTTGTCCGGAAGAGTGTTAATTGAACTACAAGACGACACACCTGCATTGGGTAAGGAGATTTTTGCTATTAGGTTCTTAGGGTTAAACGCTGGCAGTTTTTAAAGTTTGTTTTTTTTTGCATTTGAATTAAATTCTAATATAAGAATTATTGTGTCGTATTATATTTTTACAATATTATATAAGGTACTACGAATGCCTATACGCCTACACACATGCATACTAATAAGTAACAATGTCGTTTCTACTCTTTGCGTTTTGGGTTGTGCATATATAAAAATTAAGGACGAAACAGATTTCTATTTAACTGCCAATCTATGTGGCAACAAATGAATGGCCCCGGGAAATAATCTTCATGGATGTGTTTGCTGTGAAGTTCTTTCTCAGAAGGTATCGACGATATAAAGAAATTCTCTAACCTACATATTTGCAATAACAAATTATGTAGAAACCGATGAAGTGAAACTGAGGTAAAAGGCTTTTTTCCAAATTATTCATTTAGGTTTTGGATTGCTAGAACAATTTACTCCTAGTTCGAAATACCATTTTGATTAGCAATTTACTATTTTTTCATTTTATAATTAAATGAATCTGGAAGATATGGTCCCTGTTTGCGTTGTAGGGTTGCATTTGCATGTAGTTGGCGAAGGGGTAGTGAGAGTGCGGACGTCTCGTCAAGAGAGGGTGTATGACAAGGAAAATTATATCGATTTTAGAATGAGACTTTTGGGTGAGCCAGGTACGTAATTAAACCGAATTGAAAAAAATTCCTGAACCGCCTTTTTAATTCATTCTAAAAAGTTGCGTAAATAAAATTTCTACACCACACCATAAAACTTTAATTTCACATGCACACGATTATTGCGCAAAAATAAGTTTGCACTTTCTTTCAAAACAACCCTTATTTTCGGCAATAGCCCCTATTTGATACGCTTGTTCGGCGCATGCACCATATATTAGACGAGTAGAACTCAAGCTATTTCCTCAATACTTTTAGGTCAAGGACCATCGGTTCTATCGCCCGGAATTCATAGTTTTCCGTTTAAATTAGGGTTACCATTGGGTCTTCCATCGACTTTCTTAGGAAAACACGGTTGGGTTCAGTACTACTGCAAAACGGCCCTACGAGAACCGAATGGTTTGACCCACAAAAACCAGCAAGTATTTATAGTTATGAACCCGATAGATTTAAATTTGGAGCCTTCAGTTTTAGGGGTAAGGACATCGCAAATGTTTGTATTCCATGCATGTACCCTTTTTGACTAATTTCTTATTTTTTTGTTACGTTAATATCTAATTTAGACCATTTCGGGACAGGAAACGTTTAAATGTGAAGTGGAGCACAAATTTGGAGTGAGTTGTGTTGGGTCCGGGGCTGTAGTTTGTAAAGTAACTTTAGATCGAGGCGGATATGTTCCAGGAGAGAGTATAGGTAAGAAATGATATAAACTAAGGCATAGATCCTTATTCCAGTTTCCAGGAGTGTCTGCCAGTGTTTCAAACAGAAGCAGACTGACGATAAAAAGTACAAAAGCCGCTTTGACTGAGACCATAACATACATGGCCAGAGGAAAAGTCGTGCAGACGGAAAAAAGGGAGCTAGCTTCTCTCACCAGAGGAAAAATCAGACCTCTTGAGCGGGACGAATGGGTTAACGAACAACTGTATATACCACCATTACCGCCGACGAACTTAAGAGGGTGCCATTTGATTAGGATTAATTACGACGTATTTGTAAGTCATTTGTCATAATGCTGCGAATTTATTTTTAAGATTTTAAGAATTTTGGGGCAGGGCGGAATTGTGTAAATATTTGGCATTTCTTATGGCGTCGGATTTTAATTTTTGTCGACCAACTTGCAGTTTACCATAGAACCCAAAAGCCTTCAAAAGGAAGTGAAACTTCAATTACCAATTGTAATGGCGACGTATCCCCTAAGGACGGAAAATGACGAAACTGGTTACAAGTCTGGTACACACTACCCATCAACCTTACCAATATTTCGACCTTGGTTAGAAGATAAGCCTTCACAGGACTGAAATAGTCGCCATGGTTATAGTATAAACGCTTGAAATCGAGTAATTTCTAAATTAATCATCGCGATTGGATATCACGGAAAACCCGAAGTATATTTTTGGGTCAGTTTTGCCATTGTGATCGAACCTTGAGGGTTGGTACTATTGTTTCTACTAATACAATTAATTAAAGGATCGTTTCGATTGAATAAAGATTTTTTCTACAGCTTTTGTGTAGCCACTTGTTAATAGTTTTCGTTCCTATTCCGTAAATCTTTGTCTAGCAGTAAGTACAGTGTCGTTCGCGGAAGATGCTCCAATCCTATGTGTTGATACTTAAAACACCACAAAAGAATAATTTTACATATACAGGATGTTTAGCTTTGGTTAATTTGTTTCAGTTGTGCAATAAACAAAACTAATTAGGCATAAGCCAGAAACGAAATCTGCTGTTTTGATGGTCATGTTTAAAAAAAACTGGAAACCAAAAAAACCCACATTAAAAATTGCACAGTTTTTATTAAAAAATATATATATAATTGTTTAAAATGCGGATATTTCGACAGTAAAATCCAATTAATTCGTTATATAAATAAAAAAAAAATAAGTCAACAATATACACAAGTGTATAAAAGTAAAATTTAAAAATATTTAACAATTCCTGGCACATATTCCTACGCAAGGTTTGTATCCGGTAAAATTTCCCTGATATTTGTGTACTCCGAGTCCGAGGTAAAAAAGTCAACTAGCTCTTTGAAGGAGGGTCTATTCTCTGCTTTCGTTTCCCAGCAGCTTAACACTATTCGATAAATATGGTCGGGACACTCATCTGGCTGCTCTAGCCTACCGCCGCTGTCTATTAACTTTATCGCCTAAAATATTTAATGCAAATTATTTGCGAACTGAGAAAGAATAGTGTAACTTACTTCAGAACCCTTCATATCACCATAGGGAGATTCTCCGAATGAATACATTTCCCATATCGTGACTCCAAAACTCCAGACGTCACTTTTATGGGAGAATTGACCGTAATTGTAGGACTCCGGAGCGTACCACTTCAGTGGCCATTTACCACCCTGCAATGCTCTTTAATACACTGAAAATGTAGTCTTTAAACGGCATTTGAATTGGATACACTTACCGGTAATATTCATGATCTGTTCCTAAAGCCCTGGAGAGACCAAAATCGCTGATTTTCGCTTGAACTTTGGAAGCCAGCAGAATATTCCTCGCTGCCAAATCCCTATGTACAAATCTGCTATCCTCCAGATACCGCATCCCTTTGTAAACCATAACACTAATGTCAATTGTCACCCAAACACACATAAGAGGTTATAGAGAATTAAAAAAGAAAACAAAAGTTTTGCATAAATAGAAAATATTCGTTATCAATTATCACCCAACAGCTAGAAGGTTCCTTTTTTAGTTATGGAACACCAGTCAATGTTTCGAAAGCAGAGATCACTGCACTAGAACACTGTGCAAGAGAAATGAAAGCGAGGAAGATCCGTAACAAATCAATTGCAATTTACACCGATAGTCAAGCGGCTATAAAAGCCATACAATCTAATAAAATAACATTCAAGTTAGTTCTGGACTGCCACAAGGCATTAAACGAGATAGCAAGCCAGAACAAAGTTACTCTATTACGGGTACCGGGCACGGAGGACATAATGGTAATGAAGGCGCAGACGACGCAGCCCGCGAAGGGTCGTCAATGCGCAAAAACAGCCATCAGGGATTGGATGGACCGAGAATCCCGACGATGGTGGAGGGACATGCCGGGACAAAGACAGGCCAAGGAATTCCTAAGGGGCCCATCGGCCAATTTTACAGCGGACCTACTAAGCTACAATAGAAAAGCCGTAAGAATAATGGTAGGTCCACTGACGGGCCACTGCAGGCTTAAGAGGCATCTAAGCCTGATGGAAGTGGAAGAAAACACAGAATGTAGATTCTGTCAGGAAGAGGAGGAAACAGCCGCACACATACTGTGCCACTGCCAAGGCCTAGCGAGAGTATGTTTCCATCTGCTGGGCGATACCAAACCAGAGGCAGAGAGCTGTACGAGGGAGCCATTATCGAAGTTGTGGAGTCTGGTTAGAGAGACGAACCTGAATAAAGCTCTATAGCTTTGGAGAGAGTCACAATAGAGCCTCTCCCAACTGTTAATCTTAATCCTAAGAAATTATTGACTATTACCACAAGCAATTTGGGCCGCCCATATTTTGAATTCGAAGTTTGGGTTGATTTCGTCTTTGTGGCCTTCAATATACTGCAAAATCGATCCTAATGGTACTAGTTCCTGTACCATGAGCAAAGACGGACCATAGGACAGTCCTATTAATTTAACTATGCAGTGGTGTTTTAATTTTATCATAACCTGAGCTTCGCTTAAAAACGCCCCTCTATTGCCTTGGTCAACTTGTTCGCTTCTTAAGGTTTTAATTGCTACTTGCAAATCTTCATTGTCGTTTGTTAAGTAAGTACCTTCGTATACCGATGCAAATTCACCCTCGCCTATTAAATTACCCAGTCTTAATCTTTCGTAGGGAATGTAGCCCTCCTCATTATCATCTTTATCGTTGTTGTTATTCATCGAATTTGCAAAATCACTGGTGAACGTTATGCTTTCGAAAATATCCGGGCTAGGTAAACCGTTATTGTTGTCGGTGGTCTCGGATTTTGGAAGCTCAAATTTCGGTTTCGTTAATGTGTTTTTCTTTTTTCTTAAAGTGGACAATGTGGAAATCTAAAAAACGTATTTGTATGCAATACTTGTAAAATCAGTCTAAATTTTATCGTTAGTCAAAAAAAGAAAAACAATAACGATGCGTGTAAAATTGTGTTACGCATAAATCCATAAAACAAACGTATATTTTGGAACAATGTAATGTTTGTTAATAGCATACACACATATAGACGTGATTACGTGTAACAGGCTATATTCTGTGGAAGATATCTAAAAACAACCGTTTTACGGATCTTAAATAGCCCAGATAAAACACAGATCATTCAATATATTAACTTACTGAAAAGTTAACGATCGAAGAAAAAATCAATGAAAGGATCTGCACAAAAAAACGATTTAAAATTAAATTGATTAATATCTGGTTGCCAACATACCTGGGGCACAGGGGGTTTTGGCTGAGGCGGAACGGGTGTAATTAATACTGTAGGAAGACCATCCGAGAGAAATTTGTAGTATTCAACAATATGCTCCAAGGAGTCTAACATGGGCCCATCATCAATGAAAAGATAACCATTCCGCTGTTTTATAATGAAATTATAGATTTTATCCTCGTGATACAGGGTTAAAACATTCTCATTGTTCCGATCGCTGAATCTAACTAAAAATGCTCCACATTGGGGATTACTTTGCCTAATCAAAGTTTCTGCTTCGTGTCTATCCAAGGTACCATGGTACCATTCACTTTTATCAGTTTTTGGCACAGGAGATTTGTAATTTTCTAATATTTCAGCACATTCTATATGGCCGAACTTTCTCGCTAGTTGTGACGGTACCAATCCATCTTTTGTTCTAGGGTTGACAGGTGCGTTAAGACTTAACAACTCCATTATTACTTCTTTATGGCCCCGAGTAGCTGCTTCATGCAAAGGCACAGCCCCTGTTATTGTGTTTCTTGCTTGAACATTTGCTTCCCCCACTTCTATTAAAAGTCTTACAGTAGAGGATAAATTGTTCTGACAAGCATACTAAAAAGATAACAATGCTACTCTCACAAAAGATGTTGCTAATTTCTGGTTAAAAATAAAAATGAAACTCACATGTAATGGGGTATAGCCAGCAGTATCCCGTAGATTAACATTTACCCCATGTTGAATTAGATTTCTTAAAATATCATTTTGACCTTTGATACTTGCAATGTGTACAGCGGTCTGTCCATCTTGATTTTTCGCTTCATATCCATGATAACCCGTTTTTAATAATTCTGATACGACAGTGTAATTACCTTGATCAGTGGCTCTGTGCAATAAATTAGTTTGACCATATCTCCTGGAATCATGAGGGGGTGGAAAACCTTTTACATATTCTGTTAAGACTACAGATTCAGTAATAGGGTTCTTTGTGTAATGGTCAATGAGAGTTTCGATTCCATGAAACTTTAAGCATTCATCTATCGAGAAAAAAGTGTCTTGCTGATGTCTTCTTATCTGGAAATTAGTTACTTGAGAGTTGTGTAGAACAGATAGAACGAAATCACAAGGAGATGAATTGCTGCTTCTAACTAAAAATAGACCATCACATTTCCTTTCGTCTAAAAAAAAACGAGTTTCAATTTTAATAACTTTTCGCAAAGTAGTACCTACCGTTTAACAATAGATGTTCGCCTTCTTCGCCACTGATTTTTCCATGATACCAGCAAATGTCATCACATCTATTCATTATTAAATTAAAAGCTTCAAAATAAGTTATCACTCACAATCGTTCCCCCATTTCAATGTTTGTGCAAATTTGTCTTAACAAGGGAAAACAATAAATTGGAAAATAAAACCTTCTAAGAATCGTACCGAACGTCATTGGAATGCAGCGTTGCCAATATTACAACTTCAAGGTCGCATTCTGGATTGTACTATCATTGTGGTGTAAGGGTGTGCCCGGTGCACCGAACATACGTACGATTTCACACGTAATAATTTCCTTTGGTAACTTCAGGACTAACCAGTAGTTATTCTGCGAGTACGACCTACTCGGAAAGTTCAGCATGATGATACCGTCGTTCTACAGTTCAAATTGCATCAAGCATTATTTTCTACGTTCTTTTACAATATGATAGAACAACATATCATATAGACTTGACGTACGTCATGAGACACATTCAAAATGTTATAAATTATAGGTCTGCAAATCCATTTTCAAAAGTCTATGTATGGACTCTGTTGTCGTATTTGAAACGATAATTTTTATGCGTTTGTAAGACTGGTTGCATATATTGTACCATTTGTCAATATCTCAAAAAATCATTTATTTTCTTGGATAGGATATCACAAACCCTTTTCGTTCTTTTGTCAATCCAATGTGTACCTGTCTAATGTAGACAATCCCTTTCCAAATGGTACAGTTACTGGTTTTATACGATTAATTTAAACGAAATATCCGTTAGCGAAATTTAGTTTAAATTTGACCCTACGTATATAATTAGTAAATGTATATAATTAGAACAATAATTTTCCCTAATAAGCGCGAAAATTTGGAGGAACAATGCGATTGGCCGAAACATGGTCAGCGCCTCTGTGATCCGAGATGCGAAACAATTTTGGTGGTTGTTTAAATCAAAAGTGACTATGCCGTTTTAACAGTTAACTATTATTTGATGATCAAAACTTGAAATCTGTTCGTATGCAGGTTTTTAACGTTGATTTATATAACACAAATTTATTGCTTTGCAAAATATTTAGGAATGTCGCGTTTCCAATTATTTCTAGTTGCGTTGGTTTGTAAATCAAGGAGTTTTGTATATTTTTCATAAAGTTGATTTCAATTCTTTATTGCAACAAATAATAATGCTAAATTCATATATGGTAGGAGTATAAAACGAACTAGCGGTAACGTGCCCTACACCATCGCGTCAATAAAGTTGTGGTGAATACTGATTACTGAAGTTATAATCACAAGTTTCTGGATAGTCGGCAGATAATAACGCGCATCCTGAACGTTGTTATAATTGTGTTATATTTGTGATGGTAATTCCAACATCGGTTCTACTTTTCTCAATAAAACTATATACACGTATCACATTTAAAGTATAGAAATTGGTGCGTATCTTGACGCATGATTTTAAAAAAGCACATTACTCCGTATCCAGGCGAACTACTGTACTATTTTGCCAAGACACCGACAGATGTCCTTTAACATTGTTTTTCGGAATATGTATGTGAGGTAGAGAGGGCATTAATCGTCACGGGTATAGAATTCTTTAATCTCCATTTGAACCCGTTTCATTTACCATATTGAAGCTTTAAATTTGTTCCAGAGCTTTGGACTTCATCTATTCGAATGAATAGGAAGCAAACTTTTCAATTATTTTTAAAACTCACAGCATAGTTCCAATGTGGTGGTACTACATTTAGTAGGTACTACCGTTCAGTCATCGAGTTATTGATTGCACCTCTGCCTTGCTCTTTTGGTATTTTTATCTATGTTCTTTTGTTCTCCGTTGTTCACATCGAAAAGTGAAATTTTGGATAAGATTGTGGCGAACTTAAAATTTATATTAGCTAAGAGTTGAAAAATTGTTCAAAACAAGAGGGATAAATATATATACTAGAACACCATATGGAGAAATTGACAACTGATTCTGTGCCCTGCCCACCACGGGAAGAAAATATTGGAATGAAAACACAAATTCCAAATGAAAAACAAGAGACAAAATATGAATTTAATGAGGAGACCATTGATCCCAAAAGGATCTCCGCTGGAGGAGGAAGTAAGGCAGTTACTTTAATTTTCAGCAAAAGATTAATGGGTACATTTTAGTAACCATCATCAACTGCACGGGTATTGATATAGGCACGAAATGCACAGTTAATATTCATAATGGGAATCCGCAGTCCAAAACTCCAACAGTACTCTTGACTCCAAAAATTAAAAACATGTTTAAAAGTAGACAAGTTATTTCTAAGGAAGATATAAAATATTTATCTGGAGTGATTGGAGACTTTGAACAAGCTGCTCGTGAATTAGATTATGAAGAAGGACAAATACAGCAACTTAAAATTGACAATCCTAAAATTAAAGAGGTAATTATGATTAGTTTTGAAATTTCCATTATTGTGAAAGGTTTGAATATTTTAGGCAATTTACCAATTCCTGTTAGACTTTAAGCAAACCAGAAATTCAGAAGCCACCGTTGGTGCAATGGCCATGGCATTATGGAAGGGTGATCAAAAACCTGCGGTTAAGAGTTGGAGTAGTAAAATATATGAGAAACATGCTCAGTTTTTGTAAAAAATATGTTTATTACCTATGTAAGTGTTGAAATTTTTAGAACTTCAAAAATTAAACAAACAGATGCTTGATAGTCAATCAATTCTATTTTAATGTTTTGTTATATTATTGACAAAATATAATAAATTAATATAATCTTTAAACTTATATACTTACTAAACTAAACTATATAAATTTAAATATTTTTTAAATAAAAATCATGTTTGTAAAGTAATAGTGGTCTTTATATTAAATAAATTATAAATTCTTATCCTAGCTTTGAAGCTAGTGCATTGAACTATTGATAGTTCAATGTAAATTTGTCAGGCTTGTACTTGCATTGTTCTATTCAATACTTGAGGGACACATTTGATGTATTCATCTGTAATAATAGATTTGTCCAAGTTCGCGTTTAATATGATCACATTGGCAGGCAATTCAAATAGGGTTTTGTGAAACAACCATTCTTCATGAATCTGATGTAGTGCCTTTAAATATTCCAATGAAACTGATTTCTCTTCTGCTCTGTTTCTCTGCAGCATACGTTCATAAACCACTTCTGGAGTTGTTCTAAGATAAATTATTAAATCCACTCCAATATTGGCATTTTGTTTAATCCATGTAAAATGTTGGTCGATAACTGCAGCTGATGGCAGTGGCAACAGATTATCCTCCTTCATCTTCTCCACAAAGCAATATCGTGCACTATATATTGATCTTTCCATTAGCTTCACTGGGCATTCCGTTTTTCTCACGTGTTGTTGGAGCATGGTGAGCTGCACATAAGACTGGAATGTGAAGCTCCACTTTTTTATGTCCGTATATAAAAGACCCAGGAGGTTGTGGATGTTACAATTCCTCCACATTTCAATGGGTTCTGATAGCACGCAAATATCGTGGTACTGTTTGAAATAGTTTAAAAACGTGGTCTTCCCACTTCCTATGTTTCCCTCGACTATGACCGTAAAAGGACGAGAATCTGATTTGATTAAAGACATTCTTCATAGGTAAAGAAAATTAACTCTGGCCACTATGTTAGTATAACCGCTACAACTCACGACCGATTGCTTTTCCCGCGCTTTCGGGTTTGTTGGCGTCAAATCTAACGGTTATCTGCAATTGTGGCAAATTGAAGCTGTTGGCACACCTGAATTATGATTAGGATTTTACAAAATAAGCTTAGAAACAAGATTTATCGTTTAATAGGCTTTTAGGACATTATATACCATTAGGACATTTTATACCCTATTTCGACCTGAATGAAAAAAAAACTATACCTTAATAAGGAAAAACGTTATTTTTAAGCCACTGCGCATGGTCAGTCTAGGGAATAAGGTTTGGAGGATTTAGAACCATTCGAAAAAGTGATATATTCACGATTTTAATAATCTATAAAGTGAACATTTATGTTTTCGCTAAATTGCAGCAATGTGTCGTAGTGAAGGTATGTTCCCATTTTTGAGCAGAATCTTCTAGCTCAACAAGTAACTCATTACAAAAAAATTAATAAAGTTAAATTGAACCATACTCTCCTACTTTAATTCGAGAAATTGTTGAAGCGGTCTAAGTTCAAGTACCTTAAAATAACGTAGCCGTATTGGAAATGTGACGCAATAATTGACTGTCACTGGTGCGTTCTTTTTCTATTGTGTCGTTCTTACTGGAAATTTTGAAACAGCCAAGAAAATTGGACAACGAGCATAAGTTGAAAACACAACTTTTACAGGCATCCGGTAAGTAAACATTAATTTATAATACGCCTCCCTTATCTGCAATAGTACCTGTAGCTTCCTTTGTTTCATTTTCAACAAGTTTTGACATGTTCTCCTATAGGTTTTAGGCCTGCCTCTCTTTTGCCTAGCGGATTTTTTCCAGTTGAAAAACCGGCGTGGAATGGTCAGGTGTGGATAGTTTTCTAGAACTTCTAGAACTACGTGCCAAGCTATGGACAAAAGAAGGGGCCGGCCTTTAATATCGGATGCTGTGATATTAAAACCCTTGGCATTTAATCTCGAAGAAGCTTTGGAAGTGGAAAGTGTTTATAGGCCTAATTTGCTGTTGGTTCAAAGTGATCTGAAGGCTGGAGAGGTCACATTGACTCTAAGAGACGGAGCTGTCAACATCTTGCGCTTCTTACATATTTGGTTGGATTTACCTCGCAATGTTTACTTCTCAGCTGTTTCTTATTTAGATATGTTTCTTGCAAAAATGAGAGTAAGTGGGCAGAGAAAATTTTTATTGTGAGATAAACTTGACTCTTTAGGTCCAAGAAAAATTTTTGAAGTGTTTAACTTTAAGCTGTTTGGTTATTGCTGCTGATACGGAAAATCAGATTATTGATGTGGACTACTTGGTGAAGATTTCTCAAGGGAAATGTACATCAAGAGATGTGCTGCGTATGGCAAAAATTGTTAAAGAAAAATTAAAACTTGTTGATAAGTGCAAACCTACCACAGTGGAAGATTTTTTTAAAATATATTTGGAAGTCTTTACTTATTTGACTAGGAAGTGGGAACATATCATTTCAAGAAACCTGCTGCAAATCAAAGAACACATGCTAACCCGGCTAGAAGTTCTACTAGCTGATAGCTCTACGGCATTTTATAGATCATCCTTGTTGGCCTTGGTTTTATTTCGTCTTGAAGTTGAAAATCTCATGGCGCATGGGTTACCAAAAAAATCGGTTTATTTTTTGGGAGAATTTTTGCATTTCTTTACTATAATTTGGGAGATCCAGTCAATTTGCAAGGTAAATTTATTGTCGATTTATTTGTTTTTGTGACATTTTGATTTTAGGTTAAAAATTCTGAACTTAAACCTTGTTATGCTACTGTCTCCAAAGTGATAAGAAAGTATTGTAGTCAGAGAAAAAGTGATCACCATGAAGAGCTATCTTGGAAATTTTCGTTTTCAACTATTGAAAAGTCAAAACGAAATAATTACCATCCATTTTTGCCTACCATTTCCGAATGATTTCCAGAAATAATTTAAACATTCATGTTTGTCTTTGTAAGCACAGATTTTAATTATTACACACTATAATTTAATCACAAAGTACACAGTCTGTCCAATATGTGTTAATGCTGTAAATCATATTTCAGAGGCATGTTTCCTTAAATGCATGTTTTAGTTGTCTTTTAAAAAAGGAGAAAATAAGTCATAATTTTTCACCTTGAAGAATGTTAATTTTTTTAATTTCATTTTGTGCTTACAGTTTTTTAATTTGTTTTTGTCTAGTCTTAATTTTTCAATTAACTTAATGAGCATTTACTGTCATTGTTTCAATAAAGTAAAATTCCTTTGTAAAGTAAGTTTTAATTCCCACCTTCTATTATCGCTGTTCCCCAAAGGCAGGACGCTTCGGGGTAAAAACAAAATAAATTTTGAAAAACATGTTTTATTAAATGTAAAATTAGGTACACGTTTAATTTAAGTATTAAAATAAATACAGAAAGGAACACGCAAATTTTATGGCAAGGACATTCATGAATAAATTTACGCTCCTCATTTTGATTATGAAATTTACAGATTTTCGGAACATTATTGCTCTCTTGTGGATTTTTTGGTACAAAAATATATACGACATCGTAACTTCTTTTACTTCGTTTCCTGTCCAAAACATCCCTCGGAGTTTCTTGTATTTGAAAACTTTTCATTTTATATAAAATTTACGTTGTTTCCATGTGTCTGTGAACAGTAACGGGTACAACCATACAATTTCTATGTGGAATTTTCGTAAACATGGGGGAAATCACATTCTGTGCAGCATTTTTGGTTGAGACACTGGTATGCACGGAAGTGGTGTCCGACATAATGTCATCTTCCAACGAATCAACTTCAATTGGTGCCAGAGAAAGGTGTTCAGATTCATCATGGGGTGTCATAGTTGAATATCCATGGTCTGAATCAGCAGCGGTATTATTTCGTCTATAATTACTTGCGACGCAATATGGAGAAATCGGATCATGCCCTTCATCTTGTAATAATTTGTCTCTGTGATTTCCGAGATCGTGAAAATTCTCGTTAATATTTAAGTCGCTCATCCTAAGCTGATCTTGAGTAGATGATAAATAAAGTCTATCTACTGCAGGATTACTGTACGATCTGTAACATATATACAACAAAACAAAAAACACACACATTGCAATCACTAATCCCAATATAGGCCCAAGTGGCGAATATTCGTTTTCTGTTGGTAAAACGGATTCGTTAATATTTTCCCTATAAGGAGTACGTAGGCCATAGACGCCATTAAAACAATTAGACAAACGAGAACAAAATGGATTCTTCAGATAACTTCCGTCACTATCATATTTACACCACTCGCAACCGATGACTCCCAAACATTCTAAGTGTGACCTTTCACTTTGGCAATTTACTGGGAAACATACATCCAAATTGTCGTCTACTTCTGGTGCAAAAGTCGCATCTACAAAAGAACTTTCGGTGTGCCACGAACAAGGTAGATTGTTCGTTAAATTTTGACTAATGTCTTGGCAAGAGTTAGCAGCTTGTTTCTCTAAGGGGCACTCGCATGGACATTCACATTCCTTCTGTTCCATTCTGTTACAATTTAAACATAAACGATCGACTATACTACATGGACAGAACGTGGCTACCACATCGCAGGAAGCGTTCACTATACCGACAAATATATTGGTATTTGGCACGGGCGTGATCCTGTAAGTTACGCAATGTTCCCCAGGAACAAAATTGACTAAAACATTACTAAAGCTTGTATTTAGCCTGTAATATCTCTGTACCGTATTATCACCATAATTGTTACACAACATTTTCTTGATGAAATGTTTATGATTTAATATGTCATTGGCTACCAATGATTCTCTATGGACGATATGCTGCTGTTCTACCGGTCTTGCACCTTTGATGTCCATCAATTTTGGGTGGTAAATTATATAACCTTGATCGTCAATCAGAAAGCATGTAATCTGATTTAAACAAAATGGCAAATGTTTCAGCAACATTTTCAACATAAATCCATAAGTTAAATCCATAGCTATTACGGCCTGGGGAGTCGCGTACGCCAATGTAACAATATATCCCGCTCCCCCTTGATCTAAATATGGTGGAATCAATATAACTTTGTCTTTATTTTGCAAGGCACGCAAAAACCACGGTCGTTTAGTAATTTCCAGGTCTGGTAAAAGAACGCTGCCCGGAAACATCTGCAATACACCTTTGTAGGATGATGCATAACGTCTTACAATATATTTCGATAATTCGGAAGACAGATGCTTTTTCCTCAAGAAATCCAGTACGTGGGCTAAACCCAAAACTTCATCCCGCACTTCTTTTTTTAACCCTGGGTTGATCAGTAATCCTGTATCGTCTTTTAGATAAGCCAAATAACCTTGGACAATGAGTTTATCTTGAGTTGTTCTAGACGCTGAGAATGGAGATTGAAAACAGGATCTGCTCAAATATAATGATGCCACATCTATGACAAAGATTTGCAATATTGTGCCGAGCATGTCTCAAATGTTACTTACCTAAGGTAGCAACCTGATTTAAATGTTTGCATAATTTGTACTCTTCTATGCCATCCAAATTTTGGTATAATAGTTTTCTGACTGATGGACTGGGAGATGCTTTGAAGGGTCTGTTAAATTCTCCATAATTTTCATTTAGGACAATACAAATGACATACCAGTATCCAACTCTACTCCACGAGTATTCCAACTGAACCAAAGTTAAGTTTGGTTTAGTCTGCATATAGGTATTTACAACAAATTTACTTACCACTTCGTCTTCCTGATTTCTGGTGACATGATTCCCTGTCATTTCTGTGACAAGTTTCTGCATTAAGACATCTATATCTGGAATCTTTTCTACATCTCTCAGATTGGTAAATGTGATTTGGTGTGTCAATGGTGAAGGAGTGGATATAAATGGGTGGACAAGTACGTGCCCTTCCAAGTCAATTAAAAAAGCATATGTGTACCGTTGATTGCTGCTATAGTATGCAACATCCTCAACTATATTGGAAAAGTAAATATCCGTCCCTAACATCGCAAACCCGTCATAATTCCAACTCAGTAAAAATGATACCGTTAAGTCTGAAAATATAATTTTACAGTTAAAGTTGAAGTTTGTTTATCATTTAAATAAATTACCACTACTTTGCGGATCCCAATGTGGAAGGGTGATTTGTTTTTTCATGTCAAAAAAATAACTGGGATTGAAAGTGCTATAAAATTTGCTTACAACAAAGCCTATTTCATCAGTCTTATTAACAGTTAACATATACCCCATTTTTCTGTATACATTGTGGTTAAATGTAATGTTATACTTTGTAAAATTTTGGTAAGCAATATCGCGCAAGAAATGAGTTTCGTACAATATAGGCTTCATCTCTAAAATATTCAAAAAACATTGAAATATTTTTCTATAAAATCGGCCTCTCACCTTACCGTCAATAACAGCACACGTGTGTATAACAATTGCTGTTTTAATATTGTCTGTGTATTGTGCAACTGTTTTAAGTACAGTCCTAGCTTCACGCAATGAGGAGAGCAATCCACGACTTATGTAGGCTATCATAATTGTTTCATTATCGAGGTTTGTGTTTTTCAGAGCGATATCTAAGGCTACTTGTATTCCAGAAGTATGATTAGTGGACCCTAGAGACCAGTCCATCAGGTGTTGTTTTAAAATATTTTTCTCTTACTTACCATTACCCCTATCCAGAGAATCAATGAAATTAATCATTGAGGTTACGTGCGCTGCAGTTGCGTGTTCCAATTTAACATTAGTAGCATTATTTCCTTGAGTGCAGTAGGTCTCTGGAAAGGACCATTCAGATGCCAGTCCTATCAAAGCTACTCTGTCATCTTTATTCAAGGCCAACAACATTTCTTTGGCTGAAAAGGTTCAATTACAAAAATTGTATAAAAAAAATTAAAACTTAGGGTTACCAATTGCTTTTGCAATGTGCAATTGTCTTTTGCTTAAGGAAGCTCCATGATCTACAATTAAAATTACATTCTTGGTCATGTATTTGCTCTGCATTCTAAAATTCTTCCACACTACTGATTCCTCATGTCCGGAACATTCCAAAAATGGTGAATGTTTGGTTTCTTTAAATTCATTATTTAACATAAAATACTGTTGTCTCACTGCGTTTGGCAGTAAGGTTATATTTTTTCCTATTTGGTATAAGACTAAAACCCACTTTTTACAATAGCTGATTAAAACCACCTAATTCACCTACCATATTTGGAACCAAAACTGTCTCTGATGCTATTATTACCAACCAAATAGTTGTTTACAAGAACGTCCAGCACATTGGCCTCTTCCTTTATACAGGGCAAAAAAACCGATGATGATCCAATTGATGGTAAAGTGTTTAATATATTTGAAGCATTTTCCATTGAGTAGAAGACATTATTTATCTTATTTAACAGTTTTTGGGACATCAGGTGAAGATCTGTTTTAATTCCATTTTCATTTAGGGTATATTTGAAGCTTCCATATAGTTTCTGCAACAATACTGTGTCATCTAAACTGAGGCCTGAAGATATAAAACTTACATCAATAAATGGCACACCTAATTCTTCATTTTTGAGGGTATTTACATCTTGGGCTATTTTTTTAGCTATTTCCTGTATATCAATATCACTTATACAAAGATTTACTGTACATAAAAGGAAGGCTAGAAAAATAGTAACTTTTGGCAACATGTTTCCAAATTTTCATTTTATCTGGCAAATTTTTGATGTGTCACAAAGATGTTAAAAGGATCAAAAGTCTATTTATAGTCTTCTCCATTTTCACAGAATTATTCTCAGTGTGGTTCTAAAAAGAAAACTAAATATAAACAAAAACTGTTGAAACATAAATAATGTGTGTTAAGCATAGACAATTTTGGCAGGCTGATGACCAGGTTAATGCCAACTTAACTTTTGTGTGGTTATGTTTAACCTCAACAGTGCCTATAATGAGCATTAGTTCCGAGATTTGCCACTAGAACATATTTTTCTTCCTTGTTTGAATCAATATAAGTACCAAAACTGTTTTTAAATGCTTGATAATAGTGCACCACCACGTGTATTTTAATAAACATCTCGTCTAATTTACCGCAGAGCATTTGGCTTAAATTTTTATTTATAAGACATTCAAATAATTATTTTACAATGGTTAACACTAACCATGTGCCTAAGGATATCAAAGCACAATCAGAGGATGAATATTTGCAAGATGGTTTGTCGGCTAGGGAAATGATAAATCAAGGCAAAGGTTTAACATACAAGTAAGGTTTGTATGTTTGTTGAGTTTTCAGCCCATTCCTACACAATTTTTAGTGATTTTATCATCCTTCCGGGGTATATTGATTTTGCTCCAGATCAAGTTGATTTATCCAGTCAGTTAACTAAAAAAATTGCATTGAAAGCACCATTGGTTTCATCCCCAATGGATACTGTTACTGAAGCAGATATGGCCATTGCCATGGCAGTAAGTCCTTGCGGTCCCCATTGGAAGATACTAATTAAATTTTTTCTAGCTCTGTGGAGGCATTGGAATAATACATCATAACTGTTTACCAAGTTATCAGGCCAATGAAGTATTAAAGGTCAAAAAGTACAAACATGGATTTATACATGATCCGGTGGTACTAAGTCCTATAGATACAGTGTCTGATGTTTTAAATGTTAAAAAGGAGCATGGTTTTTGTGGAATTCCTATAACAGAAAACGGGAAACTTGGGGGGAAATTAGTAGGAATAGTAACTTCCAGAGATATTGACTTTCTAGAAGATAAAAGCTATGCAAACACAAAACTAGAACAGATAATGACAAAGTTGGATGATCTGGTAACAGCTCAATCTGGTGTTACCCTAACAGAAGCAAATCACATGCTGGAGAAAAGTAAAAAAGGGAAATTGCCTATAGTAAATGCTCAAGGCAATTTAATAGCACTGATGGCAAGGACAGATTTAAAGAAAGCGAAGAGCTATCCCATTGCTTCAAAGGACGACAATAAACAATTAATTGTTGGAGCTGCAATTGGAACTAGAGAGGAAGATAAGAATAGGCTGACTTTGCTAGCCCAAGCTGGAGTTGATGTAGTTATTTTAGATTCGTCCCAGGGAAATTCCATTTATCAAATTGATATGATTAAATATATCAAAAAAACCTATCCAAATCTACAAGTTGTTGCAGGCAATGGTATGAGGGATTGTCCAGCAATTAAATAATGACTAATTGATTGACTTCTAGTTGTCACCAAGAGGCAAGCTAAGAATCTTATTGAGGCTGGAGCTGATGCCCTCAGAGTAGGCATGGGTAGTGGCAGTATATGCATCACCCAAGAAGTAATGGCAGTTGGGCGCCCTCAAGCGACAGCAGTATACACAGTTTCAGAGTATGCTAAAAAATTTGGGGTACCTGTAATAGCAGATGGTGGGATACAATCAATTGGTCATATCATCAAAGCATTATCTTTAGGTGCATCGACAGGTTGTGTCTTCAATTGATTTATCAAAACATTACATGTACAGGGTATATTTCTAGTTATGATGGGGTCTCTATTAGCTGGAACTTCTGAAGCTCCAGGGGAATATTTTTTCTCAGATGGTGTGAGACTTAAGAAGTATAGAGGCATGGGTAGTATCGAAGCTATGGATAGGAAAGATGCCATGGGGTCGGCAATGAATAGATATTTTCACAGGTATTGTGTAAATACAAAAGTACCATTTTGTTTTTAAAATTGTTTGGTTGTAGTGATTCTGATAAGTTAAAAGTTGCTCAGGGAGTTAGTGGCAGCATTATTGACAAAGGATCAGTACTTAGGTTTGTTCCATATTTGCAAAGTGGTATTAGACATGGTTGTCAGGATATTGGCGTCAAATCATTGATACAACTTAGGTGGGCCCTATTGTAATTGGAGAATTTCCATTAAATTTGAATATGTTTTTTTTTTGCATTTAGAAACAACATGTATGCTAATCAGCTCCGTTTCGAGTTGAGATCACACTCCGCACAGATGGAAGGAAACGTTCATAGTTTGTTTTCTTATGAAAAGAGATTATTTTAAAAATCATTCCTGTTTGGATCAGATTGTTTTAGTGATATACATGATGGCGCGAATAATTTTGTATGTATTTTGTACCAGACTTTGATCACAAGGAAATAATATTTTTTAGGTGGGGTAAAGTTTTTTGTTAAGTGAATGTGGGTGGCGAATCAAATTTAACATTATTTATTGCGACGCTTCACGATACTCATGCAATTTATTCAGTGTTCGCGAAAAATGTGTGATTTAACACAAAATAGTATAAGATGGGTTCATAATTTAAGACAATTTTAGAAGGTCAAAGAATCCTTTTGGTACTTGTGACGTCCCCTAGTCAGGAACCCATTATTTTGTATCTTTCTGAGTATTTACATTCTACCTTAATTTTTATAATATTGTGGACTTATAGCGTTTTTAGTTTGGCTGCACTTCACCGTGGCAGTGTGACACTATCCCCGGTAGAGTGCGTTCAAAGGCCAATCTCTATTATTTTTATTATTACCAGGGAAACGTTGTACAATTTATATGATGTAACATGTTTCTGTCATTTTGATTAATAACTTTTTATCAGTATCAAGAATACAATTTATTTAGTATAAGGATAGATCTTAAATAAATCTATTTTATGAAGAAATGACTAGTAAATATTATATTGTAATTTATTTATAACGTTAATTAATAAAACTTAACCCCATATCGAAGTTTTTTTATTTCACTGTGTATTTACCATTTTATTTGTTTTAACTGGTTGCGACAAAATAGTCTCCTTTATGTTATCTTACCCTACCTTCCTAGGAATTAAGTTTTGTCTCCTTTTTACAATCCCCCTTTTCTCGCCTATTGTAACTATAAAATGTACTACAAACCAAATAAATGACATGATGATGACAAAAGGAAAGTGTAAATCAAAATGTAAATTTTAGACAGTTGATGTTTTTTCAATGGCGCAGCATATTTTTTTTATTTTAAAGTTTCCTTTAAAAAATGCCAAGTAAAAAACGTTTTTCTCACTGTGTGGTAATGGTTTATAACATTTAATAATATTAAAGAAAAAAAAGTAGTTTTTTGATGATTTGTTGCAATAGCGTAGTAAGCAATCACATTTAAGAAATTTTGGAGTAGTGTTATGAACTCTTACAAATTTTCAAATGATAAATAAGGTTTCCCGTTAAAAAAACATTATTTTATTTATTTTAGTTTAATTTTTTTAATCAAAAATAGGCCCATGAATAAAAAGAACATGCACTTAACTTAAGAGAAAACTTGTAGCTGAAGTGCAAAAATAAACGGATAACTTTTTACGTCAACAAAATAGAAACAGAAAGAAATATTACTCGGTTGATTACCATATAACGCACGTCTCTAAATTTCTCCCACCAACCTGCACTTTGCACCATTTTCTTTTTAAATTTCGATTCCCAGACACCTAACTCGTTTCTTCAGAACATTTAACTGGATCTGGATATATTTCGAGAAAATACTGCCTTAAAACTGCTGCATCTAAACTAAAACCTGTCGAATTCAACTACAAGCGGCCATGTTGGTTGTTGAACGCCGCTTGTCTTATTGGCTGAAAAATTGATCGCGCATGCGCATATTAAATGGCCCATCTCAATAGTTTTTTCATCATCGCTTCAAAAACTACTGTATTATATTTAGTAACTATATAGTTTACCACAATACACTAACACTACATGTATTTCAAATAAATTGTAATTTATAATGAATCTGCTTCAAACAATAATCCGCAACATAATGTTTACAATTAGTTTTAATTAGTATATTATGCAACAAGTGCGGTAAACTGCATTTTACTCACGAGTTTATTTGACACGAACGGAGCGCAACGCAGCGAGTTTTTGATAAACGTGCGTGCGTCAAAAAGTTTACCGAACATTTGCATACTACACTTTTTCTACGACCGTTAGATTTTGTGTATATTTTCGCAAAATACGAAAACATTCACTGACATGACTGTCAGAAATGACAAACGTCAAAATTCAAAGCGTGGGAAATATCTCCGAAAACATCCGATTGCTGCCAATCCCGTGCGGTAAAATCCCGGAAATGTCCGAAGTGGCTCGGATTCGTGAGAAACGAAACTGACGTGGTAAAGTGACGTTTCCCGCACGCTAGATCGGTGGGTAATTAGGTATTTTACAGACGGGAGAAGAAAAAATAATTTGCTGTTCAAATTAAAAGTTCTAAATGAACACGTTTCCTTAGACGTAATGAAGTTCAAACTTAAATTTATCTAAAATATTCTTATCTTTGTTCTTAATAAACTTTTGCTCTTTTCATCCTAACGTACATTTATAATTAGCTTCAAGTGGATACATTTTATCGCAACAATAAAATATTATTGGCACGTTTCCTAGATAAATTCCATCAAAAATACGTAAATAAGGATGTTCATCGAGTTGCCACAAAGAACACTAGACGTAGGTACAGGAAACTTTGTTACTTAGTTGATTGTGCGGGCCTTCTGGTAAATATCAAGATATAAGCCAGAACGTGCACCAGCAATAAGAAATTCACGATGCTCTGGCTTTTGATTGATCATTTTTATTAGTATTATTATCGAATTATCTCCGCTCGTTTTTCCGAACATATTGTTTTTAACCTTTCCCGGTAAAAAAATGCGCAAACAATTTTTTTTTGGGTTTCGTTTAATATTCGTCAAAACGGCGGCTTAGTAAATATTTTGAATACTTCACAGGAGCGCAACAAAATAAATAAAACTTCAGGAAAGCTCAAGTGCCGATTGACACTAACAAGGTGAAGCTCTCGTAGTTCCGGGATTGAAAATGATCCGAACTTTCGCAATAAACATTGTCAATGCGCGCCATCTAAATATTTACTTGTTAATATTGTTTTTTATAAATAGGTGATCATTCTAACATATGTTCCGCCCATGTAAAGTTTTAAACGACTAACATAAGACTTAAACCCTCCTAAAACACTTATACGCTGTATTAATATCCTCTTTAAGGAATACTAAGGTTTTATCTTGTAACTTGGCGTATGAATTACACAATAAAAACAACCGCTTCTCTATCAGCTCTTGTCAACTTGTCAAAAATGTCATGTCGCTCGGTATATTACCAGCTACGGTCACTGCAGGTCCGAACTAGATAAAACGACTCTAAAGCTACGTGTGCAACATCATCGTACAAAAATCAATTGTTTGGCTTTATCATTATCAATAAAATTCAGTTTTATCGACAGTTTTCTTAGGCATTAAACATTTTTGTTTGAATTCTTATAAAAAAGCTTTTTTTGGGCAGGTAATTGAGAAAAATTACTGATTTTCTTAAGTCGGCACTGTCTAACAAATTCTTAGTCGTTTTACTTTTGTCCGTCTCAGTTTCATTTATTTTTTGAATTTTCTAATTTCAATTATGGTAACAAGGTTGAAACTTCTAAATGAACACTTTGGTCCTAATTTTACAAAAAAGTGCAATATATTCATTCGGACATAAAAAAATGTTAGTTAAAGCCCGATTCAGTTAGGGAGTTAGAAAAAAGGTAGAAAAAAGATGACGAATCTATGTGTTTTTATGCAAGCTAAACTGACTAAAACCTGGCTATCGCTATCGTTTTCGGCTACAGAATCAACCCCCTGCAAACAGAAGTAACTTCAAATTTCCAATTACGGTCCTGTAGGGGCGGCGTCGGTCTAGACAGATTAGGTACCCCCGAGTTGACTATAGGTAGTCGTTTGGAGTGGCACCTATTAACAATAACATGATTGGGCGAAGTTTTTTTGATAGTTTCTTTTACATTTAGTTTGAGTATACAGAATCCAATCAGCAAGTTAAATGCCATTGGGATCGTATGTGTCTATCAGTTTTTTTTATTCGCTTATCGTGTGAGGTTTGCAATAAATCATCAAATGGCGCCTCGTAAATGGTCTTTAAAATCTACCAACGCCCCCGTAGCCTAAATTCAAGCACATGTGACGAGCCCTTTTGTTCGAATTATCTCGGCACTTGTAAAAAATCAGTCTATATTAGGAATGGCCACAATATGTCATACAATTGCTGGCGCCACCCGCTCTAAAATTCCCACATTATTAAAACGCCACTTGAAAAAGGCTAGATAAAATGCTACTTCAATAAAATCAGAGTTTAGTCCTTATCTCGTTCCTTAAAAGCTTTTTCATCTTCGCGGCGGTTCAAAAAACATCGGTCTTCGCGAATGGTAATTATATTTAATTTTATTCGCGATTTTCCCATGTAATAAATATCAAAACCTTTTAAATAACTTTGACGCAGGAATCTTTAAATTTTAAAGCAAACGAATTTGTTGTACACTTCAATAACATTTCCGGATATCTCAGAGGCATCTTAAAAAATATATTGCTATGTAAATAAGGTATATTAACTTAATTCGTAAGTGAACTAAGGACTGCCAATTCAAACATTGTCAGTTTTTACGTCATTGTAAACCATTGTTTTGTTATGAAAATAGTGCAATATTTATAATACTGGCTTCGAATGTGTACATCAAAGCTTGTTTAGTAAGATATTTCCTAAAAATATTATATTAATCAATTTATGTTCAAAAATCGTTGGTTTGCTTCGTATTTTTTGTGTCGTCGGTTTCAAAACATTTCTCGCGAAAACATGGATAATTAAACAAAAAAGTTATCCTAAAATCAATAGGAACGTATTCTATGGTATTTTTTTATATTAATACGAAAGGAATTCGTAAAAAAATTGTTTATTTTGAAAAGTTTGCTTTATTGTTTATGTTTTATGATGACAACGTTATGGCTAAAACCTGGTGTACCGACCTATCGAATATATGGCGAATACAGTTTCCAACTGATGTATTAATAAATTTATTAACGTACATAAGATCAGGTTGGACCGCGATCAAATATTGATTTTAAATTAGACACGGAGGATGTCTCGATATTCCAGCTCCTCCCTGTCATCCAGAATCTGTACAATAACGTTTCGGATTCGGGAATAACTCCGCCCTCGTATCAAATTTAGCTGAACCGCAAAAGTTGAAGGCAGCGTCAGTAACGCAGCGCAAGCTACTAAAATCCGGAAGTTTTCGGTTTGATTTCCAAATAGTGTTCGTCGGTGTGAAAATTTTCGTGAAAATGTCTTACAGTAATTCGACTTCCGATCATGATGCTTTTCAATACGGCTACACTCACAATTCGCATCATTATATTTCAGGTATATATACCTAATTTTTAATTAGTTGGGTCCATTATCTGTTGCTGTTTTTTGAACCAATTTTTTTATACATGAAGATTTCTTTGAATCTAAGGTTTCCCCTCAACATTCTTAGGAAAAAAAATGACTGTAACCCAATTTCAATTATTAAAAACAAGTTACTTTTATTCTCAAAATGTTTTCGCCGTTTTGACAATTTTTAATACCACTTTGACAAGAATAGTGTAAATAAACCAATAAAAAAAGTGTTTTTAAAAAATTGGGAATGTTGTACTTTCTATTCTAAACTCAATTTCTATTGTTGGCCTTAGAAAAAAGAAGCAAAGATACTTTTAAATTTAGTTTGGTAACTTTTTTTAACATGTCGTTTAAGATACCCGAAATAATTTTAATTCGTGCAAATACTTTGTGTGAACATAGTACATTTTTAATAATTTTTCTAAAAAAGTTTAATAACAAAATTCTCAACTAACTTGTGTTATTAATAGGAGCTACTTTAATCAATTTCAAGCCTATCTTTGCGTTGTGAATACACATATAAAACATAGTGAAAGGCAATGAGTCTAATTTTTTTTTTGTAATTTTGCTTAGCTTTAGTCTGGTGATAAGCATTTATAGTCAGCTGCATTAATATTTTTTTAAAATTATTTCGTATCTTTTATTAAATAAAAAAAATTCTATTATATTTGTTTCTAAACATACTATTTCGTCTTATTGAAGTATCATAAAAGAAACTTATTATGCCTGCCGTAATTTTGCTCCAAAATGCGTGGGTTCCTTAAATGCACATGTGCCGGCATAAAATATGAAACTTGTACGTTATTTAATAACTATGAAAATGGCGGCGACATTTCGAATTTCGAACCACTTTTTGTTTATTATTTTAAGATTTTATATTGTCTTTATAGCATTTGCTTAACAAATGTGTTAAATATGGACTAAGTAGTGACTTTGATGGGGCGTTCGTATATACACGCGTTTCCAAAACCTTTCCTTTAAATAGTCAAGTCCTCAGAGTTATAATTTCCTTTAGAAAAACAATTTCTTCATCGTTTTGCCAATAACGCCTTCTTTGGTTTTTGTTAATTTTTGTCTGAACATCTTACTAAAACAATGTTTCGAAATAACCATTCCTAAAAGTTGTCTAGGATATAATTTGGTTTTGGTTACAAATCCTTTTATTTATATTTGGAAATTTTGTTTATTATTTTAAGATTTTATATTGTCTTTATAGCATTTGCTTAACAAATGTGTTAAATATGGACTAAGTAGTGACTTTGATGGGGCGTTCGTATATACACGCGTTTCCAAAACCTTTCCTTTAAATAGTCAAGTCCTCAGAGTTATAATTTCCTTTAGAAAAACAATTTCTTCATCGTTTTGCCAATAACGCCTTCTTTGGTTTTTGTTAATTTTTGTCTGAACATCTTACTAAAACAATGTTTCGAAATAACCATTCCTAAAAGTTGTCTAGGATATAATTTGGTTTTGGTTACAAATCCTTTTATTTATATTTGGAAATAATAAAAAGAATTTCCAAAAACTGTAATACAAAGTTAAGTTTCCATATCTAAAAAAATTGGTCAAAAAATGATAATGAAATATACGCTATGAGTGAATGTTTGCTGGCACTAAAATTATGTTGAACTAAGGAAGAAATTATTTTGAATTATGAGTGTATTCGTTTAATTGTTATATTTTTATTTTTCAATTAATTAATTAATTAATATTCTATTAATAATCGGTACATCCGACAAATAAAATTGGCTATTTCTATAAACCCTAGAATATTACGAAAAATTGGGCATTAAATTATCCATCTAAAATTAGCTCATTCAAAACACATGTACATAGAATGATAGTAGGTAGATACATTATGTGGGAGTCTATAAAGTTTTATGATGTTCCTCAAAGTCTTTATCGCATGTCAGACGTTGTTTATCTGATTTTATTAACTCGTCCGTAAGACGAAGTAAACAGAGGTTATTTTTGTCGGGTTGAAAAAATTGTTAAAATAAACTTCCGATTTCGTGTAAATGCCGTCGTAAAGGTTGTTCAAAGGACAGCAACAAATTTACGAAGCAATGTGACCGATACCCCCTTATCCCATCCTTCAATGATTTGCTTTTAGATGGAAGCACGATAGGAGGAGATGAATCAAACTTCTGGTCTAATAGTCCGTCGCGAACGGATTCGCCATCGCCGAATATTCTCCACGCACAAAATCAAATAGAAAATCACTATCAGATATACGCCCCTTCAAGTTGTCCCACATCGCACAATCATTATTCTCCCTACCGAACCAGTAAGAATCATTTTGTGTTTTATGTCGAGAGATCATGTAATTTGGGCCTCTCTGGCATTTTGATGCTGCATTTTTCGCCTCTCCTTGTAGATTACACGTCAATAACATCAGATCCGGATTTAGGGACTCCATTCGTAAGGGTTGTTAAACGCCGAACAACCGCAAACAAAAAAGAACGTCGCAGAACTCAAAGTATCAATAACAGCTATGCTATGTTGAGAGACTGCATACCAAATGTCCCAGCAGACACAAAACTGTCAAAGGTAGAACAGTTTTTTCTTTTCGACCATACGTCACAATTTTCTCCGTTTTGTCTGCTAAATTTTTGACTAATTCGTCTGCGTACTGAACAAATGCAACAGACTGGCGATATATTCTACTAAGAAAATTCAATATTTTTAACTATTTTATAAGGTTTTTAAATTTCATAAAACGTTTTCCTTTCGTAAACTATCTTGGTGAAGTCGAATTCGATAATGGTACTTAACCCTTTTTCTCATAAAATGAGTTAATCTTTTTTCGTCTATTACTTCCAATGCCTGTCAAAATCTTCACTTTATAGTTTTCTTTAAATTTTTGCCAGTTAGGGCCAAATTTATAACAGCGTACATCCAAGATAGCTTTCACGTTTTGCCATATCCGTTTATTACTCTGCAGAACACTTGTGTGTGCGTGTGTTTTTAACGATTTTTGTGTATAGAGTGGTCCAAATTCGAGGGGCCTTGTTACGGGCTCAGTTTTTGAGAAAATTCGAAAACTGAAAACCGCATCGTGGTATGTCAAGGCGTTTTTGAGCTACAGGATGATTCTCAAAAACGTGTGATTTTAAACACCCTCTATAACTTTTTTAATTGTAAGAAGAGAGTTTTGGGAAAAAAACATTTTTTTAAGTTTTTTTAAGCCGGAATCTCTCTATTTTACTCGTTTTGTCTTAGAGCCTTTAGTTCTTAAGATATCACACAAAATTATATTTCTTTAAATGGAATAACCAAGATTTTTCTAAAAAATCCATTTTCTAATAAAATTTCCTGTCGATCGATGTGCCATACATATATTTTTATTAAATAATTTAAAAGATATTTGCAGTTTTCGATATTTACCATAGTAGGCGCTGTGCGCGCCCTAAATATGTAGACAAACTTTATTCCTTTTTTTTTCATACAAAATCAAGTTGGCTGACACGAGGGGATACAGCAACCTCGCACTAACTTCTAGTTTACAATAATTACCAACCATACAATAATTAATGGAAATAAAATTATTAAAAGCAATTTTTTTTATTTAAAGTTTTTATCAAACAAGGGTCAAACTTAAAATCTACATCTAACAAGTTTCTTTAACTCTAAAACAAAAGCTTAAACTGACGGCCGTGTTCTTGTAAACATATCCTACATCTTCTCTTGACGCTATTTTCTGCATTGAGAAGTACCCCACGAACCTGCCTGAATGCAGTACGAAGTGCCTCTTCCAATTCCCTTTTAGTAGTTGGGCCATTTCGAAATATAAGGTCTTTGATTCTCCCCCACAAAAAGAAGTTTGGAGATCTGGGAGGCCAATATATAAGACCTTTATTTCCGATTCAGTTTTCGGCATTATTTTGCTGAAGTCGCAAATTGTCGATAAACGGAAGGATTTCTTGGTATCTTGCGGCATTTAAATTTCCATAAAAAATTTGTCCTCTGTAGATGCCTACCCATACCTTAAAACTGGACCTTCCCTGATATGCTTGTTCCACCATAATATGGGGATTTTGCTGTTTCCAGTAATTGCAGTTATACCTGGTGAATATTTCATCACTACAAATCCTTGTCACAGACGTCCAAACAACTTTCCTGGCAAAATCACGGTCTTCTTGGCATTTATTTAGGTACCACCTGTAAAGTGCACGTCTTGGAGCAAAACCTCCTTGCCGTAATTGAAGCACCCGTCGGGGTCGATAGGGCCTAAACTTGTGTTTCTCTCCATAGCCTTGGTGGAAGGATTCGGGTTAATTTCTATTTCTCCCAGAGCCCTTAGTTCTTCCAACTCTCTATCTCTGGCTAGGCTTCTATACGTCCTAACGCCGTCTGTCGATTTTCGTCACTTTCAATATAATATTTTATCATGTCGTACCTTTCAAAATTTTCAAACATTTTTATAGCAGACGAAGAAACCACTTTTGACACTTGAGCTTGTGTATCATGGCAGTTGTTTTTATCTGATCATAGCTACCTAGATAGATACCGTAAAACTGCATAGGTCAGAGTTAAGCACAGCCTACTATGATAATGATTAAAAATTGCAGATACCTTTTTAACTACTTAATAAAAATAGGTGTATGTCACATCGTTTGACAGAAAATTTTATTAGAAAACTATTTTTTTAATTGGTTTATTCGGTGAAAACAGGTAGATTTGCCTTTAAAAAATCATCAAAAAATGTTTTTAATACAAATCCCTATTTTTACAAATAAAAAAGTTATAGAAGGTTTTAGAAACTCACATTTTTAAAAATCACCCTATAGCTCAGAAACGCTTTGACTTATCGTGATACGGTTTTAGTTTTCGACTTCTCTCGAAAATGAAGCCAGTAATATGCATATTAATTTTTTTTGCTTAATGCTTAAAGCCACAGAGGCTCCTCGAATTTGGACCACCCGGTACATTCCCTTGCTTCTCAAACTAGTATTTAAAACTAAAAAAAAGCAACGTTTTTATCTTTGAATAAGTTCGCTAGAAGACATTTTGTATCTTTGTAAAAATGCCTATGCTCTATGAACGTTGGCGATCACACTAACCCATATTACCCATTGTCTGATGGATATCTGGCTTTTTCCTTCTATTTTGTCCAGTATAATTAGTTGCTGTAATCAGTTTCCTCTGTTTAATGGTATTGAGAATTTCTGGTTTCTTCTGCACTCGTTTCATTACTGTATTATTTGGACAGCTTAATTTTAATTAATTTTAGTTGATTATAAGCATTTTTTGTATTTTCTATACAGCAATTTATAAGGATAATCCCAACTATCATTTATGGCGCAGAGCATTTTGTAACGCTGTGTGCTCTACTTAAAAGACCATTGCTTGTTGTGATCTTTATTTATTATTATGATTTACATTTTTTTATTGTTTAATTTCGCTTCCTATATCTTGCTGACAAAGACTACTTAAGCCATGACGCCTTGGAGGCTCTCGACAACTATCTGCCAGAAGTACGGTGTCATCAGCATATCTCAGTTTGTTTATTATTTCTCCATTCATGATTATGCTTTTATTTATTTCTTCTAAGACTTTCTGAAATAGACATTCTACATTGAATAATATAAGTCGTATAGTTTGTCTCAAAGTATAATTAATGTCTTAACTTTTGACGGCAAGTATTGAAATAACCTAACAACGGCAACAAAACACCTTATTAAGATTATATTGTGTTTATTTGAGTACACATTACTACTAATAGAAAATATGATTACACTAAATATATACTAAGTATTAATAACTAGGCGGTTGAATGTAGAATAATATCGAGAAAGACGAAAACCAGTGTCACATACATGCGGTTTTTTAATAGCATACGAATTTAACACTTCCAAAAGTCGCCCTTTGTTGTAACAGGATTCAAAATAAATATCATTTTGTAACAAATATTCTTCCATTTCATTTTTTGTAGTTGTATTTGATACTATTTGCTTTGTTTGTATTATCCATTACAATGACACCGTTATTCGCAATATTTTTTCAAAGATAATTTTATAATAATATAGTTTTTAAAACCTTCCAAACCGTATGTATAGAACCAAGTTTAATCTAGGTAAATTACACATCTGTTTTCGAGGATATTAACGTTTTTGTAAGTACACAGGTTTCTTTTAAGGCTTCTTGTTTAATGAATCCTGTACCTATTAAAACTACAAAAACATTTTGTATTGCACGTAATGACCTTTTTTGAAGCACATTGACTTGTAGAGTCCGTCAAAAGCCAATACCATATACTTTGAGACATACTTTACTCCTCATTTAATCTCTCTGCATTTGCAATAAGCATCGATGCACAGTCGACAAAAACGGAGAAAATTAATATCAGTCCGTGACATTTCATCGCTTTTCACCAAGAAATGGTTAGGTTTACGTTTAATAATAGTTCATTGAACTGAGGTGGCTTTTACTTGATGAAAATAACAACTAAAAGTTCAGATTTTCACGAAATTATATATTTTTACATGACAGTTGTTTATACAAACTACCTGCCACTATATATACCGAACAATGATAATAAAACCTTAATTGAAGTTGTTGTGAGAACTTAAGTTCAATAAGTTGATCCTTAAGCAATACAATTGAATTTCTCATTTTGTTAATCTCCATGGCAAATTTAATTTTCTACTTTTTGTAGCTGTATGTATGTATGGTGGTATAGATACGTGGATGACGTCTTTGCTTGCTTTGTTGGAACGGACAGACAATTGAATTCTTTTTTAAATTACATTATCTCATTACATAATCGTATAAAATTCACTATCGAGATTGAACAGGATAACTCTACTAATTTTTAAACTTAACTATCACGAAAACACAAAACAAATTATCATAAACCTTCACACACGGACACAGTCATACATAACAGCTCAAATTACCCTTATACACACAAAATGGCTGCATTTCATTCTTTTTTACACAGACTTCTGAATACGCCACTCTCAACAGAAAATTACAACAAAAAACTTAATATCATTAAACAAATTGCACTGAACAACGGCTACAATCCGTCCATTATAGATAAAATTATGAATAAAAAACAAATCCAGACAACAGCAAATTCTGTTTATCCGAAACCTAATACAGAACCCGAACGATTTAATTACATACATAGGAGAACCCAGTGAAAAAGTTTCAAAACATTTGTCAAAATGTGGTTTAAAAATAGCTTTCAGAACTAACAACACAATAGGAAATTTTTCAAAAAACAATAAAACGAAATGTCCAAAATCTCAAAAATCAGGTGTCCTTCAAGAAACGCATTAACGAACATAAAAGAGCGTTTAAAAACAATAGTCTAGATTCTAATTATGCTACACACTTAAACACAGAAAAACACATTTTACAGCCACAAAAAGTAAAAAATTAAATTTATTGGAAGTCATGGAGATTAACAAAATGAGACATTCAAATGTATTGCTTAACGATCAATTAGATTTAAATACCTCTCCTTTATTGAACTCAAATTCTCACAACATTAATTATGGTTTTATGTTCATTTTTTCGCATATATAGTAGCAGGTAGTTTGTAAATATTACATTTGATAAAGATACGGTGTTGTCCAAACAATTGTCATGTAAAAATATATAATTTCGTGAAAATCTGAACTTTTAGCTCTTTTTTTAATAATATTTCGTTGCAGATCAAAACGTTGCGTTTAGCAAAAAGCTACATTTCGTATTTGACGAGGGCTTTGGAAACAGATGACACGGTCGGCGGATTCAAAGCGGAGCTTGGATCACTTTCTAGAAAATCGAATAGCAATAATCAAATTCAAATTAATAGTGAATCGTTGAACGAATTTAATTCTCATAAAAGTGACAGCTCGGTAAGTTTGTGCGTGATATTTCTTTTAACCGTGATGCGTAGTTATAGCAAGTGTTTTATTACTTACGCTGACGAACGACTTCGTAGACATCAACGCTGTATATTTATATGCGTTTCTTTCATTTCTTGACACAAATTTACTCTATAACACGATTAACTTTTGCCCAAACCGTAATTTAATAATCTGATTATACCGAAATAATAGCGCTTGGGGGGTGGCATAAACACCCTTTAGTGTTTTGGGGGGTGATAATCATTTATGTCACCGTTCCCGACTCTGGCAAACGTCCGAACACGCTACTCTACTTAGATAAATCGTTGAGGCGGCATAAAATAGATTATAACTATCGAAAATTAGATAATAAAAACCGGCAAATGGAGTTATATCGGTCGTTTGCGGTTTTGCTTAATTTGCTTATTGTTATTGAATCCAATTTTTTTAAAATACTGAGACTTCTGTAATATTGATATAATATGTGATACTTTTCCATTTCTCGAAAATATTTCACAGAAATGCATTATTTTTATTAGGGTTTAAGTGCTCTACCGAAATGATCAAAGTAACATCGCATTTATCAAATTTATTGTCGTTTTTTTTTTAAGTGTTCAGGACTTAATCCCTTGACCTTTCGACTTATCTTCTGTTCGGAATTTTAGGTTTTGATTATTCAATGAAATTACGGTAATAGCATTTAAAGTTAATGAGGTTTTTGCAGGCAAATTAAAATTCTTCGGTCCTTGCGCATTAAATACGCATAATTTTTAATAGTTGTTGTCGCTGGTTTACGATTTTTTATTGCTTCTAACAGGAAGAGACAAACAACTGTAGGAAGGCAAAGGGTAGAACGGGGTGGCCCCAGCACGTGTGGGCGTCGGAATTAAAACAGGAACAAGGGCTGTAAGCCGAAATTCCCTATCGATATTTAACAACTCAAGCAGCATTACCAAAAAAGGGCAATTAAATCAATTTGTCACTTGAGATTTTCGTTATCAAGTTTAGAGTGAAATAAAGCCGTCGGTATGGTTCAACATTCCTTATGTACGATTTTGATTGGCCAAAGTGGTCTATACGAAAAGTATTAAAATTTATTATTACCTAAATAGGCAGGTTGTTTTGAGCGGTTATTTCACTTTATTTCACATTATTCACTTTTCTTTCTAGTCTAATTTTTTGATTCGATTTTGATTTTTGATAATTTTTGTTATCAAGCGCACTTGTTATTTCTGAATAAAATCCACACAGCAGGCCGCAGTAGGTAGTAGAAAAAAAATATATTTTTTTTTAAATTTTTATTTTAAAAGTTTTTATTTTGTGTTAATCGAAATAAAATTATGCTTCGCTACTGCGTTTTTGACGAATTTGTCGTTACTTCCGTATGTTCAAAAAAACTTGCTGTTACTAGGGACTTCTAACTTGGTCGAATGGTTTTCGAATAATTAATAAAAATGCTTTTTTTTCCCATTTCTACTCACTTTTGGTTGATAAATATGCCCTTAAAGTCTTTGTTTTGAACTTTGAAACACTCTGTATAACAATTTTGTTCGGAATGCTTCGCGGGGATGCTATCATGCTATCATATAGGGGGTGCTGCCATTGCCATGTGGGTGATTCTGTTTTAACTGTGATTTTTTATGTCTTGTATTGTTTGTCCTCACTGTTAATTAATTAATAATATAATAATAGATTTTTTTGTATTAATTAAATGATCATAACCTACAATATATCAGCTAAATGTCAGTACCGTGTCTAAAATTTGTCTATAAATTCTTTTTTTTTGTGGCAATAAACGATTTAAAAATAATTACTTCATAAATTCTTATTTCTATGATCAAATTTAAAAAAAAAATGACACTCTTTGTGTTAATGTTTTAAGTTAACACAGAATTCTGGTTCCATAACTTTTGCCTTTAACGAATTTTTGCATTTGAAATTATAGGACTCGAGCGCCATCTACCTTGATTTATGAAACGTCTAGTGAATCATGTTGTAAGTACGTCATCTGAGTACTGTTTACAAACATGAAGTTGATGACATAGTCCAAAGAGTTTATATGACTTTAGAACTCAAATTTATTTTATGTCAGTACCGTGGATAAATGAGTCAGTACCACGGAACGGAAAATTTTAAATTTGTTTCTCGTTCTTGAGGCTTTGAAATTGTAGTAAAATTCTTTCAGGCTTTTATTTTTACAGTAAAATAGATGAATAATATGCATAAAAAATTAAAAAGTCTGGTTTTAAAATCTTAGAAATTTTAAGTAAAAAAGTAACAGCTAGAACGGAATTACCCATGTGTCGGTTTTATTTTATTTTGCCCACCCCTACCGCAGGTGGGTTTAGTGCGCCACTGGTTAGGCCGAATCTAGCGTACTTTAGGGGTTAAACGTATGTTACACCAAATAATTTTATTTGTAGTAGTTTCTCGAAATTGTATATATTATCTATTTTAGTCGGAATTTACCAGATGGCCCCAATGTATACATTTATCTACCTTAAGAGTTTTATATATTGTAATTATAGCCGGGTTTATAATTAGCTATTTTATATCCGATTTGTTTATATTTTTAGTTTGTATTTATAGAATGAAAAAAGCGGCATTATTGCAGGTAAGGTAAAATTAAATTATTATTAAACCAGTCACGTAATCAGTATATTTTTTTTCTCATTTCCCGTATAGCGACATTTTCCGATGTCGGTAATTAAGACTTTGTTAATTGTCGACCGTCATTTTCACTTCTCCGTAACGAGAAATGGGCGGTTACGTCAAATCAACGGATTCGGAAAAAAACGAAAGAATAACAGCGTGTTAAATTTCCATTGGTAATTCGATTCGTTCACGCCCACCGAAAACAAACGGCTACTCAAGTACGGCGAAGATGTATCGATTCAATTTCGAAAGAAAAGGTATCAGTTTACCCATGTTGCACTCGTAATCCACCGAGATATATACATGTAATCATTCTTGTAGCCACCAATTAGGCGTCTATTTATGGCGATATTTTTTGTCGTGTTTTAATCTTAGCGACCGTATTATAGGTCGTTGAGTTCTATTCGTTTGTTCTTTGTTTTTGTAATTTTTTTCTCACGTGGATATTTCTGCATATTTTTGCGCTCTACTTATAAAGTGATGGGGTTGTTTATTTTTTTGGTAAAAATGTAAAAAAAAATCATGTACAGGGTGGGCGAAATTATAAAGTCCACTAGCTAAAGGATATATATAGACTCATATTATTATAGGTGTCCGAAGCTCGAATTTATAGAATGGTAAAGACCGCATATGGATATCTGCTTCCGTTTCAGAGTTTAAATGTGCATTTTTAAAATAATCGCTGAAATATTTTGTTTGTGTCGTATTCTGTGTTTCTCTGAAAACATTTACATAGCAATCTTTTAAGTTTATCTAACGTTAGTTAGTTGATTGAAGTTCTAAAATAATTTTTATCAGCTCCTAAAACCACTATTTCTTGTAACTCATAGGGAATTGATGCATAGCTTTTTGGCTACTTTTCAAACGGATTGCTAAGAACTAGGCTGGGTCGCAATCCTCTTAATATATTTTTAAGATGTCATTTTTTAAGATATTGATCATAATACCAATTGCTGCGCTTTCATAAAACAAACTACTAGAGCAGCGCCAAAATTTCCCGACCTGAATATGAAAGAAACAAAGTAGAGTAACATTTTTTTATTATTTTTGAATATAATCCCCCTTAACTTCAATACACTTATTAAATCTCTTTATTAACAACTCAATCCCTTTTAAAAAATATTCTTTTGGTTTGTTTGCAAAATGAGCTAAAACAGCCTATTTTAACTCAACTTCGTCGTTAAACCGCCTTCCACGAAAGTCCTTTTTCATATCCATATCCAAACAAATAATAGTAGCTGGGGGCCATATCTGGACTATAGGGAGGATGATCTATCTGTTGGAACCCACACTTTAAAATGGCAGCTTGTGCGACACCAGCAGTATGGACAGGTGCATTATCATGCAAAAGACGCACACCCCTGGTCAGTTTTCTTCGACGTTTTACACGTATGCAGTCTCGCAATTTATGTAATAATGTTGCGTAATATTTACCATTGACAGTGGTATTAGTTTCTTTAAAATCTATCAAAAGAATTCCTCCACAATCCCAAAAGATTGTGGCCATCACCTTTTTTGTTGACTGGCAGACTCTGAATTTTCTTGAAGGTGCTTCACCCTTACGACGCCACTCCATTGATTCTTTTTTCGATAGAGGGTCATAATAGAGAACCATAGTTTCATCTCTCGTCGCCATAGTTTCTATCACAGGCTTCTGTTCCGACCCACAGAGTTCCTAAAAAGACCGCGCACACTCGACACGGCGTTGTCTTTGAATAGCCGAAAGGTTTTTAGGAACCCGTCTCGCACTAACCTTATGCATACCTAAATGATCATGCAAGATTTGACGAACACTTGTATCAGAAAGCTTAGTAATTTCTGAGATTTCCTTGACCTTTAAAAGTCGATCACTCAATACCACCTCTTCCACAATCGCAACAATATCTTCCGTTATGACCTCCATTGAATCATCTTCAAGGGACTCCTGCCCCATTCGAAAACGTTTTGCCCATTCTTTCACTACAGAATACGAAGGAGAACTTTGGCCGTACACACCATCCAGCCTTTCTTTAATAATTTTAGGTGCTAACCCTTCTTTTGTCAAAAATTTTATGACTGCTCTATACTCAATTTGCGTTATTTGCGACACTTTTTCTGACACGTCCTGTTTAAAATGCTGTCAATAAAAAACTATTTGACGCAAGACTTTTTTTTCGCACCCTACTACGATATATGTTTAAAAGAAGACATAGTCTTACCGTGATACTGGAGCTGCATCTATTTCAGGCCGGGAAATTTTGGAACTAACCTGGTATAATATCCCATTTACGTGACAACCGAAACTACCAGTACGCAGTTGTATCCGATATTATAGCTTCTCCGTCCAAAGCCTACTTGTGCAAAACTCTTGAACAAAATATCAATTAAATTCTGTGTAAAAAGTTGCTTTGAGAAGGTTACCATAGAAACACCAAATTTTTCAGAACAAAAATGGTACAGCAGGTTACTAAAAATGCACCCAAGATACTAGATATTCGGTTTTTACCATTAGTGTTTTATGAAAATTGAGCCTTTCATACTCACAGTAACTTTGGTCTATTTCCTGTAAAAAGGGGAGTTTAAAATTGTCCAATTGAGCCCACATTGTACAGTGGGACCACCTTGTGTTTTTTGTTGCCATTGATATTATAGGATATAGATATGCTAAATTGTGAAAGATACAAAAAAACTTAGTTTTTTTGGTTTAACGGTTGAATCAGATCTGCGCTAACTAGATTGAATTATAAAGCATCTCCAGTCTATTTAGCATAAATCTAATTCCGTCACTAAACAAAAGAAGAGAACGGGAAAAATGTCTCAGTTTTTTTGTATATCCCACCACTTAGCCTATACCCTATATTATCATCGTGATTTCTAATAATATGCGAGCAAGCTTTTATTCTTAAAGACAACTTAATTTTCTTAAGTATCATCAAAACCTGCTTCTTGCTGTCTCTTCAAATCGCACCTAAAGTGCGACTCAGTAGCTTACAGTGATTTTTTATAACCCCGATTTTTAATATAACATTATCAGGGATTTTTTTAGTTTAAAATCCGACAATGCATTGTTAATCATGATCGTTCGAAACCCCCATGTACCAAATTTGGTCAAAACCTTTTTACAGACTCCAAATTGGTTAAAATTATAAGTAAATGACAGTAAGGTCTGGATCAGTGTTGTGGAAGCACTTTACGGGTCACAAGAAACAGATTTCGACGACTGTTAAAGCCAAAAAAAATCGGTTACTCGAACATTTCTTCTATTAATTTTAGAAATCTTTTAGACCAAAATTACTTTAAAATTTATGCAGCACAAACAACATCTTTATGATAGTCAAACAAAACAAATAAATAAAAAACAAAAAACTGTCGTATTCATTTTTTACATTTATATGGGGGGTGGGTACAAAATCGTACCATACATGCAATATGGCAGGACGATATTGAAATTATATTAAAATAAGTTAATTTTCGCCCACTGAAGTACATAGTACGTCACATTATATATTAGCTAAAATAATTCAGTTATTGAAAACACTTATTCGCGTTCATTGCTTTAAATTTTTTTGTATCCAGGGCAAAAACTTCTCAACTCTGGTGTACACACCCGGATATTGGCCCTTGCCGCATCCGATGCCCCAAGAAACGATACCCACTTGCGTCCATTTTCCCGAATTAACCATCAACGGACCTCCGCTGTCACCCTACAATGTAAATTCTTATGTTTTAAACAACTACTCTAGGCTTTGAAAAATTCGTACACTACAAGAGTCTTTATTGGCTTGACCAGCGCATATCATATGATCTACAATACCACCAGGGGCTGCATGCCCATATTTCAATTTGCAGTCTCTATTGCTCCAAATTGGAATGTTAACTTCTTGAAGAACCGAAGGTTGAGGACCGCCTGTAAATCATTAATTGCGAAAGCTACTTCATACCATCGTTTTTACTTACTTTCTCTAAGACTTCCCCAACCAATGACGGTCGCAGTTGAACCAGACCAATCTCTAGATCCAGAGCCAGCTGGCAAGCAAACTGGTCTAATTTGGGAAGTGAATTCGACGGGACTGTCCAGGGTTAACAAAGCAATGTCGTTGTACTAAAATATACCCCCACATGGGTTTCCCAACTACACTTAATCAAAATAAAGGGTGAATCGCTGTGCAATGTGATATATTTATAGATTCTTATGAATATAACATTGGCCAATCAAGATTATTTCTTTCAAAATTTTTTCGGGAATTTTTCAGCGGTTTACCCTTCGATTTGGATTTACCAAGGTTCTCGAGTCAAACCCTCTATGTCTGACTACTCTCTTCACTTTCTTTTCGATGTGTCTCACTTCTGAATTCGTTTTGATATTGTAGTCTCCAAGCCTTACTGTTAGTCGAGCGACATCCCAAGAGCTCATACTGAAACATATAGATGATTATTTTCGTAACTTTTAGAGATTCTCAGTGGTACTCACTGCGCCACGCAATGAGCAGCCGACAATATGTGAATATTATCGATCAATGAACCTCCACAAAATTGTCTTCCACCGTTGAACAATGCCGCGATCCAAGGCCATTCGTTGATATCTGCGTTATGCCCTCCCACAATCCTTTCCTGATCTGGAACCCCATTTTTAGCACCGCACGCAGCCAAATTAACATCAGACACGGGTATAGGGGTTGTGATGGAGGCCGGTCTGGATGTTGTTTTGGTCGTAATGATGGTGGGTTTGTAAATTGGTGGTTTGGTGGTCGGTAAAATGATTATTGGTTTGGTTGTAGTAACCAATGCGGGAAAACCAGGTGATGGGGGATGGGTTGGCAGTGGAGGAATGGTGTGGTCTGGAGGGTGAGTTGGTAGTGGAGGTGGCCAGTTGGATATCTCCGGAGATTTGGCACCGTCGTAGGTGCTTGCGCTTGAATTCGATAACACTTGAGAATCGCTGTTGATTGTAATTGTGTCTGATATGTCGTTAGAGGATTCTGGTGGGTTCAATGGCTGATTGGTTGGGTCTGTGCAACACACCCCAAATACCTGCAAAAATAGTCAGTTGCTGACTTATGGGCATAGTACCATATTTTTTTATTTATTCGTTTGCTAGCAGAAAATGCATAATACACAATTGTATTATATTTTTTATTTTGATACTTATAATTATAAAAATTAATCTTGTCTTAATAGTTTTCAAAAAACAAGACCTTAAAGCTCTCTTCAGTTGTGGCAGTATTTTTTTTTCTATGAAGGGTGTTTGATGGTGCATCAATATTGAAGGGGATAGTTATTTGATTTATTTTAAGAAAAAAAATTAATATCAAGGAATGTCATAAACGCCTTAACTTTAACTTAACTTAAAATTTGTAATATCTAAGAATATAGATATATTTCTGAAACTTCGTATAGGCGCATTTTTTTGGAAATTAAAAGTGCTACATTTAGCTAATAATTTTTCAAAATCAAATTTAATTGGCCTGCAATAAATTACATTTTATAATCGTCATTTTCAACCCTTCTTTGTGTTTTCGTTGGGAGAATTTATTATTATTTTTTTCTTTTTATTAAATTCCCTGTGAATGATGCCAATGCACAAATGGCATCACCCCGTGTTTTAAAAGTGAGGGCATACGTTCATCCGAATGTTTTTTCTTGAAATGAACTTAACTTCAGGCTTATAAGTTTACGATATTGGTGTATCCGTCTCTTTAAATGCTGTTATTTGCAAAATGTAGTATTTTTAAAAATCTTAAATGTATAGTTTGTCTCAAAATATATCGTGTTGGCTTTTGCCTGCATTTATCGCGTTAATAACAACTGCAGACCAACATTTTTATTCAAGTGCAATTTATTTATTGATGTGTTGACCCTATAACAATAGCTAAAAGTTTATTGGGGTACGATCCACCAAAAGCCAACACGACATACTTTGACACCATTCTTGAAATTCCAGAAATAATAATCTAAATAAAATTTGGAAAATAGCGCATTAATAATTTTTAGAGAACGAGGGCCGAATATAAATAGAAATGCGAAAATTGATGTTAATATTTAAAAAATTCGAACAAAACTTGCATTTTTTGAGTAGCTCTAGGATACTTATTGTGGGCAAATCTTACTTGTTTTCCGTGTTCAGTGTAGTAACTGCAAGTATCGAACATCCCAATCACCCACGTGTCAAAGTTGCCCACTACAGGTAGTTTAAAGTAGGGGTAACAGTCTCTGAACGACGTACATTTGCCCAAGACTCCTTTGGTGTTGTAGCAAGGCCCGGTTGTAGCAATATGCGTAGGAAAAGGGGGTGCTGCGTGAACTACAGGGCTGAATTGAAGGGCGTTAGGAGTGAGATAGCCGTAACTGTATGCGTAGCTGTTGTACGGATAAGGGCTGTAAGGGTACACGAAAGATGTTGGGAGGAGAACATGTTTACCTCGTCTTGAGTTGCCTGAAATAATTCGCGATATTTGAACTAATGATACGAAGAATTAAGTTTATATTCGATTTAATTCAATCGGCGCAGGTAAATAACACACTGAATTAAAGGTGAACGTTCTTGGTGACCTTGGCAATGAACCGAATTGCTTGGCAGTTCTTGGGAAAACAATGAAATCGATACAGGCCATTATTCATAATCTGATATTGTCCGGTCCAATTATCTTTTCAACCTATCAAGCAACTAGTTTAGGTCATCTTAAGAGTGAACGTACCAAATGGAATTTTTGCGGATCCTTTGTTCCAATTTCCAATGAAATTGTACTCACGCACTACAATCGTATTTTTATAATATCAATCTTGAACCCGAAATTTTTATATTAATTTCCGATAAATTAAAAAATATTAAAACGTCCAACAAAATCGGAACACGTTTGTTTTACGAACTCGTCGAATTTGCATTTCCACTTCGGAGAATTAAATGGCGAATCACCGTTACAAATATTTTTGCAAAAAGTGATCATTGTGTAGTTTATTGACTCCCCGATTGACATATTTCGTATGATTAATTTGCGATATAAAAAAAAAACGTTTCTCACCTACAGAAGTCTCGATAGTGTTCGAATCATGGTCTTGATTTTGGACACTTCGTACGGATACGACTAAACAATTCACCAACAGACCGAACCGAATGATGGTAAGAGCGCCCATGTCGTCTTTTAAAAAAATGGAGGCGACGAATGGCACTCGTTAACTGTAAAGCAATGTGACTATTTTGTAAAGTTGCTCTTTTAAAACTCGCGAACTGGATGTCCCCCCCTTGATTCTTCAGAACCGGAGGAACCAATTTGCAAGATGTTCTCAGAGGATGCTACTCGCCCAACCATCAATTATTATAACAACTGTATGCGTTTAATTCGAGAAGTCCGTATGATCGGCTAGTGGACCCTATTACAATAACGTCGTTTTGCATGTCGCACACGATTTATACAAAGACAATAGTTACCATTTTTATCGGTTAATTTGTTATTATTATTATTTCATGGTTTCTGTGTCCAGTTTTCTCCAGAATAGGAACAAATTTAAATAAACTACATAATCTAATAACAAATAGGTATAGTCTGGCCTAGGGTACAGTTCTAGTGTTGATTTTCATTGGTATTATTAACAAGATTTTTTACAATGTAGTTAGGGTGGATTGAAAATTGTTAATTTACGAAACCCCTATAAGAATCGAACATAGCCAAAAATTTAACAGTACAGCATAGCATTTATTTTTTTAGTAGATACAATACCAATACAATAATACAATAAGAATAACATGGGCAAAGAAATGTTGGGTTATTTTGATTCCAGTTGACCTCTTCTAAAGTTTGATCTTTTGGACACCCAGTATATTATATATTTGTTACTTGTTCTATGAACATATTCACTAAAATGGGAAATATTACAGAGATAATTCCAGTAGGCATTAACTGATTAATGTTTGCTATTTATTTGTGCTTTTAATAATTATTAAACAAATTTTTTATTGCATGTCTTAATTTTAACCTTAAGGCACTGCGCATAGGGCTTTTGTATTCTGGTCTGGAGGGCCCCATAAAATGAGATCGTGTTAGGTGCGCCATCTGTTCGAAACACGGTAATGTGCGTACAATTATTGATCACTTAGGAAAGGAAGAAAACGGTGATTGAAGCGAGTTTCTTTGTGCATATCGAGACAATAAACCTCAGTCAACCCAAATAATAAAGTTTGTGCTGCTACACTGTAACGGGTTAATTTAATTAATTAATTATTGATTTCGTGTTGCGCTGCCATCTGTTAAGCAAGGTGAAAGAACGTTAGACGTTTTTCTATACCCCCCAAAGAATAGATTGTTTTAACATAATTGTTTAACGTTTGTGTAATTAAAAAAAAGTGCCCAAATCCTGTCCCACAATATTTCTAAAACTACCCCCTGCAATTTTGGCATTATTAATTCATTTATTAATTTGTACAATATTTTTGGTTAGTTTTTTTTTGATTTACGCTAATTCTGCGCTGTAATTTCCTGTATGACTTTGCTAGCAATCTTTGAATTTCACAATATTTTGCCGTTCAATTTTTATATATATTTTTTGATTACTTGTTTTTTGCCAAAATTTACTAGAAATTTTACCACCAACAGGTGGTATCACTGGAATGTCTGTTTGACAACAAGGTGCAAGTCGTTGTTACTACGATTCAGCCAAAAGGAATATCGCATTGTACGTTTCACCTGTATAATCTGTTTACTCGATAACATTTCGAATTGTTTGTGGTGTACTTAAAAGTGTGTGTTAAAGAGGTACGTTTTAATAAATCATTTTAATACTCAATACCATATCCTCGGTACTTCAGTCGAAAATATGGTGGTCCTAGTTTGACCCTATTATTGATACTGGAGTTTTAGGCTATGAAAATGCCACCAACCGATAATAAGAGTACCGACAACGGCATTTACGACTTCGAAGAGACCTCTTTGTCGATAACCGCTGATGAAATCGAGACTACTGCTGTGGAAGAGTTTGAAACAACTGCGGAGAATGATTTCTCTGAATATATGTGGATGGAGAATGAAGAGGAGTTCGATAAAGAGGTTCGTTCGTGACTTAGCAATGTTGATTTTATAAACTTCATTTTAGGTTATGCAAAGACTGGAGGAGGAAGAACTGATGGAGGAGTGTATGGAGGCATTCATGAGCGAAGAAAATTCAGCACCAACCGCAACTCAAAGGCACGTATCTGTATGGTTCAGTTATCAGTTTGGTAGTTGTTTGAGCGCGAAAGAATTAGAAGGTCAATATTTCGTTTTACTAAATTATGCATTAAAAGAGGTCAATGGTATTTTGGAGATATGTGAGAGTAATGTTAATTTTTTTAGTCAGTTAGAAATTGGGTGTTATTTATAAATTGTTGTCGTTCATTTTTGTTTTCAGTGCATTAACGGTGTCAGAGTCGGTCCAGAACTCAAAATTAAATCCTGAAGCTGCTGAGTTTGTTCCCTTACGTCGAAACGAGACGCTTGTCCCAGACACCCAAGGCTCGACAAATGAATCTTAAGTAGATTTACCCGCCCTGTAAATAATTAGTTTGAACCTAATTTAAGACGTTTTTTTCTGCAGTTTTTTCTCCATGATTTTGAATTTTTCCTAAGATTGCATTTTTTTTTGTTTCTGCTAGTCCAAGATGGTGTTAGATGATGTCATCAAACTTACGAATGGGTTGGTATTGTGGGCATAGGCTGTTCAATGATTGTACGGTTTTTGTTTTCTTTTGCGGTTTAGCCTGTGTAAGGGGATCAGCCGAGTAAAAATTACTGTGGGGTGTACATTGAGCAGTTTTGACTTTAAATAAATAAAATTGTTCCACCATGATCTCGTTTTGTGTGATAGATATGGGAGAACGCAAAAAAACTACTTACAATTTGTTTTTAGTATTGCTCTCTTTTAAACGGTGAAAAAAAAAACATAATTTATATGATAATATTAAATATATTATTTAATTAAAACCGTTGTCTTATTTTCTCCGAAATTGGTAAATAGACGGCATTATTTGGACTTTCTTTTATTATAACTGCTACTGCGCGGAAAGTCCTCGAATTTGCTGCCTTAATTAGTGCGAGATATCTTTTAAAATGCGTTAAAATCATTGATTGCGATGTTGCCATGCTATGCTCTGAATTAAAAGAAGACTCAATTTTTAGATATATATTTATTTAATTAGAAATTTCACACGATCAATAAATAATTATGACTATACAATAAAAAAGTTTCGTGATATGTTCACATAAAAACCCAGCCTTCTCTTTAAAATATATTTGTAACAATTGATGTAGTACCTTCGTTCGTTTCGTTAAGTGGGTAGATAGATTTGTGCTAAATCACGCGCCAAATATAATTTTATTTTACTCCCCTAGTAGTCGAAAATAGATATTTGTATATTTATTATTTTTGAATATGCGCGATCGTTTTGATAAACGCCGAATATTTTCGGTTCTAATAAGTGTATGCATTTTTTTTTTCGAATAAATTATAATAAATATTTTTTTGCAGAATTAGACTTTTTGAAGTGTATTTTTACAATGATTCACACAAAGACATCGATTATGCATAAAAGTGCCTAATGACATGTGGATATGTACACTGATCGCGTGGAAAAAAGTCTAATCGAGACGAATTTTGGAATCTTGGGTTTATATTAGGACCGAAAAGACTCCGGGGTAAAAAGAACAATCGCGCATACTTCCTTTTTGCTTATAATCTAATAGTTCCTGTGTGCGGTATTTTGTGATTGTGCTAGGTTGATAAGAAACATAACGACAAGGGACATAACTCGTTAATGAGATGGTAAGTGTCAGGTCGTTATCTTAACAGAAGACATGTCCCTCGTCGTTCCGTCGCTATATACAAAGATCACAATAATATGTTGCCAGAGAAACACGATAGGTTGTGAAATACCAACTTTAGGCCCTACGGAAGTTAATGTAACACAACTCGCTTCGCTTTTTGTTTGATGGCACTACAACCATATACTTTCCATACATTTCGATAAAACGGCAAATGTGCAAACATTTCGTTACCCTGCACAATTCGTAACAAAAACCCTCGCACTTTTGCGTCTCCTTATCGTCGTTCGATTAGTGTCTAGAAGTTTTAGTGCCACTTTAATTGTTTTGGGAGTCATTTATACGTTTACATTGATGAAGGTGATCACACAGTTATCGATATATTGTATACGATAAAAATTAACGTTAAATGTAAAAATGTGATCACAATTAATTGCACCTTAATATTTAATAATACGACTAGAATGATATGCAACGTTAATATTGCCCCGGGGAAAGCTTGCTTCCCGACCGGGCTTTGATATGTATGTATATAAACACTTTGTCCAGGATTTCCAGAAAAAACTCACAGCGGAGAGATAGATAGAACGCAACAAGGGACGGATACTTCGAAACTGACGCTGCTGGCACGCGCATATATATTTATATCAATCGCCGGATAACATTTAGTTGGGAAGATAAGAATAAAACGACTTGCTCAACCGCAAGTGCGGCTGTGGATGTGCAAAAAAAATAGCAGCGCGGTCCGGCATAGTTCAGTCTAAAAATCCCGTATTTACCAATTTTTCCAAAAAGAATTTCACGTCTCCCAGCTCGGAATCTTTGATACCTAACGATTTTAACATCCCCAAGTCGCCATTTTCTACCGCCATGAACACCGAACGCAGATGCTCTAAATCCGATCGCATCAGATGCAACGCAGCTCCAAAATCTTCGATCGTTTGCGACTCTGAAATCGAAAAAGACGTCGAAATATATTAGCGATAATTATGGTGGCTTACCGGATAGGGCAATCGCTACTTTGTCCACGCCTCCCAAAGGCTTGAGCGCGTCTCTCGCTTTGCTACCGAACAATTTCTCTAGGTAATTGGGTCCATGACTAGCTAGCAATGACTTCAGGAAACTGCCCGTTTCTTCAACCGGAGGCCTTTTCGCGGCAGTACAAAGACGGGAATCTTCGTCGTAACCGTCCGGACAGTCAGGAGCGCCGTCACATAAATATTGAATGGATATGCAATTTCCATCCCCCGGGCATTTAAACGGCTCGTAGGGATGACATGCGTCTCCTATAGAAAACCGCTAGACGTTTATAAACCGCTGCGACACAATTTTTGAGTTGCAGAACTTAAGTGGATGTCATTTATGATCTATTTTAAGTACACATATCTATGATTATTTCAAGGACATAATATGATGACAGCTCTATGGATATTATAAATATTGTTGATGCTTTGGGGAAGTTATAATGAGTTATAGAGGTCAAAATAAATAAGAACTCAAACTTCAGATTTTCAAGAACAACAACACCGTGTCTTTATCAAATGTACCTGCTACATATATACCGAAAAATGAGCATAAAACCTTAATTAATGGAAAGGAAACCTTCACACGCGGACACAGTCATACATAACAGCTCAAATCACATATTTATGCACACAAAATGGCTGCATTTCACTCTTTTATACACAGACTTCTTAATACGCCACTCTCAACAGAAAATTACATCAAAGAACTTAATATCATTAAACAAATTGCATTGAACAACGGCTACAATCCGTCCATTATAGATAAAATTATAAATAAAAAACAAATCCAGACAACAGTAAACTCCATTTATCCGAAACCTAATACAGAATACGAACAATTAAAAACAATTACATACATAGGAGAACCTAGTGAAAAAGTTTCAAAACATTTGTTAAAATGTGGTTTAAAAATAACTTTCAGAACTAACAACACAATAGGAATTTTTTTACAAAACAATAAAACGAAATGTCCAAAATCTCAAAAATCAGGTGTTGTCAGGTTGAAATGCGGATCTTGTCCTAAAATTTATATTGGACAAGCAGCTAGATCCTTCAAGAAACGCATTAACGAACATAAAAGAGCGTTTAAAAACAACAGTCTAGATTCTAATTATGCTACACACTTAAACAGAGAAAAATACATTTTTGACGACAATTTTGATATTTTACATACAGCCACAAAAACTAGAAAATAAAATTTATTGGAAGCCATGGAGATCAACAAAATGAGACATTGCTTAACGATCAATTAGATTTAAATACCTCTCCTTTATTGAACTTAAATTCTCACAACAACATTAATTAAGGTTTTATGGTCATTTTTCGGGATATATAGTAGCAGGTAGTTTGTAAATATTACATTTGATAAAGAGACGGTGTTGTCCAAACAATTGTCATGTCAAAATATATAATTTCGTGAAAATCTGAACTTTTAGCAAGCTTTCAAGCAAAAGCCAACAGTTCAGTTATACAGATGAATTTTAACTCTTTTTTCAACAATAAACTAATTTACAGTACAGTATTCACAGGTTGTCTGAATTATAATGGAAAAATTTTAAGAGCGTATTCAGCAGATAAAAATAAAATCAAAAATTTCATATAAACCTTTGTCCAAAAATACTTCGTTTCGGAGATATTGGGTGCGAAAAAAAATAGTTTTGTTTAACCAGTGGCATTCGTGACAACGTTTAAATTAATTTAAATAATTTTTAAAAAGTGGTACTCCAATGGTTTATCTCAATTTTGTTAATAAATTTAGATACCCTGTTCTATTCTAAACAAAAATGGTCTCCTCAGTTTTTTTCGCTAAAACGAACCGTTTTCGAGGAAAAAAAAAGTTGGCGCGCGCGCCTGATATCTGAGATTTGAAAATTAAATGAAGATATTTCGCGCTCATTTAATTAATAATTAACTTTATTAATTTAATTTTAATTATTATGTATACCTAATTTTTTAAAAATAGGAAAAGGAAGGGATTTTTTCGCAATATTTCAACACCTTGGATCTTCTGACATAAATTTATATGAACTTTTTTCCTTATTTTCATCTGCTGAATACGCTGTTAAAATTTTTATATATTATTATAATTAGAACCATCCTGTAGAGTGTATTTTACTGTGTTTACTGTAGTCGGGAGCACACCTTTATGTTGACTTTTGCTCAGTTTATATAAATGGTAAAAGGTGTATTTTAGAAAACACATTGCTGATGTATTCAGTTTAATTTTATTCCACTTTTACTTTACTCGTTTTTCAAAAATTTGTGATAAAACACAAACAAAAATATGTTTGCTGAAAACGTGAAAAATTCCTTTGTTACGTAGTAATGGGATAAGATACAAATACAAACTGACGTTTAGGCAGGAGGCTGCGAATAATCGTGACACGATGTATGTAAATATTTTCGTAGAATGTAAATATATAGGTGTGCGTGACCAAACGTCCGACATGCAACTTCAGTTAATATTTCAAAGAAATGATCACTTAATTTTCGCATTTTGTTATGTTGCTTTGTTTAGAATCGATTTTTTATCAGTGTAACGCAAAATATACATGTTTAGTAATTATAAGTACTATTATTCTAAAGAAAACGCGTGGAAATAAGATTGGTTATTAACAGAATTTAGAGTGGCCATTTTTATACGTGTCCCATTTTTGTTTGTCTAACTTGATGTGCTTTTGAGCAAGAACTAATACGTAAATACGATGCGGCAAAATAGAATGTGACCAGCCAAATACCATTAACAGTTCTTTTGTGTCTAGTAAAATATCCACGGCAGTTGATTAATATCTTCATAATTAAATTGAAAGTTTTCGTGTTTAAGGTCTCGTCGACTTTCAATTAGGTATATATTCAGGGCTAATCTATACGGCGATAAGGCTTACATGCGATAAAATATACCACTAAAATAAAATATGCATGAATGACAACGTAAATGTGTATTGACCTTAATTAGCATTAGCAACCCCACACAATGTATTTATCGATAATGGCAAAGGTTTAAATACCCCATAAGAACCGCGCCCTGTTCTAAATGTGTGCAAAGAATCTGATATAAAACTGGCGCAAGAATGGCAAAAATACGGAAAAATCGCTTCCTATGTTCGGTTGGTTAATATTACATAAAAAATATTTCCTCGGGGTTCAAAACGAAGGAAACGGGGAAACGCAGCGAAAGAAAATAGCTTAGAGGCAAACCAAATTTACAATATCGATCCATTTTACTGCGACACAACTGTTGATGCAGAGCCCAACAAGTGCCTTGTGGGTGTTAATAGAAGGGCGTAGAATAGACACCACCCAAATATCCCCAAGAACATAAAAAGGACGACTGGAGATTTTTTTGCTCTGTTTGAGGACTCGTATGTCAAAACTGCGGTCGAATCCAGACACAAAAATGAAAGTGCGACAACATACCTCGTTTCGAACTGATGTGACCGTAGAGTCGACTCAAATCGATTGCCATAACGGCATTCGGGATAGCAGCAACCATAGTCAAGATCATCACCACCAAGAGCAAGGGATGCGGTGCCCTTGCCACCCTGACCATGGCTGGGGCTCAACAAACCGACGCCGGCCAACTGAGCAATGCGATCCTTCCAGTTTCATCCAGTTGCTTTATAACGATGCGACGTTGCCGGTTCAGATCTGGCATCGCTCTACTTCATGTGGGATTAATTTTATCGACTTGAAGAAGACACCGTGGGAGGGCTCTCTCATTTTGTTTTTCGCAGAGCTTATACCTATGCGTAATTTCCACCAACTAACACCACAAGGTTGCTCGAGCTTTTTTATAGTACCAAATTATTATTTTCTGTACCCAAGTAAACCGTTCCCCTTCCAATTCTCCATTTTTATTTTGTGATTTTGCCTGGAAGTAATAACAATTGTGTGATATGCGCAACAGAACAAAACACTCATTGGGGTACGGAGTTACTCGTGCCTTATCTTCGAATTATTTGACAATTGGCAATTTTTTTAATCGGTAAAGGGTGATAGGTCAATCAATCCATGACAGAGGTTAGCGAAGGTTCTGTAACCCAAGAAAATATTTTAAGTGTGTTATAGAAAGAAGGTTGATTGGCGATGCGTGCAGGAAGTTGCGAAAATCGAAAATTTTTTTTGTATATGAGATTCAGATTTAGATTGGGAGAATTACTGCGACCCAAAGGGTTTACTCTGAGACTCCCACGGTAGTTCTAGAGCGTTATTTACGTTCGTTTTTCAGTTTTGGTTACGTTCAGCCATATAGCTACTAAATATAGAGGCACTGCTGATGCTGATACAGGAATGTTTGAAATAAGGATGGAAAAAATATTGATACGTCGTTTAATATTCGCATGCGCGGTGGTTTCAAATCCCGTTCTCAGCCAATAAGACCAGACCATGCGGCTGCAGTTCGTCAGTTCAACATGTTTCAGTTTAGATATAGCGTTTTTACGGCAGATCTTGTTAAATGTTTTGGGAAAATGAGTTAAGTGTATAAGTAAAAAAATATAGTACGACCAATACATTATCTAAATTATTATATACGCTGACCAGTTGATAGCCCATGAGTTTGTTTCATGGTCCTTTTTTTATCGGTCAGTTTCTTTTCCTAGTTTAGTGAGAACTGTTCAACATTTATTAAGCTGTTTTATTCCAAATACAAGTGACCTGTCTGCTTCTTGAACGGTGGTAATGCTACTTAATATTGTTCCTTTGAGGGCCTGGATCCATCTGTGATCAATGCTGATTCTATCAGAGAATTTGTTATCTCCGAACAACTAGGGAGCGTTTTATTTTTATTTTTTTAAGATTATCGAGGTACATGGATCGATACAACCGTTTGATAATTAATTTCATTTTAACAGAATATAAGCAGTTCTGTTAAGTTTTGGTTAGTTTAGATAGGGGAGCTTAAAAAATATACGAGTTTCCGAAATTTCGAATGGTTGCTATTGCATTGCACAATTACGTTATGTGATTTGCGTTGACATTACTGTTTTCAGATACCTCGGTTGGGTTACCAATTGTTTCTATGGTACAGTTTTTTAAAATTTCGTATGTTTGCAATTTGCCGTTTCCCGTTAAATGTGAGAGAATTTTTAAGTAAATTTACAGGTGCATTTATCGTTACTAGTAAATATTCTTTAATAATAATTTCTGGTGTTTGTTGGAGGAGGTAAACAGGTAAGTGTTATTGCCTTTCTCTTTAAATCGACTACCGGCTTATTATGTTTGTAGCCGGATCCGAAATGTAAGAAAATATTGTTTTAAATTTGCAGGTACTCGGAAGGGCAATGCCTATGGGTGTGTTGGTTTTACTTCAGTTGAAGGCATATAATTTTATTGAGTGAGATTCTAACCACAAAAAGTATAATGGGTTCAACCAACATCCAAATTTTGGTGAAAGCGCGGCCCCTTATTGAAAGGGAATTATCTCAAAAATTAAAACCCATGTGGCGGATTCAAAACAACAGTATTTCACAGATAAATGATGCTGAAGATTGTATTGGTGAAACTTACAGTTTTGGTAAGTTTTAGTTCGATAGTAGCCTTCTCTTTCCATAATTCATTTTTAGACCATATTTCTAATGAGGAACAAACCAATGAAGATATTTACAAATTAGTGGTCAAACCGTTAGTTCATTCATGCCTCGAAGGAATTAACTCCACAATTCTTGCCTATGGTCAAACGTCTTCTGGCAAAACTCATGTTATGATGGGTGATAGATCTGCTCCTGGCGTTATAAGTCTGACAGTCAATGATATTTTAGAATATATTGATAGTGACCCTGCAAAAATTTATTTGTTAAGGTGAGTCAAGTTCACAACCTTATTTTTGCAATAAATTAGAATACTTTAAAAACTCTTATACTGATAATAAATTTGATAGTTTATGCAGTTCATTCATAAGGCTTCTGTGGTAAGTGGTTGTGTTTTCACCTTTGCATAGTAAATTGTGTGTTCATCTGTTATCCCAAATGTGTGTTTTTTTTTAAATCTTCCTGCTTTTTTTTTTTCGGAAAACTGTTTTCACTTCTGTTAACTTTAAAGATGTTCTTATCTGGAGATTTATAATGAAAAAATTCGCGATCTACTGGACAGTCAAGTGAAAGAAGTTAAAATTAGAGAAGATATTCAGGGAATTCACGTAGCAGTTAAAGAGGAAATTGTAAGAGATGTGGGAGACATAATGGCCTTGGTAAAGAAGGGAATGAAAACTCGAAAAATCGGGTGCACTAACATGAATGAACATTCCAGTAGATCTCATACCATTCTTAAGCTGGTGGGTAGTGGAAGTAGAATTTCCATCTTCTTATTTTCTTGTATTTGATATTGCAGATTATCCAAGCTCATTTAAAAGATTGTGAAGGATTAATAACAGAATCATCGTTAAGTTTGGTAGATCTAGCCGGGTCTGAAAGAGTGGGACAAATGAATATGAAAGGTAAAATGCATAGTGAAGGAATTTCTATCAACAAATCTTTAACCACATTGGGATTGGTGATCCGGAAGCTCAGTGACAATGAACAGTATATAAACTACAGAGACTCCAAATTGACTCGTCTTTTGCAACAATCACTAGGAGGTAACTCTAAAACTCTTATAATATGTACTATAACCACTGCAGCAGTTGAAGAAACAAAATCTACCTTGGAATTTGCCCAAAGAGCAAAATTTGTTAAAAATCAGCCTATTGTAAATCAAAAAATTAATAGTAAAGATCAGGAACGAGTATATGAACATCTAATGAATGAGTATGAGAAAGCAATTGATAAACTTAGACATGAGATGATTGATAAAGAGCAAACAATATCATCGTTAAAAGGGAAAATTAAAAGTATTAAATCGTTCACAAGTAAAGTTCAGCAGGGTGATCCGAAAAAAGGCGCAACCCAAGGTTTCTTACTGCGTAGACATACATTAGCTAATTGCCAGGTATTATCCCCAATTGAGGAATCTGATGATAGCAGTGAAGACACGAAAATGTCTCAACTTGACACTGCCACTTCTCTAAAGTCCTTTGATGTTGATTTGCCAGAAAGGATAGCAGATGCTTTTACGCAAACTAGTCCTTTACCTCTGAGAAATTCCACCGAAGTGTTGACTTCACCATCAGTACTTCAACAAAGAATTTTACTTTTGGAAAACTCATATCAGAGTTTAATTGATTTTACGAGGTTGGAGCGGCAGTTTTTGGAGGATTATGAAACTGATGACTTAGATCTGATAGACCCTTTGAGATTCTCAAACTTACAGTTAACTGAATTTCTTAGTAGATATAAAGATAGTAACTCCGATGTGTTAAATTCTCTTAGACTTTTAAAGAATATCCTCGAAAAAGATGATTATGCTCGAAATTCCTTACCTCGCATTATTGAAGAAGACTTGGGCATTGCAGAATTGTCATCAGGCTTGGCTAATGAATGTATAGGATCTCCTGAAAATAAAGATGATGATGGTACTATTTCCACTCAAAAAGAGCTATCAGTTAAGCACAATGAGATGCAACAGCTGGAACTATCGCCATTAGAAAGGGGGATCAATAAGTCTCCTGCCAGTTTAGGAACAGATAACCTACTGTATTTACGGGACGGCTATCGTGAGTTAAAGAGCCAGGCGCAATCTACTTATAGTTTAGGTGAACAAGAAGTTGAGACGTTGAAGAAAAAAATTTCCAATTTGGAACAAACACAAAGTGAGAAGGATGAAGAACTTGAACGTTTTGGCACCTACTGCTGTTCCCTTGAACAAAAAATCGATGAATTGGAAGAATTTACTCAACAACTAAGTGCGGAAAATCACAGGTTGCAAGAGATTACAAAAGTTCATGATAGTCATGTTACAATTTCTACTCAGATCAATATGGAATCAGAAGATAAAAAAGTTGAAGAGTGGACCAGAAAATATTTTATTTTAAATGCTGAACATGAGAAAGTGAGCCAGCAAGTGGCCACTATGGAAGTGGAAAAACAAGAAATTATCCAATTACTGAATTACATTAAACAAGAAAATGCGAATTTAAACAATGAGAATAAAAAATTGCTGGAACAAGTTAAGAAACGGGACACAAAACGTTTTGAAATAAACTCTGAACATCAGAAATTGTCAGAAATTAACAAACAATCAGAAAAAATAGAATTGACACAACAATTGCAGTCCATGAAACAAGAGAATTCAGATTTGACCATTGAGAATCAAAAATTACAGGAACAAACTGACGCTGAACATGAACAATTGTTGCAAGTTAACAAGCAAATAAGAGAAATAGAATTAGAAAAAATCGAAATGATGCGACGAATGCAATCTATACAACAAGAGAATTCAGATTTTAATATTCAAAATCAAAATTTGAAGGAAGAAATTAACAAATTGCAAGAAAAAATTAGCGAGCAAGCAACGCTTGAATTAGAAAATCTACAACTTGAGAATTTAAACATCGTGAATCAACAATTGCAAGAACAAGTTCACACACGGGACGCAAAATATTTGGAAATGAACGTTGAACATGAAAAATTGTTAAAAGTTAACAATCAAATAAAAGAAATGGAATTGGAAAAAATTGAAGTGACACAAAGACTGCAATCTATAAAACAAGAGAATTCAGATTTCAATATTGAGAATCAGAAACTGAAGGAACAAGAAAAAGTTAGCAATGAATCAACGATTGAATTCAAAGAACTAGAAATTACACAACAATGGAATTGCTTAAGAAAAGAAAATGATAATTTAAACATTGAGAAGCAAAAATTGCAGAAACAACTTGAAAAGCAGATGAAAAAAATGCAATTAGAAAAAATAGAATTTATTCAAGAATTGCAATCTGTAAAACATGAAAAAATGTTACAAGTTAACAAGCAAATTGAAGAAATGGAATTACAAAAAATAGAACTGGCGCAACAACTGCAATCTATAACACAAGAGAATTCAGATTTCAATGTCGAGAATCAAAAACTAAAGGAAGAAGTTAACAAATTGCAAGAAAAAGTCAGCAAGCAAGCAACGATTGAATTAGAAAAACCAGAACTTACGCAACAGTTGAATTGCATAAAAAAAGAAAGTGAGAATTTAAACATTGAGAATCAAAAATTGCAGAAACAAGTGAACGCTGAACATGAAAAATTGTTACAAGTTAACAAGCAAATAAAAGAAATGGAATTGGAAAAAATTGAATTAACACAAAGACTGCAATCTATAAAACAAGAGAATTCAGATTTCAATATTGAGAATCAAAAGTTGAAGGAACAAGTTAAAAAATTGCAAGAAAAAGTTAGCAATGAAGCAACGATTGAATTAAAAGAACTAGAAATTACACAACAATTGAATTGCTTAAAAAAAGAAAATGATAATTTAAACATCGAGAATCAAAAATTGCAGAAACAACTTGAAAAGCAGATGAAAAAAATGCAATTAGAAAAAATAGAATTTATGCAAGAATTATCTATAAAACATGAAAAAATGTTACAAGTTAACAAGCAAATTGAAGAAATGGAATTACAAAAAATAGAACTGGCGCAACAACTGCAATCTATAACACAAGAGAATTCAGATTTCAATGTCGAGAATCAAAAACTAAAGGAAGAAGTTAACAAATTGCAAGAAAAAGTCAGCAAGCAAGCAACGATTGAATTAGAAAAACCAGAACTTACGCAACAGTTGAATTGCATAAAAAGAGAAAATGAGAATTTAAACGTCGAGAACCAAAAATTGCAGGAACAAGTTAAAAAGCAGATGGCGAAAATGCAATTAGAAAAAATGAAATTTACCCAAGAACTGCAGTCTATAAAAAAACAGAATTCAGGTGCAAACATTGAGAATCAAAAATTGCAGAAACAAGTGAACGCTGAACATGAAAAATTGTTACAAGTTAACAAGCAAATAAAAGAAATGGAATTGGAAAAAATTGAATTAACACAAAGACTGCAATCTATAAAACAAGAGAATTCAGATTTCAATATTGAGAATCAAAAGTTGAAGGAACAAGTTAAAAAATTGCAAGAAAAAGTTAGCAATGAAGCAACGATTGAATTAAAAGAACTAGAAATTACACAACAATTGAATTGCTTAAAAAAAGAAAATGATAATTTAAACATCGAGAATCAAAAATTGCAGAAACAACTTGAAAAGCAGATGAAAAAAATGCAATTAGAAAAAATAGAATTTATGCAAGAATTGCAATCTATAAAACATGAAAAAATGTTACAAGTTAACAAGCAAATTGAAGAAATGGAATTACAAAAAATAGAACTGGCGCAACAACTGCAATCTATAACACAAGAGAATTCATATTTCAATGTCGAGAATCAAAAACTAAAGGAAGAAGTTAACAAATTGCAAGAAAAAGTCAGCAAGCAAGCAACGATTGAATTAGAAAAACCAGAACTTACGCAACAGTTGAATTGCATAAAAAAAGAAAATGAGAATTTAAACATCGAGAACCAAAAATTGCAGGAACAAGTTAAAAAGCAGATGGCGAAAATGCAATTAGAAAAAATGAAATTTACCCAAGAACTGCAGTCTATAAAAAAACAGAATTCAGGTGCAAACATTGAGAATCAAAAATTGCAGAAACAAGTGAACGATGAACATAAAAAATTGATAAACGCTAACAAGCAAATAAAAGAAATGGAATTCGAAAAAATTGAATTGACACAAAGACTACAATCTATAAAACAAGAGAATTCAGATTTCAATATTGAAAATCAAAAGTTGAAGGAACAAGTTAAAAAATTGCAAGAAAAAGTTAGCAATGAAGCAAGCAATGAATTAAAAGAACTAGAAATTACACAACAATTGAATTGCTTAAAAAAAGAAAATGATAATTTAAACATTGAAAATCAAAAATTGCGGAAACAACTTGAAAACCAGATGGAAAAAATTAAATTAGAAAAAATAGAACTTATGCAAGAATTGCAATCTATAAAACATGAAAAAATGTTACAAGTTAACAAGCAAATTGAAGAAATGGAATATAAAAAAATAGAACTGACGCAACAACTGCAATCTATAACTCAAGAGAATTCAGATTTCAATGTCGAGAATCAAAAACTAAAGGAAGAAGTTAACAAATTGCAAGAAAAAGTCAGCAAGCAAGCAACGATTGAATTAGAAAAACCAGAACTTACGCAACAGTTGAATTGCATAAAAAAAGAAAATGAGAATTTAAACATCGAGAATCAAAAATTGCAGGAACAAGTTAAAAAGCAGATGGCAAAAATGCAATTAGAAAAAATGAAATTTACCCAAGAACTGCAATCTGTAAAAAAACAGAATTCAGATGCAAACATTGAGAATCAAAAATTGCAGAAACAACTGAACGCTGAACATGAAAAATTGTTACAAGCTAACAAGCAAATAAAAGAAATAGAATTAGAAAAAATAGAAATGACGCGACAGCTGCAATCTATAAAACAAGGAAATATTGAATTAGAAAAATCAGAACTTATGCAGCATTTGAATTACTTAAAAAAAGAAAATGAAAATTTAAACATTGAGAATCAGAAAATGCAGGAACAAGTTAAAAATCAGATGGAAAAAATACAATTTGAAAAAATAAAATTTATTCAAGAGCTGAAGGCAATGACACAAGAGAATGAACATTTAAAAATAGAAATGAATCAACTTTTTAAAACAATTAGCAAGACAAAAGCAGACCTTCAAGTAGAAAAAGATCTGTTTAAGCAAAAACACGATAAGGAATTATCAAAATTAACTCAAGAGCTAAACAGTATCCTTCATACAAAAAATAATTTGGAATCTGACAACAGAAAATTAATTCAAGAATTAGAATTATTAAAGAAGGAATTTACTGGCAGGAAGAAAAGTTTGGAGATGCGAAAGCATGAGGAAAAAATAAATGACAAACATAAAGGAAAAATGACGTCTCCCGTTGACCATCGCAAACAAAAAAGGCATTCGCTTCACGATCTTAACAGAGCGTTGCCCGAAGAATGCGTCTTAAATTCAGTCTGCTCTCAATGTCAGCCAATATTGGGGACACTAATTGAACAACATCGGAAAAAGGATTCGATAAAACAAGAAATTATTTCCGATCTGGAAAATAAATTGCGTAATTGTAAAGGTAAAATATATATTTTTAAAAAGATCTATGCTGTTACGATTTTTTTTAGGAACGTTCACCGTTTCTTCGCTCGGAAGGGAACTAGAAGATAACGAATTGTCGAATGAAAATATAGGTAAGTTGTCGCTTGAAAACCCCATTAAATCTCTAATATTAAAGAATGTTATTTTAGGGCCGCGAAATACAGTAAAAATGTCTGACTGTAAACTTGAACGATTTAAAACCCAGGCCCAGAAACGGGACGCATCATGCCAAGTATATACTTAAGATAATTTATTATTTTTTTATTATTATTTATTTGTTCGGCAGGTGACGTTAATTGATGCAAACAAATATGAATTCGCAAAAAGTCTGGCTGACTTAAGAAGAATCCAGGGCAACTATTTAAGGAAGCAACTCAATTTACCTAAAGATTGTCCCATTGTTGTGCCTGGCACCAGCAGCAAAAATTAAGCCGGTGATAAAAGTTTGCTGGAGTTAAATATTTTCGTTTATTTGTTTGTTTTCTTGTTTTGTACTTTGTTCTTTTTGTACCTGAAAATTAGCAATAGTTAATATGTGATACAATTTTAGTTCTTGTTTTTCCATACCAAAGTTAAATACTTAAAAATGTTTTTGTATTTTTGTTTATAATTAAAAATGATAATTAATAATTAATCAATTTAATTGTCCTATGACTGCAAATACTACAGTTTATTATAGTTCGAATTCTCTCCCACAATATGACAACAGCTTAATAAGTTTTTCCTCCCTCCTTTTTTGTGACATTCTATGTGTTCTATTTGGACGGTTATTTTTTCTTATTCTAGAATATACTTTTACGGATAACGACAAATTTTATTGCCGCCAGGTTGAACGTGAAGTGCGATAAGGACAGAGATTTTAAAAGAAGTTGAATGAAAAAATTTAGGGTATTGCCTACACTCAATATATGAATCGGTTATCCTTATCGTTGCGCATAAATTATAGAAAAAGTATTTATAACAAATTAGCGCTCCATCAAGGAGTGCGTTATAATAACAATTATTCTGAAAATATTTCCAAAACGGTATGACAAGGTGGTATTTTGGGTCCTATGCTGTTTTCTATTTATATTGCTGAATGCTGTAAAATGATTACATCAGTTATCACTCTTAATTATTTTATATTAATATAGCTATTAATCAGAGACGGTGACTTTACTATTCTCAGTGATATTTCTAGCAAGCATGGCCCTTTTCCTGAATGAAAGAAAAAGCAAAAGTGACTATCCTATCACATTCAAATTTATTTTAAATGGAACTATTTTACAAGTCGTCGCTGACTGGAAAGATTTAGGTGTATTTTTGAGCATTTTTTTATAGTAATCTTCGCTTTGAAGGTCACGTAGGCTTTCATCCAAAAATTGTTCTATAAACTCCGGACTCTGTATTATGACAGACAGCTGACCAAATTCATTAATACTGTCGAATATTTTATATTGTAATACAGCCTACTGGCCTGCCTTACTTCAGACAAAAACAGCATTCTGCATATTCAATTCAAATTATCCTATAATGTTCGTAAGTTTCATCATATTTCTGCAACCTTTAATGAGTCATGCTAGAAGAAAAATAATCTCTCTCTCTCTCCAAAGACCAATACACTTAAGAAACTTATGCGTAGCTCAAATATTCATTTCATTCACTTATCATAAGAAACTCTTCCCTGTTCCCAACCATAATAACGCTATCAAAGCTTACACTCAACTTACTGACAAACTTAGATCACCTACTTCATTACTTTGAAACAAAAACAATTTTTCTTTTTAGCATATTGTTTGTAAACTTTTTTGACCTTTCGCTTTTACTATTTTGCTCCAGTAGTGCCCTTCTTTCTAATCTTTGCTTTTTTTTGGGATACGTATTATATATCCTATTCTATATTAATTCAGTTCAGGATCAGATGTATCTGGGACTGGTTGGTTCCTTTGGCGGGTTGTAAAAGAACAAAAATGTTGGAGTAATGGCATTTTATTATTATTAATCAGAAACTGGACGGATTCTTTTGGTAGTGTATGATATAAAACAATGATAATTAAATGTATAATGTTAGTCAAACATGTCGAAGTCAATTCTTTAGAGTTTCTCCCCTATCCAAAAGGGTGTTTTCCAAAAGTTTCATGAGATCCTCAGGGTGGCATAATAGCTATTTCAGATGCCCTTAAAAGCATTGCAATTAATACTGTGTTCCTTCTTGGTGCTACAATATCGACTCATGGTGGCGCTTTTCGTCGCCCTTGAAATCGACCTGAAAAGAAAAACAAAAAGGTTTCAACATTTAATTAGCCAATTTTGAAGCACTTTAAATTTATTTGACTTCAGATTTTTTAAATCATCAATAATTGTCAGTCGGGAAAAGAAGACAAAATTAAATAAAATCATCATATGAAATAAAACATTTAAAAAAAATCATAATTATTACTTACATAGTTCATGGTTACTGGATAACCACATGACTCTCTATCTGAAACAGATTTGTACCGCAATTAATAGACATTTACCTCATTCACGACTTTATGGTGAAAAGGAATGTAACAGTTTCAGAAGCAAGCAAATTTGACGTTTAAGCGGACAAAATTGCTTGAAATGAAGTAACTGGATTGATTTCTTTAGCAAGGGTTTCACGCCAGTTTAGCAAGATTGAACCAAACTGGTTCTAGTACCTTGCACTACATTTAATCTGTTATTTTACAGGAAGTACCTACCTTTTACTTTTGTAGATGTGCTCTTGCCGGTGGAAGGTGGTGGTCTGTAAAAAACAATGTATTAGAACATAGGGATGAAGCCATTTGTTTTCATTGATTGGCATAACACTTTGTTGTTCTATTACAGTTTCAAAAAAGGCAAATAGGCCTTTTCCAAATATGTTTAGAATCCTAATTTTCCACACACATGAACGTTTCAATAATAATGCCGTTTACTATGAAACTGCCTGAATGTGGACCACTGATTTTTGCTATTGAATAAATAAAATCCGTAAATATCCAAAGCATCGTTATATTTAAAACTCAGGAAAATATGTTCTTCAAATTAATTGAAGCTATGGATTTGAAATAACTCGATATAGTTCCCAATTTGCCCAATATATTAAGGGATAAAGCCAATTCTCACCTTCGTGGGAATGCAATCCACCGTCACAAACAAGCCCGCAATGCTTTGCATCCACTTTCTATCGCAAATGATTCCAAAGAACGCAGAAGTACGTTTTTACTTTGTATCAAAGTATACCTGACTGTAGGACCACAGAACGAAATTGGCAGGAATTATTTTGCAAAATATTTTTCTATGGGTGTAATCAATCAGAAGTAGTACCGATATATAAAATGATGCCAATTTAACTTAATAATAATATAATAATTCGTAGTACTAGATATTACTAAAATGTGATGACTATATATAATTAGATATTACTAATAATTATGTCTGCGGTAATAGCTACTAATTAGCAGGCGTAGTAGTAGTAATAATAATGTAATAATAAAAATTGGTACATTTACTATCACTTTGCATTTATTTACCTTTTTTTTTCATTTATGACTTAATGTGTTAGGCTTTCGCTGTATCTTTTTTCCGTATAGATTCTTTGATAATTCACCCAACGGGGCTTACGTCTAATCGATAAGTTTTACGTAACTTGTTCCAATTGAATTTTGTTTATCTTTTGTTTTAAAAAGTGACAGTTCAAATATTTTTGAGGAATTGTGTAATATTTTGATCGAAAAAGTAAAATGACCGTGATTCGTGGGAATAAAAACTACAATTTCTCGAAACCATGTTCATCGACGACAGCCTCAGATACTGAATCCTTACAGTAAGTTCAATAAATGGTCGTTTATATTTAATTAATACTCTCGTTCTTATCTAGTCTGGATAGTGCATCTGCCAGTGATGCTGAATCTTACATTGAGCCCAACAGCTCCAATAGAATTTATCGCCCGCTATCAGTAAGATCAGGTTTTGAAGATGATGCAGTACACCTTAAAAAGGCTTCTGGGAAGAAGAAATTGAGAAGATTTGAAAACAGTATGTCACAATTTTCAGAAAAATTTCCTTAGTCCCTTGTACCCCATTTTAGGATGCCAGTTGCATACTCTCAGTGAAGATGACGAAGATAATGCAATGGTTGTAATGGAATATTACAAGAGTCCCTTTGCCAGATTATTGGAAGATGCTGATGCTATGAAATACTGGAATATGTTTGTTGAAAAAACAGAGGAAGAGCAGGAAAATATTATAAATGTTTTTTCTAAACAGTGCAATAAATCCGGTGGAACTCAGATTCTCAATGAGATATCCACTGGAAAAATATCTACTAGATTTAAAAGGTCATTAAAAATAAGAAAAAAATTGTCTATTGATGCAATTAAGTGTTGTGAGGATAATCTGTTGATGTTCTTTAATTCCAATACCACTGGCAGTTATATAAAGTCCCCAAATAACAGTTTTGAGAGGTTGTTGATCAATGCAATTGCTCACTACCATGGTTTGGAATTTAAAAGTAATTTTGGTTGGAAGAAATATGATAGATATAACATTTTGCTATATTTTTAGACATTCCACCTTCAGGTGCTGGTGAAAAGCGATCAGTGGAGATTTTTAATAAAAATGAGAACTGGTTACCTGCCAATTGTTTTTTAACCGACTTCATTAGACAACTCAGATGAGATTTTTTTGTACTATTGTTTATTGTAATAATTTGATTTTTATGTAATATTACATATTGCACTTTATGTTGTTCTAATTAGATGTTTGTTGATGTATGGCTTAAATGTTTAATATATTTTGATACAATTTTAAGGACTTGAGTTGTTATTTTAGAAGAAAATTAGAACAACTATATGTCAAACTTTATTTTTTTAATGGACAATATAAAAATATGCGACGTCATGTATTTACATTTAAGGAGCAACATTATCTTAAAATAGAAAAAAATAAAAACTAAAATAAAAATGAAAAATTCAATTATCCTATTGTATCATTGGAAATTAAATGGTTTGGAGCATCAGCAAACATTACTTTTAATTTATAAGCTTCTGCCACTAACATGCTTATTTGAGAGCTAGTCCATGATTGGGTGGGAAGGTTTTGTAACAGTAAAAGCAGTCCTTGGAAGTCATGCTGTTTCATCAAATCTTCTTTCCAATATAGCAAAAATGCAGCACACACATACAGCTGAAATGTTGCAAAGCAATCATTTTCTGCTAGATAGGTATCCCATAGACGAATTGTACATCTTAAGGGAAGTTCTCTTGTCAATAAATTGTTCAACCATCTAAAAGAGAACTGCAGATAACTGACACTATGTTGTTTAAGGTGCTTATGTAAGGTTTCATCAACCCTTTTTATTAACTCCTCCAGTTGTAGGACCTTCTTCTGGATACCTATCTGGGCAAATACATAATTGTCTTGAATTCCGTCCAAAAATTTTGATAGGCACCAAAATGAATCTGCCTCAATAATTTTTTGTTGTTCTTCACTCAAATTGTCAACAATGTAAGTCTCAAATAATTGATTATCATTTAAAAATTCTTGAAGAAAGACAACAAAAAATGGTGTTACTAGGTCGTTAATACCTTGGACATACCCTGATGCAGGATGTCTTATAGACCAAATGAACAATATTCGTTCAAACATAATCTGAACAGTTTTTTGTTGAAATAGTGCAATGCTGGGGTTCATTCTTGGCACATCAATGTGTATTTGGTGTTGTATATCACGGTTAACTTCATCATGTTCTGCATAGTAATACTTTGCCACTAAGGTCCAGTAGTCTTGTCTTTTTCTCTCTAAAACCTCATTGCGTCTTTCGAGATTTATTGGAAGGTACCCGGATAACAATCTCCAGGTAATTCCCCTAACTTTGACAGGAATACCAGACCAGCTTACTTTACATAAGTCTTGTAGGGTGGGAGAGTTTCCCAAAATTGTTTCAAATCTCTCCAACTTGGAATCATTGTCTTCTTCATGGGGGGTATTTAAACAGTGCAATTGCAATGGTCTTCCAGGAATAGAACTAATTCTCACTACATCACTTTCACCAGTAACCTGAAATGAGTCACTTATTGTTTCTAAAGAAAGTTGGTTTTCTGAAGCGGTGCGATGAGTATTGAGGACATTTAGAGCTGCTGACTGAGACACTTTTTTGGATATTTTGGTATCTAAAACCATTAAATTGAGAAAATTTGATACTGTTTTATAAGAAGCCATACCCTTTAATCCTGAACAAAATTCATCATCATCCATAGCCCAGGCATCACTAACTGACGCTTGAAAATCCTGGAAAGAAGTGGAGCCTTGGGTTTTATTTCTATTAGTAGCTTTGACATCCTTCTTTGGACTGGGCCTATAATACTATTTAGTAATTTGCGTTGAAAACATTCCTAACTTTCAAACCTTCCAGGAACATTCTTAAGATTTTTCTTCCAGAATGATGTTTTGTCATCACCTTCCATTATTGACCGACTTACATTAATACTTGTAATAAGTATTTAATATAATGGTTTGCCATGGTTTTCAACCACTTATTTGCCAACTACATAAACCTCAAATTTGAGGTTATCTCCGATTTGAAAGAAACGTCTACCAGCATCATAAGTAATATAATCGCCTATATAACCTTTAAATAGGGAGATGTAGTTTATTTATTATATTTATTTAACAGTTTCCGTAATATGTAGTATATTTTTGCATTTGTAGTGGGTGTGGTGTTCAAAAATTAAATCACATTTCAAAAGGTAATTTCATTTTTTTGTTGGGTGCATAGGTATTTCTGTTATTTATTTATTTTTTCTCACGAGCATTGTCTTTTCTGCTTTGTAACCAATTGTTAATTGCTTTGTTCAATACTAATATTTTCGACATAACTTTATATATATTTTTTTGCATTATGTGTTATGGACTAGACTCGATTATTTTAAAACTTTTTTGTAAACAGTCCTATAAAAAAGATATTTGCTTGCATACTATTTGTAGAATAAGGAAGCAGCAATTTTGAATCCCAACATTTCTAAGAAAAATACGTTCTTTTTCACTTCCGTTCTCTTTCTAAACACCCAACGTTTGTTTCAAAGACACAACCAAGCGCCTACTCAAACTTGGTGTATGCTTATGGTTATTATACTTAGTAATCAGTGGTTTCGTTTCTACCCTTTTGTTTAAGTACGCTTTAAGTTTTTTCCGAATAATCATTCGGATATTCTGTAAATTTAAGTTTCACATGTGGTGCATTCGCCAGGTACCATTAGTTGTAGCAATTGTCAAAATTTTCTACATTTAAGATTACCAATTTTTATAATTTATAACTTAAAAATATTCACCAAACCTTCGTAGAGAATAAAGTTACTAATTACACTAGCGCACTAGTCCCTACTCCTCGATTGTTGTACAGGTTACCAACTAATCCTAGAAAATTTTGAAAATCGAGGTATTAACTTGTGTTTGCTTTGTTACGATAGAATAAGCAACATTGTATGCAAATTTTAAAATAAATGAACCGAGTAAAAGTTTCGAAGATTCGAATTCGATAGGAATATCAAATTGATATCATTAATACTTGCAATTAAATAGTCATTAACCTTTTGTTTAATTAACCTAATACAACAAACATTACAAGAAAAAATTGGTAACAATCTACGAACACGTTGGTATGCCCCTCATTCCCTTGCTCTCTCTTTCTTTTATTTACTGGACAATCTAAAACCGTTTTGAGTAAGGATTTAAAATAATATATTCAGGCTACTGTTTAATCTAAAAAATCAACTTGCAATAGGATAGAATAATTTATTTATTTATTAAAAACGGGTTTTGACAAGTTTATTTATAACAAATGAGCTGAGGTAATTATTGTAATGAACCGTGAGGTGGCAAAGCAATAACTCGGAACGTCTAAAACAATTATTTGTTGTAAATTATCATCATTGGTTAAAGGTCCACTCATTAGCAGGTTTTTTGTCACACGGTATAACGTTTTGTTTCATTGATAAGGTCGTTCGGTTCTGTAGGACCGGCATTCTTCGGTAAAAATCGTCAGTACGATACTTCATTTAAACAATTAAAAATGCATAATATTCTTTTAATTAATAATTTTGTCCAGGAAAACCTTCAGTTCTCCAAATTATGTTGCTCGGTGATGTTTTGGTTTTACCATTCTGTTAAAAATTGTTCGTGCTCTTGGTGATAGGTAGGTACGTCATATCTATACGGATATGTTTTTAACTTTCCAGGTAAATATTTCATAGTAGTGACTCGTGGAGATCCAGCTATTTGTTTATGTATATTCATATTGCACCATAGTACCTTATCCTTCAGTTTTAAGTGCTTTTTTTCTATTTTTTATCTCTTAGATCTGTAGGTTGATAATTTTCGAATCGTTTTAAACTGTGTATTATTTATTTGTGCATACTTTTCATATACACTATATTCACATATCGATAATAATAATCGATGGGTATATCATTTAATTGGCCTTACGATTGGAGAGAGTGTGTTATCGAGGTTACTACTCGAGTCTTTACTTTCTTACTTAAGCTTTTACCAAAACATTTGAAGTACGGCTCGGGTTGAACTCGGGTCGTTTAATCTTTGATATTAGTCGCTTTAACTTTTAAAATGACATCTACTCGTAAGTTTTTTAAAAAATACGCGTTGCGAATATGTTTAGTTAAGTTTTGCAATTTCTAGTGGCGCTTGCCGCACCCGTTGCCAAAATTATGGAACATTCCGTCGATCCAAATTTCGAAAATGCGGAGGACCAAGATTTGGATGAGGTAAATATTATAATGATGTATTCTTTGTAGACGGACGTTGATACGACTAGTTTTTTTTGCGCCACACAATCAATTCGACTTTTCGTTTTTTGATGCTACAAATGGCGATACCGGTGAAAATGAAATCTGACCCCGGTTTTTTTTTGTAACTAACTATTAACTTTCACACGAGCCTCAATGGCCATTGCACATGCTATATGGGTTCGTTAGCCATGCGAGTACGTCAATAGCAAGTTAATGTTACGGTACGACTTCTAAGTAAACACGTTGCTTAGAACAATTTCATCCTTACCGAGAAACGAAGTGCGAGGGAATATTGCTTTTAATTGTCGATTTGTTATAAAAAATAAAATTTTCCTTGCAATTAAAATAAATGGGCTGTACCAATCAGGTATTCCCATGTGCAATTTCTAAATCGATTTCAATTTGATGCAATTAATCCAATTAAGTATTTGTATATCTATCTAATTTAAAAAAATTAAATTGTTCATTTTAACTGTTTAATGATAGATTCGTTTGGCTTCGGTCTGAACTGCTATTTGTTATTTCTATAATTTTCAAACGTACTTCATTGAAGTTACAAATATTATTTAAATTTATTATTGGTTCCATTGTTGATTATAGTGTTAATGACCATAAGTATAGACTATTTCAGGAAAGTGTAAGTAATGAAGTGGGAAATTTCATCCCATTGCATTTGATTTTGGTGTCAATCATATGCGTAGGTTAACTATTTGGAATTAACTTATTTTTCATCCCTACTGTAAATCTGATATTAATAAAGAGGCTTCGTGTGACCACTTACCGTGGTACCTGATTTATTGCCTCTCATTATTTCTTTATGACAGAGTCAAGGGAAATGAGGAATGACGCTTTAATGACAGTAATTAAAATATATTTACGGTAGCGCCATTATAAGTTTATTTGTTTCGTTCAACTCATCAGTATTTGCTGATGTTCCAAAAATTCTCCACTATCAATTTTAAATGTACATAAATTCATTAAATGTTCTCGAATGACTAGAGTTGGAAAGAAAGTCCACCATCTTTAAATTACTGTGGAAGAGAAAGACAGCAGGGCAAGTGGGGCCTCCCAAGAAAAATCCATTCAGATCAATTAAAGTCCTTGATAAGGAACCCAGAATGTAATCCGAATAAAAGTTCACCTTTTTTATTTTAAAAAAGAAATACTCACCGTAGATAAGATTTTAATGGAGCTTGGTCAGGATGATAGTTTATTCCGTTGATACCTGCAAAGTTTTAAATATCACTTAATAAAAATACTTGAGAAGCATAAAGCAGTGTCGAAGAAAGCAAAAGAAAATCTTTTATCCGAGCCCAAAATAAATACCTACTTAAAAGGTATGCGAAAAAGCTATTATAATTTTTTTACAGAAATTGTATTTATTGAAAACATGTAAATACAAGTACGAAATATGTGTATTGAATTTAAATATTAAAAATTTATTTTATTTCTCTTGTACTTGGATGGAAATAAAATTTGTTAGAGACCTGTTAACTAGTATTAAAGTGCCTTCAGGAAAAGGGAATAATCGTCCATTTTGAAAGCGAGTAGGTATTTTTAAAAGGTTTGATACCTTTCAGTCATATAGGATATTACCACTAGAACATGAATTCGGATGTTTTTGAATACTATTTTGGAGAAAACTCCAACTTCAACTGGGATGAAGCAAGAAATTTTTAATTGGTTAACCATCAGACATATTGAATTTGAAGATAATTTAATAAAGAAGAAATACCCTATAGAACAGAAAAACATACGCACACAACTATATCGTTACGAATTAAACCCTATAGAACATAGATGGACGCCAGTGAAAGGATTTGGAGCAAAACAAAAAACGACTTTGGAAATGAAAGGCCTTTAGCTACTTTTTGGATCAAACCATTGAGGAAGTAACAACACAAAATAGTCCAACATGTCAGTAATTATAATGATCACCCGTCCTCAGATGAAGAGAATTGCTATGATTTTTATAAATTAATTTCTGTATAACGTATTTTTTTTTATAATGGTTAATAAAAAATAGGAGTACCTAATATTCTGTACATAATTCCTACTTTTTCTTCTGCCTTTGGTAGGTCATTTTCATTCACAATAGGCATAAATCACAAATTGACCCAGACGCTCGTGTCACCTGCACTCGATAAAAAGATTGGATTTTGCAATGAAAGTGGATTAGTATACTTCGACCAGAAATATAGTGCTTTTACATCCGACCCCGTGATTAACTTTGCGTACTGTTTATTATTTCAAAACCGCGGCCCCTGCCTAGCAGATTCTGACCCGTAACCATTCCAGGACCGTAATAGGGATTTACCTACCTACACTAACAAGCGGGATGTAGGTATGTTTTCAATCTTTTTCGCCGAGAAATTCTTGAAACATGTGCATAAAAAGTATTAGTACAAAGTAACAATTTATGACGTTCTATTTCATTACATTTCTACGAAGTATTATTATTAATATAAAAAATATTAAATATAATAATAAAGTGTCAGTCACTTTAAAAATCGTCACTATCGCTACTGTCGTCACTTCTTTCAGATTCTATTAGCATTTGATGTTTATTAATTGTTTGGAACTGAAAATCCGTTTTCTTCAAAAAAGTACGCAACGAATCTTTAACACAACTAATGTTTAAATCTGTCGGTACTTTTTCATGCAGTTTTTCTAGGGTTAAAACACTATTTACTTTAAAAGCGTCGTCGATTAAACGCCTAATTACATCTGCGAGTTGCTCTTTAAAAACTCGCGAAGTACGAGCATCTTCTCTTACTTTGCTATTGACTAGCCCATTCGCATCAATTTTTCTTACAGTTGACTTTGGCACTTTGGTCATGTCACTTGTTTTTATTGCTGCTCCTTCTTCCCCTTCTGAATTTCTTCTAAAATTGTACATTCAAAACAATTTGTTTAGCATCCGAAGGCAAATTGATCCGCTGCGGTCTGCGGTTAAGGTCTGTAAAATACTTGAAACGTCAAAGCATGCACTATATTTTTGGTCGTATTATAGCCCCTTTGCCTACATAAAAAGGCTTTAGTACTTTACACCTTTCTGGAATAGCCTCTAATTGTATAATATATTATTATTATCGGCTATCACGCTGTATGCATTTTTCGCCACATTATGTATATATATTTTTTCATTTTAGTTCGAAGACGCACCGGAATTTCCGCTGTGAGTTCAATATAAACACTGATTCCGGTCGGCTTACAATCGTTTTTTTTTAGGGAAGATATGACACTAGAAAGAGCACTAGAAGAAAGTCAGCAAGCAATTAATTATTTTTTCAACAATCAATTTATCGAAGCAAAAAATTTAATGAGCCCTTAGTGAGTAATTCAGTTGTTTGTTGTCGTTTTTTTTTACATCTCATCTGGTTGTAGTTCAAACGCTTGCATTTACCATTCATTGGGGCATTCCATATTTTTGTTTTTGGAGGCGATATTAACGGTAGAGCAATCGGCCATCCAAACCGCATCGAAGGCTCTGAAACATTCCCTTAGCGTTTGTAATCGATTCAGGAAAAAGAATACCATAGGCGAGTCTTTGGGGAAAATGGTCAGAAAGAATCATTACGACCAGTATACCGAATTAGAAGCACATGCAGAGTTATGTTACGCCGAATGTCTTTTGTTAAAGTCTATGTTGACTTTTATGGAGGACGAAACCCTTAGTAGTTTTATAAAGGCGGGAATAAAAATTCGATCATGTTTTAATTCGTACAAGTGAGTTTCGGTTTTTTTTTTCTAGCTCAATTTCGCATAAAATTTTCTGCAATTTCAGAGATTGTCAACAGATTTTGTTGAAAAGATCGTGGGAAAACGATAGTTCCAGGCTACATTTTGAAAGTGGCGTTAATATGGGCATAGGAACTTTTAATCTTATGATATCCATGCTTCCTAGCCGGGTGATAAAACTATTAGAGTTCATAGGGTTTTCCGGAAATAAGGTATAATAATATCAACGTAAACGATGTATTTATCTTTCAATTTTAGAACCAGGGCTTGAATGATCTTCACGATGGCTACAGACGTAACGGTATTAGACAAATACTCTGTATAATGACGCTTTTAGGATATAATTTGATTGTGTTGCACGTGCTTAGTCATAGAGAAGGTGATCTTCAAATATGCGAAGAGATACTAAAGAAACAATTGGAAAAGCACCCCGACGGGGTGTGGTTTTTGTTCTTTCGGGGTCGTTTGGAGTTTATGAGGGGAAATTTAGACGATAGCGTCTATTGGTATACGAGGTCGTGGAAGTCGCAAAATCTTTGGCCGCAATTTCACCACGTCTGTTTTTGGGAATTGCTGTGGGTCCACTGGTAAGTCGTAATTTGGTATATGTATTCCGAGATCCCTTTTTTTCTACCTTCAACGCTTTCATGAGCGTAATTGTCAGTTTAATAATGAATTCAATCTGTCGGATAAATTATTTTGGTATATAACACTTTTTATCAAACACTGATTCAAATGTCCATTTTCATCACTCACTCATTAAAAAAATAGCAATTCAGATGGCGTTAATCGAAAGTGATTGTTATTGGTTTTGATAGAAAGTTTCTAAATTTCCTCTCTAGTGAACTTTCTCAGCTACAGCAAAGACTGAGGATCATCTGTCTGATTCCAAAGCTTTTAAGGTAATTAAATGATATAGATTGTTTAACCCTCCAGTTCCTCAATCATCAAATTTCGCTTGATTGAAAGCTAACTGTACGGAATCATTTAAATGATGTTTTTTAAGTACTGTGGTCTATTGACGATATTTAGAATAAAAAAACTAATAATACGATTTTCTGTATAAGAAAATTAACTATCAATTCTATTTAATTTCTAGAATTCGTTTTACAGCTTAAAAGGCGACTGGAGACAAGCTTTGGAATACAGCACCCGTCTAAATGAGGAGAGCCGTTGGTCCAAATGTTTATATACTTACCAAAAGGCGGTGATTTTGCTAATGATGAAAGACGAGCTTTCCATTTCCGAAAAACACGAATTGAACGATCTTATGAAGTAAGTTCGGTTAATTGACGAAACAAACCGCTAAGGTAGATCGGATTTTTAGGAACGTGCCCAAGTACAAACAGAGAATAGCCGGAAAATCTTTACCGATGGAAAAGTTCGCGATAAAAAAATCCAGTCGGTTTTTTAACCAAAACGGTTCGCTTTACGTGCCGGTTTTAGAGTTGATGTTCATGTGGAATTTGTTTAAAATTTTAAAAAACTTTTCGGTCGCCTCCGGTATACTCAAACTCATCGACCGCGCGGAACTGGACATAGATTCGTCGATGAAACCGTCAAGGTACGATAACGACAACAAGGCTCTGGTGCTGCTTTTAAAAGGAGCCGCGTTGAGACATATGGGAACCCCATTACAGGCATTGGAATGTTTCGAAAAGGTAATATCGATACAAAAATCCCTCGTAGAGGATAATTATTTGGTACCATACGCCATTGTGGAATTGGCGTTAACCGAATGGTCGCTCGGTAACAGGGAAAAAGCGATTCTCGCATTGGAAGACGCCAAGTGAGTTTTAACGGGCCTGTTGACTTTGTCGTGGTGGTTTGACGATTAAAATGTTTCAGGAAAAATTACACCGGCTATTCTTGCGAATCGAGATTGCATTTCCGTATCCACACGGCGCTAAGCGAATTCAAAAGCGAATTCAAAAACGGCGCATGACGGCATTTTTTCATACCGCCTAGCTTCTAGTCTAAAAGAAAACTTTTTATTTATAACAACATACCAATATTTCTCGACTTATATTTCGCATTTTATGGCTGTGTTGTTATTTTTTTTTTTCGCCTTTTTATGTATTTTTATTGTTATATTTAAACTGTCGCCCCATATTGATGTGAATCATTTTTAAATTTATTTATTTCTAGGTGACTTAGGCATTATCCCTTCCAGCACCTTTTGTTTTCACAATATAGATGAATTTATTGCAGTAAAATGTTGTTTTTGTTTTTCCAGCTCCGTGGAAACGATTAAAACTCTCGCTTTTCGCATTGAAAATTTATTGAAAATGCATGGCGGCTCATAAAAAATGCATAAATGAGGTCTCAGCTTTCTTGGTTTTGGAAGGAATTAGCCGCAATGGATTAGCTATTGAGGTTCGCGAGAGCTAAAAATTAACTTCCCATAAGTTTCCTAATATCACAAAGCAACAAGTGTAATTTTTATCAATTGTTCGCACAATTTAATTAGGAATTGCGCCAATAAAATGTCGTCGCTGCTCTTACTTCCCCTTTTTTCTACCGCATCTATGTATTAAAATAAACATATGGGGTCGAATTTAAAAAAAGCTTCGCCGATGTGCTAAATTATAAAACGAAAACCAAATATATTTAATGTTAGGGAACTTGGTCGTTATTTTCGCTTTGTTTTTTCACTTGTTCATAAACAATTTCATCTTTTTCGTTGGGGATCAAACTCTGCCGCTCTGGAAGGGCGACGCTTTGGCTCTTTCGCATTCCTGATTTGATACCCGAGTTTGTCTGCAAAAATATGTTTATGCGTCTTTCTAACGCAATAGCGATGGCGACATACCTCAGCTTCCACAAGTTTATTGAGTTTCGCCGAACTTTTGGTGTTAACCTCCAAGGCCGATTTCAGAAGATCGCTTTTCGAAACTTTGGGATTTTTAGTGGCTCCAGAATAGCTGCCTCTTCTGATGCTATTGCTTCGAGCCCTAATAATATGTTGCCTTCCGAGGGAAGTCAACGAGCCGATTTGGTTGTATTCCACCATAATGCTCAAACGTTCCATGCTAACCATGGTGGATTGATCTTTGTATTTTGGCTCTCCATTCTGCAAAGTCGTGTTAGTTCCTAGAAATTCGGAAAGAAATTATTTCATCCAATGTATAAAAGCATGTGTTTTTTACCGGCTTCCTCATCTTCCGATTCGCTGGGTATGTTTTTAAGCCATGTCCAATGCAAAATGGCGTAGAGAATACCGGAAAGTATGGCGAGTAGCCCCATAAGACGGAAACTTTGCCTAATTCCAAATTTCCCGATTATGTTGCCGCCGACGAAACTGCCAGAACCTCTACCGATACTGTAGTGAGCCATTCCACAAACACCAATAAGAGTGGCTAATAGATTCGACGGTGCTAGGATTGCGCAATACGTGGCGGCTGCTACCCACATCAAATGGACCGATATAGATTCCATGGCTTCGAAAGGGAAGCACCACCAGGCACTCCTAAAATTATGGCGTGTAGTTTGGTGTTGCAGAAGCGTGATGCAAAACTTACTCTATGACTGAGTACCCCATAAGCCTAGCGGCATGCGCGAAGAATGCTATAATGATAATATTGACGTGACCCAACTTCTTAGTTATGTTTTCCGCTCCATACAAGAAAGGTAGACTGCTGATTGTGCCAACGGTAACTGTAATACCCAATAGCGAATTGGGTGCTCCCAAATCTTTAAGATAGAAAAAGAGGAAGCTTTCTATGAAACCCCACAGATTGCCCAGAATAAATAAAAATAGTATAAAGACGACTACTTTGGGCATTTTAAATATATTCACGAGTCCGCTGAAAACGTTATCCGCTGGCAGTTTGGTGCCCAGCGGCATCAGAAATACAGCGATGGAGGAGACGACCAGCAAAAAATCGAAAGTATAAAACGCCGCCGAATAATCTGTATAACCCAGCCGCTTACTGTTCAAATCTATCAGAAAACCGGTTATGGGAGAGAATATTGCCATGCCCAAACTAGAAAACAAACGTTCCTTTCCAAAATCTCCGCCGTATTTTTCGATCATCGAGAGCGCTAGTGGGTCCATAATGGTGACACCGGCAGTAACCATCACCGTGCCTACGAATCTTAAGACGAAATAAATCCAGAATGTGCGACTGTCACTTTCTTTGAAGTCGGGTGGACAGATTTCTGGCCCTCCAGTACGAAATTGGCACTTCTGTAGTATACAATCTTTGGATAGAAAAGCTAATCGGCTTTTGGTAGTTCTATTGACTCCCATTACTTTCCCTCCGCATCTTAAGTCATGTTCGTCCAATTCTTCGACGTTCACGCCGTAACGTTTAAGCATACGAGTACTGAAACGTTTTTCTAGGTCAACAACGTTTTCATCTTCTTCTTCGATTTCTATGCCTAGCTGTTCGATTGGTTCCCCTAAGTTTTCGTGCATGTCTAACGTTACGTCCAATATAGCATCCCTAAAAATACATGCGATTATTTTTTAATTGTAGTGGTACTACAAAGCGATTACCTAAGATAAATATGAAAAAATAAATAGTTTACAGCCATTAAAGAAAGCGAATTTGATTTCGTTATATATATTTATATTAAAAAATGCCTTCAAACCCAGTATTGAAATGATTCATTTCAATACTGGGTTTGCAATGTAATAAAAATCATAAGCCATTTTTTCCTTGTAATAAAAGACGGTTTTAGTAAAGTAAAAAAAAATATGATCCTGATCCTTTTCTTTTAATAATTCCCGATAGTAGAATTTGTTTTTACCTGCGGATCTTCTTCAAAAAACAAAATATCTCCTTTTAATTTGATTTAAAACAATTTTGTGACTTTTGTTCCGTGTTTTATGTTAGCAAAAAAATTATAAGAATATGCAATTGACTTAGATATTCTTATAATGTATTAAGCGCTTTTTTTTGCAAATTTTACTATAATACAATATAATATCAATAACAACAATATATATCCTCCAGGTGACATTTTTTATATTAAATTGTTGAAATATTCATATACACATGTACATTGTATATACTTTATGATTTTTTTTAAAGGACGAATAACCAAATTCAAAGTAAATAAAATCCTCAATTCAATTAAAACAAGGTTAGGAGGTGATAAAAATCTTGAAATGTTTTCAAAATTATTTTACTACTCGTTGAGAGGTTTATTAATTTTTGCCTATATAGGGTATGTGGGAAATCTTATATTAATTGATCTCTCTAAAAAGCAGATACAATTAAAATGTTGCACATTGAATTAGTTTTTCAATGTGTTTATTATTAAGCTAAGCTAAGTTTTTAAAAATGTTTGAGTTTGAACAAAATTGTACCCGATTTAGTTAATAAATAAATTCTGCTCATCAAAATATAGCGAACTTGGTATTGCTAAAAATTTGACATAAATGTATTTTATAATATTTGATAATAAAGTATATCTTGATCTTTTCCTTGTGCTAAATCTGGATCGGTAGTCAACAAAGTTGTTTATCTCTTGATCGTTTTCTAAAAAAAAAATTCTTTTGTGACTTTTATTATATTTTTTATTGTTTTTATTGTTCATTGCGAAAAAATTGATACGCTTAACCGGTTTTTTTAGAAAAACACTTTTACATATTTTTATAAAGTATTTTTGATGTAGGTGTGCAAATACATTTTTCAACAATTGAACCTGATTTTTATTTGATAAAGTTTGGGTAACTAAAACACAAAATATATATATATATTGTTGAAATATTTATGTACACATTACATAACATGTATTTTATGAACTCTTTTGTAAGGACGAATAACAAAATTCAAACTAAAATTTGAATTATTTTAAAATTATTTTACTGGCTTGCGAGTTTACAACATATGTTAAAAATTTTTATTAATTGGTCTTCATAATAAGCATTTAAAATAATGATTTTGCACTTTGAATTAGAGTTTTTAAATATGGCTGTTGCTATTGCGGATTTTTTACATTGTCGAGAAGTTTTTCTTTTCTAAGTCTAAGAGTTGTGTTTAATATCGTTGCAACAAATATCAAGTTATGATTGCCTGAATTATACAAAATCTAAGCTAGTTTTTGGAATATTCTTGAATTTGTAAATTTTGATTAATTTTGTAAACAATAAAAGAACCAAATTTCTAAGGTTTTTTTTAATTGTATACTTTGGGATTTGGGCAAACAATTTTTTCTAAAAGCTTTCGCTGAATTTTTTTGAACTTTTTGACTTTAGTTTGAACAATTTACTCATATCTTGTACCCTTAGGTTATCGCTAAGTATAACGATTTCTATCGGTTGGCACAAAGTAATAGCTACAAAGTTTTGTCGTTTTTGAACATTATTTCCAAGCGCGGTTAGTCACTATTTAATTAAATTTTAAACAGTTATTGCTTTTTTATTACCTTTAATCTAATGAACCCTAGTTATCGATTCGATAGCGCTAGTGCGAATTGCATTTCTATCGCAAGTTCATTAAAATAGTCGATTTGGGTCAATTTTACGCCCCGAGCGTTTAATTTGAAAATTTTCCGTACTACCGTTCGAATATATTTCGGACAATCACGTGATTAAGTTTGAAAATGATCTCGGATACCTCGATATAACTTTACCCTAGATCTTTGAGTAATACCAAACTTACTTGGTTTTGTTTCTCGTCAGATGAAATATTAAATCGTCCAAGTCTCCTGGATCAGATTCCGATAAGTTCAATCCCTCTTGTTTCATTTGTTTGGCATTTTTGAGCAAGCAATAATCGACACACGTATCCAGAACGACATCTAATTCTTCGTGTTCAGGGCATTCCCTACTCGGACAAGGGCTCCACCATACCTCCACGTACAATTTTTTTGGATGCGTTATAACGTAAGCCGAAGGCATTTGTCCAGGTGTCTCTTGAGGCGGTATAAGTAGCAACGAATGGTGAAGAATTGCAGATAATAAAAAAGACACTATAACCACTGGCTTGTAGCGACCAAATTTATCGACTAAATAACCGGTGATCGGTGGTGCCAGAAATGTTGTAAACGGAAGCGATAGATATATCAGCGCAATATCTTCCATTTTCAATCCTATGCTTTGCATATGGATCGTCAAGTACGGTATAAGAGAAGATGTTGCTAAAACGGACACACTTAGAAATATACATACTATAGGTAGTTTCACGTGACCTACCTCCGTAAAGGAAAAACAGGGTTATTTTCAACATGATCAGATTTTTATTGATGCCATACCAAGTTTTTTGTGGCGGTAGTATTTCTACGTTGTCTTCCATTTCAGTAGCCGATTGTACTGTTTCCTCTTTGGTGGAGATTTCTTCTTTCGTTCCTCCGTGTTGATTCATGACTATAATATCATTCGGCGGCTAACGGGCGGCAAAAACTACACCGATCTTGTTCCTTCGAATAAAAATGTTAATTTTTGAATATTTATTCAAAAGATAACGATTCTTATCGTGTATATTTAACATTTTATTCAAATATGTTATTATTTGATGATGTAGATATTTGCCATTTACTTACTACTGTTCGTTTCAGATGGGGGTATATGTCATATTAAGTATAGCAAATACAAAAATGCTTTCTTCCTATTCTATTACGTCCCATATACAATTCGGTAGCGTCGTTATCATCGCGGTATCAAGATTTCGAAACCATTTTAAATTCGGCTGAACCCAACTAACATCTACCGCAGTCTTCGTACTTAATGAAACAATTATTTAAGTAACATTTATTTATTTATAATTTATTTAAATGTATCAAAATTAATAATTATAAATAATAATATTAAAAGTGCTAAAGAGTATTAAAACATCAAAAATGTACCCAATCGCAGACATTTCAACCACAATAAAAAAAAAATTGCTTTATAACAATTATTTTCATATATTTTTTAAATTTTGCTTCAAAATACTAAATCTCTGCGCCATGCAAAAAGTGATTAATGCCATGTACTTGAAATTGAAGTTTATTACACATTTTGTTTCGACTTCTTTTTGAATTGTCATTCTTATTAGTAAATTCTTCGTTTCCTTAAATACTTTCTTTAGATATTTATGATTGCTGTAAATAATTTAATTTTATATTAAAAGTGACCAAAATGTCGACATGTTTTTACTCAGGTTTATTTTATATAAGGCTATTTTTTATATAGGTATCTAATTTCCCGAAATATTAAAAGATTAAAATATTTTTACACAAGTTGTTTTATTTTCAAGTTGTTTCTGAAAATGATTTGGTTAAAAACTCAAATTTATTGTTTCTACAGAACTATTTTAATTCTTGTGTGGAATGACATTCGGGAGATTGTAAAAAAAATGAAACCTAAAGGGTGACTGGAATTGAGTTGAAGACCAAAGTACTTAAAAATACGGGTTTTGTTGCGATGATTCGTTGATGATTAACTGAATATTCAAATTATGTATTACATAAAGTTGTAACAGTAATTTTTATTTTTAGATGTTAGTATAATTTCATTTATATGATTTATATAATATTCACAATTTTCCATTTTGACGACTTTATAAAAATTAATTTCGAATTTCGTTTAAAACATTTCTATATAAATAGCATGTTGTATATACAATGTGTCGCATTTAAGATGAAGACGCCCCTATATTTTGGCTATCTCAATGAATAAAGACTTGAAATTTTGCAGAGTTATACAGGTTGATGGTTCGTATTTTTTAGGATACTCAACTGAAATTTAAATTTTAAACGCGGCCTACTGCGAATTTAGAAACAGGGTCAATTTTCGATATTATGCTTCGCACATATCAAATTTTATGACTAAATTCGAATTTTCATTATTTTGGTCAATACCTTCACAAAATTATTTCTAAATAATAGATTCATTTTTTCTTTAATGAATCATTATATGCTGGTCGTTTAGTTAACTTTTTCGGAGGGAATTTTATAAAAATCTTCATCTAATTGTGCGACCCCCAGCTAGATGGTACATCCATTCATAATTCAAAGATAGTTCGTCAATGGTTAAACCAAAAATTTCCTATGGGCTGGATTTGAAGAATCACTCAATTTTTATTTTTGGGAAAGATGAAAGTTTATAAAACGAGGCGCAGAAATCGAGATGAATTTTGTGCCAGAACAAGACAAACCTGTCAAGAAATTAGCATCGCAGAACTTAGACGACTAAGATGAAAAATATTGTTTTAATATTTTTTCTTAAATTTGATTAGTTACCTACTGAAAATTATTGTTTTGTTGTAATAATATTAGTGGTATTTATTTTACTGAAGAATTTAAATTAAATGATGTGTATTGGTCAATATAAAAAAACACTAAAAGTGCGAATTGTCATAAAATTTGGTATTTGGGGTTAGAAAAATATTCGGAACAACTTAACGCGAAGCAAAATATCGGAAATGGACCCTGTTTGTGGACTCGCAGTAGGTCGTGTCTAAAATTTAAATTTCAGTTGAATATGACACAAAATGTGATCCAAAAAACTTCAAATCTGCGAAACATTAAATCGCAGTGCAAATGCCAATTTTGCAAGAAGTGTTTGATGCACATGTACTTAAAACTGAAAATGAACTTATGAAATTATTATATCAACATTTACATTTTTTTTAAGTTTATTATTTATTATTGTTTTGATTCTTCATTGAATTCTTATTCTTATTATTAGCTAAGCCAGAATTATTTTCTACAAAAGATTTTTATACCAGCTATTTTTTACATACGTGAAGCGCCATTAGAGGAGTAAAATATTTTTGCCAATATAATATAAAAAATAATTTAAAAGAGAAAATACCTAAAACTATAAGCTGTTATATTCAAGTTTTTTTTTTTGATAATTGTTTCATGATCCTATTAATTGACGAATCCTGTTCATGTAAAAGGTTGTTGACTTTATAGAATTCTGAAAGTGATTTGGCTAAAAACGCATATTTATTTATTATTTATTATTTTCTACAGACTTGTTTTGTTTATTGTTTAAAATCACACACCTCAGGATGTGAGTTGACGTTTCACATATTCTGGAGATAAAAAAAAATCTTTATTTCAACACACTTATTTTACTACTGCCTACGAGGTAGCACATAAAATGAAAAATTGATAGTCAACAAAAAAATATGAAGGAATAAAATATGACTGAAAATTACATAATTGCGTAGCGTTGATCCTTTGATCATTAGTTTAATATTCAAGTTATGTATAATGCTGTTAGCAGATTTATTTTTCCATTTCATTTTTGGAAGTTGGATGCCATTAAAAAAATAAGTTAGTTTATACTTAAAACGTCTGGCTTGGGGTGCAAAAATATTAAAAAAGTGTTCGGTAATATATTTTTTATTTTTTCGTTGGTCTGTGGAGTTTGAAACCAGCCCCTTGCGTGGGTTATGCAATAAAGTCGCCGGAGCCGGTTGAGGGGCGCAGGTCAGGAAAGCAACCGCGTCCAGTAGGAAAACGTCAAATTCTAACCGCATATATTTTTGCGTAGTGCGATATCGCAATGCCCAGCTTATCGTAAGCTATAAGAATGCCCCTGTTCGATTCAGTTCGCTTAAAATGATTTTAGTTTCCTTAAGGCGCAAACGTATTTTAGTGTTTTGGTTTGAGTGGCGCTGATTCTATTATTTGGTGATGGCCAACGTAACGTTAAAAGGGAAAAAAGGGACAGTCATACATCGTACAACAAGTGAGACCTTAAGGTTGGGCGAAGAAGTGCCTAGCAACCAAGCGAGATGTTCGCAAACGGCTAGAAAAAAATCACAAGCGACGTCTCCGAGTTGTTCCTTTCAAATAACTGGAGTGTTGACCAGATACGATTTGGAAGATGAATCTGCCGACGATTTAGACGAATCTCATACCGACGAAATATCCCGAGTAACAGATAATGAAACCCCGAGTTTTTCTGAAGATTCCAGAGACGATCAGCAGCCGGTCAATCAAAATTTTAATCAAACCAACGGTGCCGGTCCAGGTCCTCAAGAGCAACCCAAAATCGTAACGGCCAAAACCGATAATAAATCGGAAAAATCAAACATTAACGATATCGGCAGATTCAGGGTGGTAAAAGTGGGAAGCGTGGTCCCATTTAGTAGAGGAAGATGGACCTGTTACGATTACGTAGACGAAGGATCCGAAATTAAACACGCGGTCGAAAACGTGGATAATTCATCCACGTTCAGGTCCCCTTATTTGGATAACAGTTGCCAACAATCGTTTTTATATACAGGGTCCATTTTAATGTCCGATCCCATGCCAATATTCGTCCCAATCTCACTGCATTCACAAAGTGCTCAGAGACAAATTTTTCCAAAAGGTTCGACTTTTACATTGCCAAAATCTTCCAGAGTTAGCTTTACCAGCACCAACAGCGTCGACACCGTTATCAGCAATACCGCTTTCGATGGCAACCAAAACGAACAAGTAAGTAAGCGTTATTTCAATTAATCATTTTCGTTTATGTTGGTTTTCCTGCAGGTTTTTGCCCACATCAGCACCAGTTTTCCAGCTGCCGTGGATTTGATGCCGACGAACGCTAATGGCGAACCCACAATGAATGCCAACGATAATATTACGTAAGATTTTATTATTATCACTATTATTTTAGTAAAATTTAAAAAAAGTTCTAACAAAGCCGGTAACCGGAGCTACCGGAGGAAATGAGTTTCTTCGCCGTTCATAAATTTTTTATAGGGCAATAAAACGGTTTGTTTTTAATGACCATAACGTTCGAAGTGGCACGTTTAGGTCAAATAAAGCAGCATTGTTGGCATAAACAGGTAATTGAAATTTTCAAACGCAACCATAAATTCCCATAGTAAAATTCGGATCGCGAATCCCGAAGGAAATTTTTGCGAACGTAAGGATTCTTTAATTCGTATCAAATTTCCGCACAAGTTTAACGCAAATTAAATAAATTGAACGATTCAGTGCGGTCCGGCCGGAATCGGAAGTTCGCGCATTTCGAATCGATATCGCGAACGACGCAGCCGCGGGGGTGATAAAAAATCTCACCCCCCGAGAGTTTACCGATAAAGCCCAGTAAATATACCGAAAATGGCCGGGCGGTTGGAATAACCCCGAATATGGCTGCGAGCCATAAAAAAGCGCACGATAATGGCTGTCCAAAAGTCGAATTGCCGTCCTACGTTTCGGCTTTAGATTTTAACGAAACTTCATTTCTCGCCGTTTATTGTTTTATACGTAATTTTGTGGGGTAAGATTTTTGTTTCGTTTTTATTGCGATTTGTGTTGGAACGTCACCCGGTTGTAATTTGTTACAGGGCTTCGGTTTCTTGTACCGCCACGATAGATACAAAAATTGAACACGCATTGGTGAGTTTTTTGCTCCCTAGCTGTATGTATATGTAGATTGTGATTTTTATTACAAACATTTGGGATTAATAAAATCTTATGTTATTAACGTATTCAATTTTATAAAGTTCGGATATATAATTTTCTCTGACGCTCCTCATAGCGTAAAATCAAAGAAACGTAAAAGGTGATTTTTTGTTAGTTGACGACAACTATTTTCGTACGTCTTTTTTTATGTTATTAATGTATGAAATTTTATTTAATTTCGAATACATATTTTTCTCAGTGACACTCCTCAGAGTGTAAAAAAAAAGACATCTATAGGGTGATTTTTTTGTTAGTTGCCGACAAACATTTTCGTATGTCTTGGGATTCAGATCAAGAAAATATTTTATTTTAAGTTATTAATGTATGAAATTTTATAAAATTTCGAATACATATTTTTCTCAGTGACACTCCTCAAAGCGTAAAAAAAGGCATCTATAGGGTGATTTTTTGTAAGTTGACGACAAATATTTTCGTATGTCTTGGAGTTGAGAAATTTTTGTTGATCTGAACCCCAAGACATACGGAGATATTTGTCCACAACTAACAAAAAATCACCCTATAGATGCCTCTTTTTACACTGCGAAGAGCGCCACTAAAAAAAAATATGTATTCGAAATTTTATGAAATTTCAAATATATAATTTTCTCAAAGACACTCCTCAGATTGTAAAAAAAAGACATCTATAGGGTGATTTTTTGTTAGTTGACAACAAATATTTTCGTAGGTCCTGAGGTTCAGATGTTTATGTTATTATTGTATGAAATTTCGAATACATAATTTTTTCTGTACCACTCCTCATATTTTTTTTTCAGTGAAACTCTTCAGAGTGTAAAAAGAGGCATCTATAGGGTGATTTATTTGTTAGTTGGCGACAAATATTTTCGTATATCTTGGAGTTCAGATTAACAAAAAAAAAATATGTTGCTATTGTATGAAATTTTATGAAATTTCAAATATATAATTTTCTCAAAGACACTCCTCAGATTGTAAAAAAAAGACATCTATAGGGTGATTTTTTGTTAGTTGGCGACAAATATTTTCGTATGTCTTGGAGTTCAGATTAACAAAAAAAATTATGTTGCTATTGTATGAAATTTTATGAAATTTCAAATATATAATTTTCTCAAAGACACTCCTCAGATTGTAAAAAAAAGACATCTATAGGGTGATTTTTTGTTAGTTGACAACAAATATTTTCGTTGGTCCTGAGGTTCAGATCAACCAAATATTTTTTTTAATGTTATTATTGTATGAAATTTCGAATACATAATTTTTTCTGTACCACTCCTCATATTTTTTTTTCAGTGAAACTCTTCAGAGTGTAAAAAGTGGCATCTATAGGGTGATTTTTTTGTTAGTTGGCGACAAATATTTTCGTATATCTTGGAGTTCAGATTAACAAAAAAAAAATATGTTGCTATTGTATGAAATTTTATGAAATTTCAAATATATAATTTTCTCAAATACACTCCTCAGATTGTAAAAAAAAAGACATCTATAGGGTGATTTTTTGTTAGTTGGCGACAAATATTTTCGTATGTCTTGGAGTTCAGATTAACAAAAAAAATTATGTTGCTATTGTATGAAATTTTATGAAATTTCAAATATAAAATTTTCTCAAAGACACTCCTCAGATTGTAAAAAAAAGACATCTATAGGGTGATTTTTTGTTAGTTGACAACAAATATTTTCGTAGGTCCTGAGGTTCAGATCAACCAAATATTTTTTTTATGTTATTATTGTATGAAATTTCGAATACATAATTTTTTCTGTAACGCTCCTCATATTTTTTTTTCAGTGACACTCTTCAGAGTGTAAAAAGAGGCATCTATAGGGTGATTTTTTTGTTAGTTGGCGACAAAATATTTTAAGTTATTATTGTATGACATTTTATAAAATTTCGAATACACATTTTTCTCAGCGACACTATGCAGAGTGCAAAAAAAAGGCATCGCATCTATAAACAAAAAAAAATATGTTCCTAATATATGAAATTTTATGGAATTTCGAAAATATAATTTTCTCAGTCACACTCCTCAGAGTGTAAAAAAAAAAGAAATCTATAGGGTGATTTTTCGTTAGTTGATGACAAATATTTTCGTATGTCTTGGGATTCAAATCAACAAAATATTTTATTTAATGTTATTAATGTATGAAATTTTATAAAATTTCGAATACATTTTTTTAATTCAGTGGCGCTCTTCTCAGTGTAAAAAGAGGCCTCTATAGGGTGATTTTTTGTTAGTTGAGGACAAATATTTTCGTATGTCTTGGGGTTCAGATCCACAAAAAAAAATTATATTGCTAATATATAAAATTTTATGAAATTTCGAATATATAATTTTCTGAGCGAATCTTCTCAGAGTGTCAAAAAAATCTATAGGGTGATTTTTCATTAGTTGACGACAAATATTTTCGTTTATCTTCGGGTTCAGAACAACAAAATATTTTTTTTATATTTTTAATGTGTGAAATTTTATGAAAATTCGAATACATATTATTATTTCCTAGAGTATAAAAAAAGAAAATTTAAGGGTGATTTTTATTAGTTGACGACAAACATTTCGAATATTTTGGGGTGTGGGGTCATCATTTTTCGGTGACACTAATCATTTAAAGAAATACTTAAGGGGTGATTTTTTTGACACGAAGAGAAAAATTCCCTATATCTCGGTTGGTTTAAACTTTTTTTTTCTTAAGGTAATTAAAGTATTAAATCTCCAGAAATTTTGAATGCATAATTTTCTCGGTTACACTACTCGGAGATGAAAAAAATTACTAAAGTTTACTTTTTTTTTGGGTTAAAGACATACATTTCATAACTGGGGAGTTGATATTAAAAAAATAAGGTTGGCATTAAAACATACATTTTTAAGGTCGAATAAGTAATGTGCTCAGTTACCCTCGTCAGAGTGTAATAAAAATGGCTCAAGTGAGAGTTTTCGCGAATTGAAACAAACATTTCATTTATCTTGGGGTATGGGGTAAAAAAAAATTGTTAATGTTATTATTAAAATTTTTAAATAACTAATTTTTCGGTGACACTCGTCAGAGAATGTAAAAAGAATACCTCTTATTTATCTTTTCTTATGATGTGGAGTCAAAAAATTCAATTTTTTAGTGTTAGGTCATGTAATTTCGAATACATAATTTTGTCGGTTGCACCCCGGGCGTAAAAAAATATCTCAAGGGAGATTTTTTTTTTGAGTTGAAGACAAACATTTCAAACATCTTCGCAATTCGGCAATTGTTTTTAATGGAGTATTGTATTAAATTCATTTCATGATTTTCTAATTCAAAATTTATTTAATATAAATATTTTAAACAAGGTTCAGAAAACCATTGAAAAACATTTTTTTAACCCTCCGAATCACTTACTATGTATTTCGTTCGCAATTGCATGCGGATGTACAGTGTAAGTGTTCCAAGGTTGACAAATAAGTGTTGGCCACAAAAACTGATAAAAATTTTAACCTGATTTTAAAATGTACACATTTTTCCTTGTTATTGACTTGAAAATATAAAAATCTCGGAATACTGTTGGCCACAATTTTTTGCAGTTATTTCTTACAGATTGGTATAAATATGTATTTCTTATATAGTTTTTTCTTCTCTCTTCGCAACAAAAAATAATTAGATTAAAATCGTTCCGTATATTTCCAATAATAGAATTTCTAGTATAAAGCGGATCCAAAATTAGGAATCAAAGTTGTATTTCTTTCTAATTTTGATAAATCTAGTGTTTATTACAAAATTTTCTTTTTCTTTTTTTTCTATTGTTTTGGAATACTGTTTTGTCAAGAAATTTCTGTTAGAAAATAGAAAACTAACAACGGGAAGGTTTATTGGGGTTGGTTCATTACATCATTCACCTTAGTCGATATGATATGAGGTTTTTTATCCAAACTAAGAAGTAGTTTTTATTTAATTTTTACAATTAATTTTGTCCAATTTTAGGATGTGGTAAAAAATCACTTGACCCACACAGTCCGTCTAGAAGTAGAAGAGCTCAAAATAAAAATCAATGAACTCGTGGAACGCATATCTTACTTGGAATACGAAAACGACCTCCTAAGGGCCAACGTAACCCCCGAAGTATTGGCAACATTGGGCAATAACACCGAGAGACAAGCTTAAAATCACTATTCTCCTGATATTCGAACAATATTTTTACTTAGTTTTTTTGTACTTCTACTTAGTTAAGACTGGTTGAGGGATTCCTGTCTAATATGCTTGGTGCTATGGAATATAATGTGATGCGGCTGTTGTGCAATTATTTGAGGGAAGTTCAAATTTATACCGGGTAACGGCCTAAGATAACAATCTTCCGTTGGAGTCCAGCCTTTATCGTGACAGTTGAATTTTCGAGGTAGACTGCATACAATTAATTTTAGCGCTCAAATTTAACGCTTCATTTTTTAATATTTGAACGGGTTTGCAAAAAATGTTAATAAAGGCTGTGCTAACAATATTAAGTATTTGAATGGCCCGAGTTGTATGCGTGCCTATAAATATTTTCAATTCATCAATTTATTTTTCTTGAAACTATATAACTGAAATATTTACTGGCCCTCATAATTAGGGTGGGTTGGCTCTGGGAATTTGTTGAAGGGTGATCAGTTTGATTAGGATTTTGTTTTGAGGATCGAATGAATGTTGCAGGTCCAAGCGTATGCATATCCTCCTACGTTTTTTGTTCGGGCACCCGATATACATATTCTCTAGTATTAGTTCGATAATACGGTATGTCGTACCGTTACTTTATTGGAAGTTGGTTCAACGAGTGTTTATTTTTATCACAAATCGTAGAAGCGTATTATTTTTTGGATTAAAAGTCGCCACGTATTCGAATCTAAGATAACAATTATATACGTGACGTTTATTAAACATTTAACTTCTGATACAGTCGGCACACGTATATACCGTATCTTCCTATGATTGCGTAATATTTTTCTTCCTTATTTAACCGGCCATTCTGCTTAGTCCTTCGGTATCTCCCTAACCGCTCCTTCAATGTAATCGAATAAGTTTTAACATAAATTAGTTCCATTTAAAACCTTAGGATTACTAACATTTTTGAACGGTATTATTAGTTGGTACTTACTTCAGGTGATTTTATATTATATTATTGAAAAACGAGCCTTCGGAAATATAATAAAATTATTGAGGGTTATTTTTTTTTCAATCCGTTTCACCCAGGTGCTCCTTTCCTATATGTGGCGGCGATGTAATACAAATTTTAGTTCTATTTTTAGATAGATAAACAAAATCGTAATCACGCCTGTGCCAAAAATAACAGTCGTATATTATAACTGGGATTTGACAAAATGCCCTTTGAAATTATGATAAAGGAAAAACACGTCGGCCTCATTTGTGGGGTGAATACACCGTGTTTTGGCGGTAGCGGTTTACAATTGAATACAAAAATAACGTAAAAACGAAAATATTTGTGAATAATCGTTACGTCGATTCTGTTGGCGCTACAAAATTTTATATTTACAACTCGGAATCACGAAAAACGTTTGCCAACGCATTCCAAAAATATCGTACCCGCTCATCTGAGAGACAAGTCAGTTTGGGTTTTATATCAGTTTCGAGAGATTACATCGGAAATTCGATTTTTATTTTGTTTTGTCGCGACTCGTAAGTACAACATTTTTCGTCGCTAATTCATCTTTTTAATGTTATTTTCTCCAAAATTAACGACTTTGCATAAAATGCGGCCTCGTTTAGAAGGTTAATAGCATAAGAAATAACTATTTTCTTCTTAATTTGCAGACGTAAACACTCGAAAGTAAAATGAGCGTGGTAGGTTTTACGGACATTATCCAAGGACCTTTAGCCCAATACGTTCAATATTCCCAACAAATTGGCGGGGATGTCGCCCAACATTGTCAATTGGTCCAGCAAGCATTTAAAGCGCAACTTCAATTTCTTGAACTGGCAAGCCAGTCGAGCAAGCCTACGAATCCCAACGATTTGGTGATTTTTTTGAAACCGACCAGCGATATTATTGCGACCATTCAAGATTTTCGCGAAAAACATCGCACGTCGCCCTTTTTCAACCATTTATCGGCCATCAGTGAAAGCATCCCCGCGCTGGGATGGGTAGCTGTGGTAAGTTGTCGAATGGTATCAGGTTCGGACATTTGCGTGTTGTATGTCGTTCATACCGTTTACAATTACATTTATATTTTTGCATTTCGATCTAATATTCCATTTTAAAGGAGATAAACGAAAATTAAAGGGGTCTGCGAGCCTATTTTTGATAAAAAAAAACATCGAAAAAACCCCACATTTCAGAGTTATAGGAAGGGAGTTTTTCGAAAATAGTATGTAATTTTTAAATTTTCTTATTTTTAAAACTCGTGTTTTCATAGTTATCAAGAGGAAAACGTTTTTTATACGAACTACCCTGTATATAAAAAAAAGTGTATTTTTGATTTAAAAAAAAAACATCGAAAAAGCCCCACATTTCAGAGTTATAGGAAAGGAGTTTTTCGAAAATAGCATGTAATTTTTAATTTTTCGTATTTTTAAAACTCGTGTTTTCATAGTTATCAAGAGCAAAACGTTTTTTATACGGACTACCCTGTATATAATCAAAAAGAGCTTAAAAGTCAATTTCCAAAAATATAGCGCACTTCATATTATATTATATTACAATTACATTTATATTTTTGCATTTCAATCTAATATTCTATTTTAAATTAGATAAACGAAAATTAAAGGTGTCTGCGAGTCTATTTTTGATTAAAAAAAAAACATCGAAAAAAACCCACATTTCAGAGTCATAGGAAGGGAGTTTTTCGAAAACATGCATATAATTTTTATGATTTTTAAAAGTCATGTTTTCATAGTTATCAAGAGATAAACGATCTTTTATATGGACTACCCTGTATATAATCGAAAAGAGCTTAAAACTCAATTTCCAAAAATATAGCGCACTTCATATTTTGCTGTTGTCTTCTTCCAAATACAGAACGTCAGAGAACATTTTAGGAAGGTGCGGAAAAATTAACTCAAACAACTCAAATTATAAAAGTAAAGGATTGTAGCTTCGAAATAAAAGTTTAATAGTAGTAAAGAAATTATACCCCTGAACTACTGAGTGACCAACCGGATACTTTAGCCACTTCAATTGTTTGACATTAATTTAATATTTTTGATTTTTGATTAAAAAAACATTGTAAATAACCCCACATGGATATCGGTTACCATATTAGAGTTATAGGAAGGGAATTCTTCAAAAATAAGCATATAAATTCTTACTAATAATATTAACATTGGTTTAATTGCAAAATTCTTTTCTTTATCGAGTATAGGTAGTTTGGGCTTATTGTTATACATTCACCAAGACTGGAAATATTGTCCCGCGAAATACTCGTAAAAAAGAAATAATGTTATTTTAAATGAATAAAAATTAGGCATTATGTGGTATTAGGGCTCCTTATCTAATTTAGTCCCTTCAATCATCATAGTGTGTTTGTATAATAGCAATACTTCGCTACTATTTTAGTGTTCTGTGTATATAGAAACTTCCACCGACTACTGTAATACAATTTACAAATTTTCTGGATTCCTCCTAAGTTGCTTGTTGACGTCTCGCCAATCACCCTGTTAGCTTCTTCAAAGCCTAACGGAAACCGTTAACTACCCTTTACTGGATCGTTCCCTTAAGTTTTTCGCATTCGTTTTGTTCATTTGTTTGTTTCATTAATCCGCGTCTCATTAAGATAAAGATTTTTCTTATGTTCTCTTCGGTACTGCTTTATATTTCTCGACTATTTTCCCCTCTAGCAAATACTGCAGGGGCAATGTATTAGTTAAGAGGTAAGTGTGATCAAAAACAATTTTATTGCACAAAGTTTATTACCGATGCCGACATTTTATTACTCTAGAGTTTTCTGAGATAGCATATAATGACAAAATATTTTTTTTTAAGAGTCCGGCACCTTCCCCTTACGTCAAAGAAATGAACGACGCCGGTCAGTTTTACACCAACAGGGTCCTGAAAGATTGGAAAGAGAAAGATAAACGGCACGTGGATTGGGTTAAAGGGTGGGTTCAAACTTTAACGGAACTTCAGGCGTACGTTAAGCAGTATCACACCACCGGTCTTGTGTGGGCCGGAAGAAATGTACCGATTGGGGTCCCGCCACCGCCTCCATCATGCCCTTTGCCTCCGATGGACAATTTCTTACCCGCAGCCGACGTTGCTGGAAACGATAGATCGGCGCTTTTCGCGGAAATTAATAAAGGGTCCAGTATAACTCAAAGTAATGGTTTATCCTTAATCGCTTTAGTATCGCTTCGGCTGATTGTAAATTATAGATTTGAAAAAAGTCTCTCCCGATATGCAAACGCACAAAAATCCCTCGCTCAAACAGGGTGGTGGTCCAGCTGCTTACAAAATTTCGGGGGTAAATTACAGTTCGGGAGCGCAACAAGTCGATAAGCCCCCTGTATTTACGAGGGACGGAAAGAAATGGGTTATCGTACGTAAATGCATTGCTCTTCTTCAGTTAAGTTGGATTATTGAACCGTCGTCCTGATTCGGTGGGAATTGCGTCCTAACGTTTTGGTTAGCACCGAATCAGGACATTTCACCAACTAGCAGTGAGAGCCTAAATTAATTTGTCGCGGATTGTTATGTTGGCTTTTAGGAATACCAAAAGGGCAACCATAATTTAGCGGTTGAAAACGCGGAAATGAACAACGTAGTGTATCTGTTTAAATGTTTCGATTCAACGGTAACTATTAGAGGTAAAATTAACTCCGTGGTTATAGACTCTTGTAGAAAAACGGCAGTCGTTATTGATTCTATTGTGGCTGCTGTTGAATTTATCAACTGTCAATCCGTGCAGATGCAGGTATGATATACATACCTATAGTCTACGCGTTGCATGTTTATTTTGGTTTCTTAGATGTTCGGAAAAGTTCCGACGATATCCATCGATAAAACTGACGGTTGTCAAGTTTATCTAAGTGCCGAGTCTTTGGACGTGGAAATTGTATCGTCGAAATCATCGGAAATGAACGTTTTGGTCCCCAAAGGGAATGGTGATTATGTAAATTATTTCGCATCTTTTTTGAACCGTTCCACCTCAACGATTTTGTTTTAGGTCGAGCTGCCGGTGCCTGAGCAATTTAAAACCACGATCCTCCCTAATAAAACGTTACAAACCGTAGTTGTGGAAAATAAGGGCTAAGAATTGGACAGAAATACTTTTAATTGTATTTATCGTGTTTATTTTAACTAAGCACTGAATAATTTTTCATTTTTTTTTACGTGCCACCATTTGTTACAAAACGCTTCCTGTCACGACTAACATTGGTCTTCCGGACGTCAAGATACGAGCTTTGTGTATATTGTTTCAAAACTTCTACTAACTTAGAGAAGTTTGAGTCTATAAGCGCTGAAATTTGTTTATTTATTTATTGAAACTTAGATATAAGGGAAAATTAGTTAGTCTTATACTTAAAGCGCCATTTCAAAAGTCCGTGTTGCATAGGGGAGTTTTTAAATATCAATTTTGACGCTTATGTCTTTGAAAAGCGTGGAATAAAACACAATTTAAGTAAAGATTTTTTTAATAACCCGCAACATTAACAGGACTATAAATTAGTATTAGATAGGGATCTCTATAAATCATTGCAAACTTAACAAAAATATATATTGCTCTGCGCATCTAAATTGAGTTTAAGGCTTGCCGTTCAAAATACCGCTTCACTTAAAAGCATTTTCGCGATCTAGTTTCTTCCTAGAGATTGTTATAAACCGCAAATGTCGGCGTTACTACGCCCTTAAAACAAATCGGCAGCAATTAGCCGATCCAAATCACGACAGCTCACCTATTGGAGCGTTTTGTAGCCAAAGATCGTGGATGAAGTGGTATAATTCGTCACTCACTGCCACCTGAAATACAAAGACGATAAAATCCATTCCCGCAAAAACCCATTCGTTCAAAAATTACCTTGTAAGGTGTAGGATTTAAGTTTCTTTTAATATCAGATCTCAAAGTTTTCAAAGAATCGATGACCCTTTGTTTGATCGTCTCCAAAACCGGCAAAGATTGAACGATACGTCCATTTTCCCAATACAATTCCAACAGTTTCTCAACCCTCGACGGTATTACGTAAGCCCGTTTGGATTCTTCAAAGGGATGTCGACACAATACTTTTTCGTTAACGCGAGGGGGTGGCTCTATGGATCTCTGCAGCAAATCGACCAAAGCATGGCCGCTATCGCTGTAAAGTCTGTAAGCGTCTTTGCAGCCCGGCATGGTAACTTTCGAAACATCCTGGCTCAACTTAATGCGTGGATAGTGATTTAACTCTACCATCTTGTAGACGCATCCGAGGGCCGGTTGCCTTTGACACGTCACCAAGTGCGTACCTATTCCGAAACAATTAATTTTATGACCTTGCTCGTTTAAGCTCAAAATTGTTTCTTCGTTGATATCGTTCGATGCCATTATCATCAAATTTTCGAACCACGGCAAAGTGAAAGATTTGCTTATTTCAGTGAAGTATTTACGTGCTACGTTTGAAAGGTAAGCCAAATCGCCACTGTCCAATCTTATTCCGATCGCACGATATCCTAAATCGTTTAAAGCTAAAGCCACTGCGCAGAAATTTAGTAAACCGCTTCTGAAATTAAAGGTTCGAGAGTTAATTTTAGTGTATTTGCCGTATATATGTATATGCACGGTAGTTCATCGAATATTGATTGCAGAAATTTAATTATCCGCCTCTGATATTAAAGGTTTCATAGTCATTGTTGGTATATATGTTGTACATACAGGGTTGTTCACCGAAAAGTTTAGTCAAAATGGGACATTTGAGAAGGTCTGTTACAACTACTTTTGAAAATTACTTTCTTATTAAGCAGCCATAATTTTGTTTAAAATTACCAGGGGTATAGTAAGCCGCTTCTAAAATTAAGGAATCAAAAATTAATTTTGTTATATGTCCTGTATTTACAGGGTTGTTCACAGATTATTCTAGCCAAAATTGTTTAACAATTATATTCATTTGAAGTATGGAATTAGTCTCTTTTTAATATTATTAAAGTGCTAAAAGTATAATTTTATAGAGAAACCTCCACAGGCTACTGTAATACTTTTAATAAAACTTCTGCATTCCTCCTGCGTCGGTTTTTGTTGAGTAGAACTAGCTAACGTTTCGCCAATCACCATGTTGGCTTCTTCAGAGCTTGATTGAAACTGGCTTGTACCTGCTTTTATATTGTTTGAGGAGGGCGGAGCTAAATGAGGGGCATAAACACGCATATTGGTGACAGGTAGAGACCTGAGTCGCGGTCAAGATTGTTAGCTTGTTTATATATTTCTATAGACTCTCCGATCTTTCGTTTCGCGATCACGAAACCGGACATAGAATTTTTTTCGATAAAAGTAAAATTCTTGCATGTAATCAATTCTTCTACCAACGAAAAATCCGAGAATCTATAGAAATCTATAAGCAATATAACAATCTTAATCGCGACTCAGATCTTTACTTGTCACCAGTATGAGAATCAGTCGGGCCCCCCTCAAGCAATATAAAAGCAGGTACAGACTAAAATGCGATCCAGTTTCAGTCAAGCTCTGAAGAAGCCAACAAGATGATTGGCGAAACGTTAGCTAGTTTGACTCAACACAAACCGACGCAGGAGGAATCCAGCAGTTTTATTAAAAGTGTTAAAAGTATAGTTTAACTTAATTTGGTTTAAAATTAGCAAGGATTTAGTATTCGGTTGTGAAATTAAAGATTCAAGAGTTAATTTTAGTATATATGGTCTGCACCGAATATTCTAGCCAACATGGGAGATTTCTAGAGATGCCTAAAATATACTTTCACTTAATTTAGTTTAAAATTAGAACATTTCAGTGTTTTCAAATTTTGACAAAATCCAAATTATTAAAAAAAGTTTATTAATTAACTAAACTTGTTTACTAAAATAGACACTTATTTTGATGGCAGAATCCAACATTTTTGTAATATATAGGGAGTCAAATATGAAAATATTTTGTTAAAATATAAGGCTATGCTTCAAAAACCAAATATTTTGACCACAATATTACATGTAAAGTAGCGTCACTCTAATAGAAAGATGTCATTTTGCTAAAGCTGCGCATTTAAAAGCATGTCTTTTAAATATTAATTTTTTCGAAATTCACTAAAACGAGTCCGGCAAAAGAAAATCTAAACCAAAAATATTTTTTCGTTTTTCTTCCTTTTCTTTCATTTTAAAATATTTATTAAGATTTTTTTTTGATTTTATGTATTATCCAAAAAAAAAGAAAACTTGTCATAAAAACGGTGATATAAATTCTAATTATTGTGAAATGCTAATATTAAATTAGGTCAAGGTCATCATCGTGTGCCAGTTGTCGAATCGGCGGTTATCTTAATTAAACTTATCTAAAAATTGTTTATTTTCAAAATAAAAGCATTTCGGCATGGCAGCGTTTTAATATCCTAATTCTCATTTCGATAGGACTTTCCTTACTTGCTTGTATCGTATATGTGATCAAATATTTTGGACCATTTACATACACAAAATTTCGGAAGTTTCTATATCATTCAGAGAAGCAGAAAAAATGTTAATTTGATCGCCGATGGGGCCATTACCTTTGTACTTCGTATGTGTCAACTAGTGCCATAAATCCTTCGGGAAATGCAATTGCGAACGATATTAATGCAGCCAGTTCGCCCTCGCTAGCTTCAGTCGAAATAACGTTAAAAATAGGTAAAAGTTTTGATCTCCAATCGAGTGATAGTTTGAGCAAATCTTGGGGATTATCCCCCCTGTCTTTTTGTGGTAGCATAGTGTTCTTGAGTTCCTGGATACTATTAAAAGAAGTGATATAGGCGTGTGCGTGGGTTCCTTTCACGGGTATTTTAAAGAGTTTTCCCGCTAGTACGTTGCTCGTTCCATCGAAACCACCTATGAACAAAAAAAATTACTTAAATAAAATTCACATAATGCGTGTTTGCGGCGGAATGAAGGGTGGAAGTTTTGTTTTCGCGAAAGCTATTAACAGGGAAGTCTCTATCGGCAATTTTAATATTGATTAAAAGCAGTATTTGACACCCTTCCTGCCTGGTACCAACTTTAACATCGCTATGCAGCATTCCATTGTATTGTTAGACGGAATTAACGTCTGGTATACCTATGTAGGAATATTTCGAAGCTGAAAGTCCACCGTCGGGACCTTGAGCCCTCCTGAGTCCGAATTCGAACAGCTGCAAATTTCCCGACGCTATTCTATATCGTGCCGCATTCGTCGCCATTAGGCTGCAATTTTTTTTAATCGTTCATTAATAGTAAATTCTTTACCGGGGGTTATTTACCTAGCATAGTTTACCAAAGTTAATAAGGTTGTCTCTAGCAGCTGAACTATTATAAGCGGCCCTTCGACTCGCATTAAAGGTACCCTGCAAGATCAAAGGGTTAAAATTTGAACTGATAGGACTTTTTTACGTGTTACCTAGGAAACGCGACAGACCCCTCTGCTAGTGCGTATAATTTTACGTCTTTAGCTGTAACCGTGCTTAAATATAAAAAAAATTCTTCCTCTGTCGACGGGGGTAGTGTTTGTTTTAAATATTCGATGTCTAAAATTAAATCGTACGCCTCTGTATTTTACGAAAGAATCGTCGAAAAATAACCATTAACTTTCGTTAGTCCGAAAATAGTTTTTTTTTGAGAATGTTAATTTTTTAATTTCAGTATTTTTTTTTAAGTTTTTTTTTGCCTTTCTGAGTTTTCAATTAACACGTTTTAACTAACTCTATCAAGAGGTTATTTTTCTTACATGTGAGTTGAAATGATTTCAAGCATTTTTTGGTTGCTGTTGACGTTGAATTAAATTAAATCGTACGCCTCTGTATTTTATGAAAAACAATTAATAGATCGCCTATTGGATTTTTTGTCATTAAAACTAATCGTAAAAAAATAACTACTAACTTTTTGCTCGTCGGAAAATTGTGAAGATATTTTTTTAATTTTACATTTTTTTCTTGTTTTTTTTTTTAAATTTTTAATTACACCACATTTCGACTAATTCTATCAAAAGGTTATTTCTCTTACTTGTGGGTTGTCATTTTTTGGTTGCTATTGACGTTATTAATACAACTAGTAATGATTTTGTTTTTCTTAGTATTTTTGTTTTATTATTAACTAGTTAATTAATTAACTAATTAAGCATCGTAGAAAAATAACTACTAACTTTTTGCTCGTCGGAAAATTGTGAAGATATCTTTTTAATTTTAGATTTTTTCTTGCTTTTTTAAATTTTTAATTACCACATTTCGACTAACTCTATCAAAAGGTTATTTTTCTTACACATGGGTTGTCATTTTTACCACTGGTAATGATTTTGTTTTTCTTAGTATTTTTGTTTTATTTCGTTTTAATGCCAAGCTCAACACATATTTAAAAAATATTTACAATTTAAAAAATATACATATTTTTGAAAAATAACGTAAGTTGATTTTTTCCCCCATGACAGTGGAAAAAGACCATAAAAAATAAAAATTAAAGGAATTGGCATTCCATTTTTTTAAATAATCATTGGATTACCATTTTGCGTTATCCCACCTTATTTTTGATACACCAGATATATCTTATAACATTATATATATTACAACATTATATAACAAATTGGAGTTTTTTATACTCTTATACTAAAATGACTTAATTTTTGTATTGAATTTGTCAATACTCGTAAATTTAAATGCTTACCACTGTGAGAGTAATGAAACTTTCCGAGAAACTTTAAACATTCTTCTAGGCCGGCAAATATGGTAAATTCGCCTTGGAACGGATTTTTTCGAAAAAACAGATCAAATACCGCGTAGTCTTTGGTTTTCCCAGATTTCCAATACGCATAGGCCATGGTGATTTGATACAAGTCTGTAAAATAATTAATATTACTGGAAAATTTCTCAATATTTGGCGGCAAATACAATGTTTGTTATCAGAACTTGTTCAAGGTAAAATAGTAATCGTTTAAAAAAAAAACGAGCGAGATCATTTCCCTGTGTCATTAATATAAAGCGGGTTTCAATATTAAGTGCAGCGCAAAAACTGAATAATTAATAAATATTATTTTCTTTCAAATGTAAAGTGGCTTCGTGCGTTGTTTACCTGTTAAGAGGGGCTGTACAATGCCATTTTGCCCGAACTGCCTGTTAGTTGTTTCGCTCACGCTTTCGCACATGTTGGAGGTTTGTTTTTCCGCGTGGTTTTTTAAAATTTCGCACCTTTCCTGTTGACATTGACGAACTGGCGCCACCGCTGAATTAAACACATCGTGTGGCCATCTGTAGACTGATCGTCAGCGTTACCAACTGTATAGCTTCATTGTTATCGATCCGCAAAACGAAAAGGTCAAACAAGGGCGAGTGATAATAATTTACCGGAAACTTTTTCGAAATTTTTAGAAATCGTGATTAATTTTTCGATTGATGTATATAAATTGCCCTTTCACGTTCAAGAAAAAAAAACTTTTAAAATTGTTTATACCGGAGTCTTGTGTTTAAAAAATACGAATTTTAATATTTTTTGGCAACAAATACGTAAAGCAGCAAACAATTAATGAAACTATTTCTACTCGTTAACGGTAAATGCGTGAAACACAAACAACAATAATAATATTTACGCTTACCACAGCGATAGCCGTTCGACGGGAAACTCAATTCTGATGCCTCATTATTTATTTACGTGTTGTAGGTTAAAATGCGCACATGTGCGTCCGTATTGTTGAAATTAGACTAATTTCAATTTTTAACAATTTTATTTTATTTACATAATTCGCTACTTACACGTTATAATACTGATAATGCTATCAGTCGTAGTAAAAGATTAATGGAATCAGTACTAAATTATACAATTAGACAAATATCTACATCACAATTATTGTGCACATATATTTTGAGAAAACATTTAGTAATATTTAAACTGATTCCACGCCAAGTCTTGCACTCCGGTTTCAGTACGGATCCTTTACCTAAAATATTTTCCGGGAATCACTAGATATAATAAAATTTAGTGAACTGTCCCTGTAATCTTGAGGTTCGCTAAACCTATCCGTTCAAGATGAATAAACGTCATACCTCATGTTAAGGCAATCTTCTGTGAGTGAAATTAGAATGATTGTTAGTAGGGGTACTATTTTTAAAAATAACGACGTTACACTCGAAACAGATCGTGAACAAAAATTGTGGCTCATTATTATCTCCGTTTAACAATTGTTAGCCTGAATACAAAGGTATTCTTTTTTATTTCATTAAATTTTTAATATACAGGATAGGAAATCATTAATTAAGCGATAAAGATAAAAAACGCAAATGTAGATGTCTCGAGTGTTCAGCAGTTTAATTTCACAGTTATGACATACATATGTAATATTATTTTAAAAAAAAGTTGGTTCGTTTCATATTGCGCAGGCATAAAACATATAAATAATTGAACTGAAAATTTCGAATGACAAGAAAATCGGATTTAATTATATCGAGAAAAAACTTACGTATATTTACAATAAACCCGCAATTCGCCATATTATAAGAGAAAAAGTGTCCTTTCTGGTTCAGTAAACTTGTCCGACCCACTTGCTTTCGCAATTATACTGTCGGTCGACGAAATTGGAAGGCAAAATTAGTTTGTTGACTGGAACCTTCGTTACTATCGCATAATTTTGGCAGCTCTTTCCCTGTCTCGCTCGACTTCTATAGGATGCATCCTTTTTCTGTGTGAAAAACAATTTCCTGAACTAGCAAACGCCTTCGGACAATAAGGACACTGATATGGTCTGGCACCTGTGTGCTGATTTATATGAAACTACAAAAATTGCGTTAGCCCTTAACGAAACTCAATTTTGCTTCGCTTACTTTCAAGTCTTGATTTCTTTTGAATGTTTTATCACACAAAGGACATTTGTGTGGCCTGAGGTCGCTATGTGTGATGGAGTGAGCCCTCAGGGTGCTATTCGTAGGATAAACTCGGCCACAGACTTCGCAAGGGAATTGGATGCCTTGATGATATTCTTTATGACGATATAAGTTGCATTGAGTCTTAAATCTGGAATTAAAAAGGGTTTAAATGATTTTAAAAATCCCAAAGCAGTAACGCAATTACACTCTTCCGCAAATGTCGCAACCGTATTGACCTTTCGGTCTATGCGTTTCTAAGTGAACTTTAAGGTTTCCTTTGGTAGAAATACTTTTAGCGCATATCGGGCACGAGTAAATATCGTTGGATTCTTCGGTAATTTGTTCGTCGGTTTTCCCGTTCTCGGCTTTCTCTTGAGCGTTGTCTTGCTGCTTATCATTACCATTGTTGGTTATATGATTCTGTAGCTCATTCAAACTAAAACTTAATATCCTTCGCGTGTATGAGCTCGAATGTATATACATGTGGTCCTGCAAAGCAAACTCCGTGGAAAAGCTTCGCTTGCATATTGAACATAAGTATATAATGCACGTATTTTCGCAGTTTTCACTCTCCGACAGGTTTTCTTGTGTCGAACCAGACTCGGGTTCCGATTGCGTATCTTCTTCCTCCTCTTTCTCTTCGCATTTTTCGTCGTCGTCTTCGTCATCTGCAGGCTCGTCTTCCTCATCGACATCGTCGTCCATACAACACTGAAGGATGGCCATTGGATCGACTCTTACTTCCATTTCGGTTATTTCGGTGTCATTTTGAACATCTTTTTCGATAACTCCCTAAAATACGTCCCATTTTACGTTTTAATTTATTACCAAAAAATAAAAAAGGTCCGCCATCATAAACATAAAATCGACTACTTGCTACTACTAAATACATTTTCACATAAGCATTTTTTTAATCAAAATAATTTTGTTTTAATCACAGTTAATTATAGGAATAATCGCGCACTTCTCAATGTCCGCCTTCGTGGTCGCACATTGTCGTTCTCTCTTAAAATTTCTTGCCATTTTTTGACAATGACAATGTACATTTAAAGTAGCCCCGCAAAAAAGACTTTAATGCAGACAAGTCTGAGGAGGGTGCAGATCAAGAAATCGTATATTGGGACCAAATTCCAATATTGCTCTGACCACGAGAGCTACACCAAAGGCCTCTGCACGGGGCAGTTACCTTAAGTTTTCATAATTTTCATAATTGTCCAAATCCAATATCGATTGCTTATTGCTTCATTTAGTAATATTAAAAAATATATATTTTGAAAACAAATAATGGTGTGCTCATTTGAAAAAACGTCGTATTCTTGTATAGTACTCAACCCCAATTTAAAAAAGAAATTAATACTTTGAAAGCAATTTTGTTAAACAAATATTTCTAGAAAAAAATTAAAAATATAATTACATATAACAAATGGATACTTATTTTTCACAAAAATTCCGCAAACCCCATTTCTAAGTTCGGTTATGTTTAACAAAATATTTGGTAAAATATGTTATTAAATCGTATAACTTTGATCGCCTGCTATAATTTTTAAAATCATTTTTTTTGCGAATTTTCGAAACAAACAGAAAACAAAATCCTGTACGAGGATTCTAAATAAAATTTTTGTCTAGTTTTGCAGTCAATAAAAATATAATACTTATGTCGACAATGTCGACAACGTCCGGATTTTTGAGACTATTAACCAAATACCTGACATTCTATCTGACATATATTTGGATCATTAAAAATCTGTTCCATTATAAAATTAATGTCACGTTTTTTTTTATTAAAAACAAAAAAAAGCTTTACCTTGGTTAAATACGTGTGCAGCAAAGATTTAGTTTCAGATTTGGTCGATTCCGTGTCATCGTTACTGGATAAAAGAAATTTTGTCATCCGTTCTTGATTTTTAATAGCCATCGTTGCGAATTTATGAAATCCGTCCAATTTTAAAATGCAACCCTCGCAGATCATTTTAGGCAGTCGATCCTCTAAGCTAATCTAAAAACTCAAAATGTGCAAACAAAAAATAAACGCCGGGATCGGTAGGGTGGTAGGGTAGAAGACTTACGGAAACGCTGAGGTATTTTCTGATTTTGGCGTGTAAAAAGGAACGTTTCGCCTCTTCACCGAATAAAAAAACACCGCACTTGACTTCAACTGAACAAATTCGACACCATCTTCCAAAATCCATTTTCGTTTATGTCTACATTGGATAAAAATCTGATCGAAAACTGCGTCGACCGGGCTGCAAAGAGTTACATCGGGGCGCTAATTAGATATACAGAACATAAAAAAGAACTACACGGTCGGTTAATAGACAGCATTGCGCACACACTGAATAGGTACAATTCATACAATTTCTGCGTGCTTTTAAAAAACCTAATACGTTCAACTATATTGTGGAAATAATTTGAAAAAAAAGCTCCAATAGTTTCCATTTCGTTCTACGTACCGTCGCGATTGCACTGATAACTAAAAACCATCATTCGCAATTTTCGACGAGTTCGCGAAAAATCTATCCGAAAAATATAGCACTTTTTTTTGATCGACATACGTCAAACATGTGTAAAATATTCCCGCCATTGTGGCCAGCGCGGCGCTGACGCAGAATGCCTATCGTTTCAAACGATTCCCTTTTAAAATCAATAATAAGAACCATTCAGCCCCAGTAACTTGGGAGCTGTTTCATGACGCAAGTGCATTTATACATTCTTTAAATCAATACAGGGGTTATTTGAGTGTATTTGGCTGGGTTTGTTCGATTTCCTGTTTCGTTGCACCCACTTCGCAATGCAATCAACCGACTAACAAAAAAAAAACACGAACTTTTTGCGAAATAACTTTATTTTGGAAAAAATATTTATACAAATATATATATGCAATTATTTAGTTATTCAGTCCTTTGCGTTAGATAATTATGTATCATTTGTCCTAATTTCCATTTGGTTTCGTTATGTTGGTACAAGATTTGGCTTTGGATCTGAAATCATAAAATTAAATTTAATGAAATATTTTTAAAAACCTATTTCGGTTAAGCATGTAAAATTTATAATTTCATCGATATTTCAATATTGTGTTGACGTACTTAAAATTACAGACGGTGCAGAAATAACGCTAGTTGCCAGTTTGTCTCAAAATTTTAATGATAAGGCAAACTCACTTCATTGGTCTTTTGATTATGCAGGTCATACCGTTAAAAAAAATTGTCAAATTTCTAGGCGTGACAATTGATTGCCAACTATGAAAGCCTGTATAAAACTAAATAAAATCTGTAATATCTTAAGTTCCTATTAAATGTTGTGTTGTCAACAGTAAGTGGCAGTCTTTAAGTTAAATTAAATTGCTCTTATGACACTTTCATAGTAATTGATTAATTAATTTTAATAATAGTAATCTAGTTTCCGCTGTATTTTGCGTTTTTAATCATTTCCTCTGTATTTTGCATTTTTGATATTTTCCTCCGTATTTTGGATATTTCTGGATGTTAAATAACAAAATAAAAAATATAGCTATAATATGAAAATGAAAATATATGTTTTTTCATTTATTTGAATGAATTTGTGAAAATAGTATGTTTACCTTTCTTGTTTATTTGTTATGGTTTGTGCTTTTTACTTTTCTTTTGTAATGTAATATCTATCTAGGAAACTTTCACTAATACAACACTAAGACTAAACCCCAAGAAACATTATATTTTCTTCCCCCAAGACTTTTTTTTACATATGTATATTTATGTTTGGCATTGTCTTTCGATAGCTTCACGCCTTAATTTTTATCATTTCAATTTTTTTCTGTGAGCAGGCGATTTGCCGATGATGGGTTTTAAATAAATTACTGCATCTAAAGAAGTTGATTAACTTACGCGCGTTTGTTTTTCTTTCGTCTGCAAACGTGTAAAGTAATCGGTCCGCTTTTAACGCTCTTGAATAGCAACACGGCATCGGCATGTGAAATATCGTGACAAACTTGACCATTGACTGCAAGTATTTCGTCTCCTGCAAATAACAGTTACTAGTATACGATATGGCCGATACATTATTTCAAGCAAAATTAATAGGCTATAAAATTATGATTAAAGTTATTTTCGTTCAGCAAACCGCACCACCTATCGAGAAGACTTATAGGAAGTCGACAGCTGTTGTATCGAATACCGCGTATCGATTTCGCGATCTAAAACTCAACGCGGCGTAAATTGTGCTATATTTTGTCCTATAATGAAGATTTTTATTAGCTCCATTGCTTTGGCAAACTTCTTTTTTTATTTACAGTATATTAATAATTATAATAATTTAACTTATTTTTGTGCAAAAATTTGAACATCTTTATTTAATGAAAACTAAAAATGATCAATTCGAAGGGCATGATGCGAGATGGGAAGAACATGAATGACATTTTTGTAAATAGCAAACAGATGATTTAAGAAAAAAAAGAAAAAATGACCGTTTGCGCAAGCTCCACATTTTTCTCTTAGCAGAAGATCTTCAAAAATTCGAATACTTTCATTTAATCAAAATCGAAAATGATAGAAAAAAAATGACGCGAGATTGGAAGGACATGAATAAAATATTACTAATTTAAAGAGAGATGATTGAAGAATCGTACCCGCTTTTAGTCTTCCATCTTCAGCTGCTTGTCCGTTGAACATGATAGTTTTCACAAAAATCCCAAGCGCACCCTTAGGGGAATCACTACCGCCCACTATAGTGAATCCAAGAGATTTCTTTCCCACTCCTTTTTCTAACGTGACGGTATGAAAAGTACATAAGGTCGAAGCAGGACGGCGGGGCAATGTACAAAAATTGGAAGCCGATTCGGCTCCATTCGTATCCCGCGTGTTGTTGATAATATTTTTTGAAGAAGACCGTCGCGACATCTTATTATAACTGCCGTGAATGGCGTTGTTTTTTTGAAAACCCTGACGTTTGCCGTCCATTTTGGTTTCAATTAGCGAATTTCTGTTGCTTTCGAAGTCCACTGAAGTCTCTTTGATGGGAGATCTTAATACAACCACTTCTATAGTTAGGTTCAACGGGTTTAGGCATCTCTTTGCTTCCGCAATGCTGAGATTACCTATAGGGGTACCATTTATGCTGACGATTTCGTCTTCTAATTGCAAACTCCCTTCTCTGAAAAAAAATCAAAATTTTGGTTCTCGCTTAGTAAACCAATCTCGGGGTTACGTTTGGTTTCAAGAGTACTATCGGGATTAGTTGAAGCTACGACCAGCTTAACAATTTAGACTAGCAAGGCCTTGGTTCTTTCTCGTATCTATCGGGAATTGATTTCGCGGAATCATTAAAATTATTGCGTCATAAAAGTGGCACAAAGAAACTACAAAATTAACTGACCTTGAAACTAAACTATCAGGTAGAATTTCGCCGACCAAATAGTCGCACGATGCTTGTTTGCTTCTCGATATGCAGATCCCCAAATCCTCTTCCGGATACTGTTTCACCAATTTCACCGACACGACTTTTTTATTGCAGGGATTGTGAAAAACTGCATCCGAAAATGAATTTCGACGTCCGTTAGTGCGTTCTAATAGGTGCGTGATTTTTTCTTCGGTCGATTGTGATATGAACGAGTCGTTAAATGCCGACGCAAACGAATCGTTCACCAAGATCCCGCTGTCACTGTCTTCGTGGTCTAATAAAAAACGATCTTCTTCATTGGATTGGGCGCCATCGTGATAGATTACGCCCTTGGGGAACGTTTCTAAATCGGGCAAAGCGCCGTACGAGAAGCTGCGCTTTTTGACAAGTTTTTTGGCCATTTTAGATTCGGACGAATTTTTGGACACTTTATTTAAGAAGCGACTTTTGGAGTTCAAATATTTTTCGGACATCGCGCGTAATTTGGCAGCGAAACAGGATGATCGTGATAGGCTGTCTTCGCCGCAATCTACATTGTCGTTATCGTTATCACTAGGTTTCGATGGGCTGGACTCTGTGGCACTAGACGAAGGGGTATCATCGTTCATAGTGGAAGCGCTAGAACCAGATCGAAAACACGATAGTCTCGTATGTTTCACTTTGTCTAACAGAGGATTTTTCTTCTCGTCAGGGTTGGTAAATCTCGGTTGACTTTTGTGTCTCTTTTTTTCAGATTTGTCAATAAAAACTACACTGTCTTCTACGCTGTAGAAGTTCGTATTTGTTTTGTTGTAATGTCGTCTTGCCCACGACGTTGGGGTCATATCTGGAACAAATGTGTTATATACGGAGCGTTTTAACAAAATCACTTAATAATTATTATTTCGTGCTAGATTTAGATATCGGCCCAAATATATTTAATTAATTAAGGACATTAATTGAGAAAAAGGGCCTTTGTGGTCTTAATTAAACAAGGCTGTAACATTTTAAATTATTGAACAATTTTTCTTAATAACGTACCAACATTCCCCATAATAAATGTTATAGCATTCCATTTCATTTCTAAAATCTTAAACGTGTATGAAATTAGCGACGAATTATAGACATTGGCGTTTGCACCAAAATTTGGGGGATCGTCCGGGAGACTATCAATAACTACGCCTCACAAATGGAACCCCCTAGCTGCCATAAAAGCTATCATAATCTTTTTTTTTAATTAAAAAAGAGAAGACAATTTTTTTAAAAATCAAAAATATATTTAAAAATTGGTGTTACATGCTAAAATTTGAAGGAGATATATCGAAGGGTCCTAGAAAGCTTCTTTCAAAAGTGGAACCCCTGCTGCCGTCGAAGGTATCATGAACGCATTTCCAGAAATAAAAGAAAGAGAAAAAAATCAAAAATATTTGTAAAAACTAGTTTTACACGATAACATTTTGGAAGAGATCCCTTCAAAAGCGGAACCACCTAGTTTCCGTCGAAGGTGTCATAAACGCGTCCCCATCCAAATTTTGTTGTGTAACACTAATTTTAACAACCTTTGAAATATTGATGCAAACGCACACTTTAATCTTAATAGAAAGGAAATTATTGATAATAATTATTCAGAAAGAGTTACAATTATTTTTAGTATTACCCCAAATAAAAAATTTTATGAAAAAAAAAAAAGAATTTATTATATTTTTATCGACTTTATTCGTTAAACCAGTTGTGGCAATATAAATAAAAGCAATTGTGTTCATGTTATTCAAAAATTTACATGATTAATGTATTAATGTATACATGAATTAATTAAGGGTAAAAATTGAGGAAATGCTTTTCTGATTCACAAGGAGTTTATTGTTTAAGTGGGAATTATAACTAGTAATTTAATGCCTCTTCAAATTAAAGGGGGTGGGGGGTTATTAATATTAATTTATTAAATTGATTCAGATAAGTTTATTTTAGAAAAAATTCCAAATTATTTCAATTATTCGATAATTCAAAATTTATATTTAAATAAAAACTTTATCAAAAATAAAGAAATTAAATTTATTTACAAAAACATTAATATATTTTATAATAATCGGCTTTATTGTTTGAATCAGTTGAGGTAATATAAATAAAAAATGTTTTACTAATTCTGTTTCATAAATGTTATTTATATATAATCGAAAATTTACATGATAAGTTATTACCAAGAATGTTTTTGTAATATTAATTAAAAATGAAAAATATGTATGTTTTCCTGATTTAGAAGATTAGTGTTCATGGTAGTAAAAATAACTAATAATTTAATATATGATATTGTTTCGGATCTTATTTGTTGTAGAAATGTAATTATTAATTTTAATACCGTGGTTAATAAAGTGTGGAATTTCTTATTTTGATTGCAGCATCACCATTTTTTATGATAACACTAATTTGTAAAAAAATTACCCTTTTTAAGTTTATTTGTGACTTAGATAAATTAAATTTCATATTTGGTGTAGAGCCTTTCTTCTCTTGGATTTGTTAGAACTACAAATTTGTTCTATTTTCATTGGTTTTAAGTCCATATTTTTTGCAAGTTGTTTTTCGTTTTGTCGCTATTGTTAATTTTGAGAACAAAGGCGTTCTGTATGTGACTAATATAAATTGAGTTTCTCCGCAATGCATAATCGAGTTTGCACTAAAATAAACCACGATTTATTGCCCAGTACCGGCAATTGGTTTCGACATTCTTAAGAGCGGGGAAATGGAAATGGTTTTGTTTATTGTATTACGTTGTAGACGCTATGGTTCTCTAAAATGATGGAACGAAAATGTTAAATCTATAAGTTTCGTTAGAACAATTTAAAGACCCATTTTAAACGTTCTAGGAAGCATTGCGTGTTTTTATGCTGTTAATATATACATAAATATTTTATTATTATACATTGCTCACATAAGCAGTAAATGTTTACTTTTTCAACGACACACACACACACACCTCCTATAATCGGTAGCATTTTCACTTGAAGTGACTGTGATTTATTTAAATATTCTTCGTTACTAATTACTAATTTGGTAATTTACAATTTTGTGTCATGTCTAATTAAGAATATCTCTTTCTTATTATAGTTACATTTTAGCAGTCCTCTAATGACATAAATCTGGCGCATTTTTTTTTGTAAAAAACATATGGAGATTCTTAAGCATCTTTATCACCATATTTTTTTTTATTTCAATTTTTAATTTGAAATTCTGATTTGTTTCAAAATAAGATTACCCTAGCTTATTCTACTTTTTTGGAAATAAAAATGAAAAAAATGAGATGACAAAATTACTTAATTAATTAGGTTAATATAAGGGCAACAATGTTGTATCGTTCGTACAAAACTGTTAAAATAAACTCACCGATTCTTGAACGATGTTTGGCGTTGAATTTTGATGCCCTCGGCGAATTAGGCTCCGTATTTCCGCCATCTCTCTTCTCCGATGGACTATGAGTGAGAACATCTTGGTTTTCCGAAGAACGCAGTGGAGATAGACTAAGCAAACGCGGAGATTCGTCCTGTTTCCGAAACCACTTCATCTTCCTGAAACTTGAGTACCATATTGTCGGATACATATGTCATCGCTTTCGTATCTAATTTTCTCTCATCGCCTTGAGAAATATCACGAGAAGCCATTACGGAACGCTTTGCATGGTATTTATGATCAACCTATAGCGATCATAAATAATTTACTACTCGTAATAATCTATATATTTGCCATTTTGAGGGGGGTTTTAGACTTCCGTTCTATTGCGGCGTTCTACATGCAGCAAACGCTGCAATTTATCGGTTATTATAATTCTAAAGAAATTCTTGATTATCAGTTTGCGGAATGCGTTTCGATCCGGGCCGTAATAAATATTAGAAACAACTGTCAAACAATCAGAGCGAAAGGAATAAAGACGTATCGAATACGAAACGTTTCGATTTGTTTCGGTCATCGTCAAGGCGAAAATTTTAATAAATTCCCATTGGCGTTCGCATACACGGGATGTCCCACAAATCGATATCCAAACTAGCTAAAAACATAAAAATATTTTTGATTTTGTTTGATTGGTTAGAATATTCTTTTAATTATATAGCGTTTTAGACAACAATCTTCGTTAATTGTTCCAATGGATGCTGGCACAACAAATGTTTCTATTAAAAAATTAAACTTTTGAAAATAATGAAGATTCTGAACATAGAACATATTTGTTTTTTTCATGTATTAACTTTATTGTTACCATGTGCATTGAACATTTAAAATGGCCACTCCACTAAAGTCACCAGATTCTTCGAAATATTTAAATGTTCTAATTTAAAATTTAGAAAATACCTTGCATTGTATTTTCACAGCTCTTTGTAAATTTAAGTAATAAAACATAATAAGGACGTTGGTTAGTTTGATTTTAAATAATAATAATAATAATAATTAAGCATTTATTAATCCGATATAGTAACAAAAGTTAATGAAGTATTGAATAAGTGAATGAAACAAAACAATGCGTTAAATGGCCGTCAATTACAGCCTAAAAGATTTAAAAAAAAATATTTCAACAATTAATATCACAACAAAAATATTTATAAGTGTAGTGAATTATATACAGGGTGTTTCAAATGGGCAATCTCTGCGATAATTATAGGAGATCCAGGGTGTGCAAAATTTAAATTTTATTATGAATTTTCTCATTAATTGAGAAAGTTTTTATAAGGTTTTAGGTTTTTTGACATGACAATTACGAAATGAAAACCTAATTGAACGTTGCTTCTAATTGAATCATATTTTTTATCTGCTTAGTGTGTGTTTAAGTTTTCATAGAAAAAGAAACTAACAAAAACGTCAAATCAATTGTTGGAATTGACCACCGTCTATCTACCTTTATACATAGTGTTAAGTGTACTTTGAGTGTTCAACAAAACTTCTTTATTTATTAAACTCCTTTATTTATTCTTTATCAAATGCAAATAGATCAAAAACCGGGAGAATTAGACGGCCTAAACAAGAGAACCTCTTCTATAAAAAATGAACGTCTTTCAAATTTTCATAACATTGCGCACAATAAAAAATCAGCGACATAATGAGCTAAAACATAATATTTGGTGTCTAGTATTTCCAGTTTAGAGATTGGCAATTCCTTATGGATCACCCTGCATAACTGTCATAAACCAGCGGTTAGTGGGTGGGTATACAAATATGCAGAAGAGAGAGCCGAAAAGAAAAAAGAAAATGTTGAGGCAATACCAAAAATGTACTGTGGATAATAATAAAACAAATGTGCCTTCAACTTTGACCTTTGACTTCCGCACCACTCTATATATACAAATTTAGTTTCGATAACGGTTCATCGATTCTTCCTATGGTAATTCTGTTGGGCCGATTGTGTCGAGGCCTATAAAAAAATCCATTCGATGTTTTATTTGGCAATAAATATATATTACTTGGTCCGCACGATTCAGCGATTAATTTGATGTCGTTAAAACAATAACTTTACCCACTATACACGCTGGGGAAGAATGATTTTCAGGTCCCGTAACGCATAGTGATGTTATTTTATTAGTAAAGATAAGAGGTCATTTGCAGCATCTTTCTTGATGGAGGTCTCCGGTTGTCATTCCACGTTTCTAAATGAGTTTTCTATTGTTCGAGAGTTTTTTTGTGTTCGAATCGACCAATGGAAGGTCGACAAACCCATTAAATTCGCAAGAATAGAATACCAATTTAAAAATTGCCCATAGTCCACACATACTCGGATTTATTGATCATTTCCCATTCGAATTCCAAATAAGTGCTTCACTTTCGTCGATCATTTTGGATTTTTTTTATGTTCCGAAAATATTACCCATAAATATTACGTGAGACTTTATCAATCCTTTCGAAGCAATGATCAGGTTTTAGAAATTATCGATATCGATAAAAAAAAAAGTTTTTTTAAACACAAATAAAAATTATTTCAAAAAAATCCATGTCATTTTTTATTGTTTATTGTAGTTAACTCGGCCCATGTGCTACAAAAAAGTTAAAAAGTTGCTCTTTTGTTTATATAAAAAGCCAATTTTTGTTTTCTTTTATTCTAGTCCTGTGGATAACTTAAATTTCGAGTGATTATTTGAACATTTTGACAAACAATAAAAAGCATTTTACGCAAGGTATTGCAAACATTTTAATATCATTTATTCAAGTTTGACATACGTTTTTCAAGTGACCTTGTCTGTAGCCTAAAGTTTTGGTTTGCCGTCTGCATATTATTCACTGTTCCGATTTCTGTGCGATTTTACAATATTTTCAATGATGACCTCACAAAGGCGCGTATGGGTTTGAACAAAATAAAAGCCCAGGTATACACCAAGCTGGCAATATTTATCATTGATTTTTCACCGATGTCGTTATATGAATTGCCTATTGTTTATTTCGTAATTTAGTTTTTCATTGGAATTTATCGTTCGGTACGTTAGTAAATAAAAAAAAATGTTGGAGAGTATATAATGCACAGAAGAAACGTAATTATCAAAATCTCTCTGGAAACATCAGAAAACTGCTTTTTTTCATATATAGCCCAAAATTTTGATTTTTCCTTTTAAAAAAACGCAGCCGATGTGGGCGGGGTAATAGAAAGCAAAAAGGCTTTCTTTTAACATTAGAAAGTTGAACTCACGTGAAAATATGCGCGTTGATACTTGATTTAATGTAGCTGTATTATCACGTGGATATTAACATATTCTCGTAGACTAACAAACGTTCTCAAAACGTGTTCCGATTGTCGATTGCAAAAGTATGTTTGTACGCGTACGTTTTATGAAATGCAGTCTTATATTTTGAAAAGTACAGAACAAAACTACAGACCGGAATCCAATTAAAATTAAGTTAAAACGTAATTTGCTTAAAACGCTTTTCGTGTGGCATTAAAATAATGGATTTTTAACAATACATTCGCCGATGTTTAAGAAACGTGCATTTTTCTTCTCCACTCCATCGACACCCATGGGGCACGTTGGGGCAAAAAGATCTTAAATTTTCTTTGTATAATGTCCAAACTAACGAACATATGTAATATATTTGATGTGTTGACGTGAGAAATATTTAATATACAGGATGATTGGTTTTAAATAAATTTATAGACATTTACGGAAAACAGCACATAGCATCGTTCTGGAAATTTGCTTTTCGAACTTATGCAGTCGATTTCAATTGTTTTCAGTGAAGCAGTGTTGTCAGTTTTATCAAAAGGCAGAAGAGTGCTCACACAAATTTATATTTACAACCGTTTTGAATAATACACAGATGAAAATGGGTGTTTTGTATTTTTTTTTATTTGAATGGCTGTAGAATCATAATGGTTAGACCGCTTTCCTGGCTCAACTCTCTATTTTAACGTTAATATTTTTAAATAACTCATGTATTTTTGATTTCGCTGTCTTCAGATAAATAAATTTTCATCGCCTTTTGTTCATTAACTGTTTAGCATAAACAATTTGATATTTGATTTCCCCTTGCGTAATAAAAGATATTGACCAAATGAGTGCAGCCGCCTTGATCCACGGGGATAGACACAACATGCGTGAGTGCGTGAATAACCTTTGATATTGATCCATTAGGAAGATTTATTTGGGCTCCCTGGACCAGTTTTTAATACATCATACGTAAAAGTCTCAATCAATTGAATGAGATTTCAATATAAAAAAATAAATTTTAAAAAGTAACAAGATACATCTCGAAAAAGAAATAATTCGTTGTTTAAGACTAATAATTAGTAATCGAAAATATAGAAATAATTCGAGTAACAACTTTAGGGGTTGATATGTGCAACTTGATGTTTTTTCCGTGGTTGTCCCAATGTGTTTGGCGTCACAAAATCTGCTTGCCCAGTTTTCTCACTTGTAATTAAATAAGTAAATAAGATGTCTAGTCAGTATATTGCGTTATTAGGTTGATTATTATTTTATCCTTTGTGAGAAATGCGTTGCGAATTTACAGCATTGCACATATCTCGAATAATTAGAATACCTGGATGATGTTTTTCCCATGATATAAATTTATCGTCCGATGTACCGTTCTCACTATTATAGTTTTGGAACTTATGTTGCAGCTATTGTCAAAGTAAGGATGCTGCGTGTTTTTACCACATTTCCTCTCGATGGCATTAATTTGTAGATTGTTATAAAAACGCGATAAATAAAGTTGAAAGTTCAGGTATTCAATATATTAAATATTCATTTATCGGTACCATGTATATAATTATTTATAATATCATATACTCGTGTCAAGTACATATGTCGTTGTGCAGATTGCAGCTCCTGGTTATTTTGCATATTCGCCGCAAACGCTAACAATAAGTTCCTTGAAACTGTTATTTTTACAGTTTTCGCTAATTATTTTTTGCCTTTGCTTTACTAGAATTGCCAGTAACCAAGATCTAAAGGCAAGAATGAGCAAATTGAGAAAACTATTTTACACAATTTTCAATGTTTTAATATTCCATTTACCATTATTAAATTTGAAATGTTATGGAATTGGAGTGTCGAAATGGTCATTAGTTCAATTGAATTTTGAGAAGTTATTTTGTTCTTATAGCTCGTTAATTTATATAATTGCCAAGTTGCCATTTTCGTTTGATATTCATGAGTTTAAAATGGTTTTGCGTTTGACCGGTCGTTAAGAAAATGTGCCACAGTAGATTTTGCAATAAAAAGTTTCTATATAGTAAAACAGGCTGTTCCGAATATCGTACAAGTAAGACACGCGTACTTGAAATGCAAAACCTGATTAAGATGCACGTATTATCGCAATTTTTAGAACCGTTTGTGTCCTCGCTGAACTTGTTTCTCTTATTTGTTTCACAAATCTCCAGGGTTGAATTCGAGTGGATTGTCTCGCCGGCCATCAAATTTGTTCATTTAGGGTTCCTAATTATAGTAGTGATTGAGTTAAAAATCTTACGCATTTGAAAACGAAATATCACTTTGCTTAACGCAACCTTGGCTATGGAATTCCGTCAATCCCCTCGAGCAATTCGTATTAATTTCGACGTTTATAATGTTATAGTAAATTTTATTATATTTATTCCGATCCTAATTTCGCGTAGCAGTCAGTGGCGGGACGCCGATTCTCGATTTTTGCCAAATCCAACGGGCCCCGGCGAGTTAAACCAAAAATTTCGCTTTCATGTCTCCGGGCATTTTGTTGCTGGAATGTTGTGTTACTGGAGGTCCTTTGAAATACTCCGGTACGCTGCTTATTATGTAACTTTCGATTACGAACGGTGGACTTTGTTTATAAAAGCTCGTCCTTTTTTTTAACCGTTTTATTGGGGAAAATATTTCCATATATAGCTATGTAAACAATTCGTCAGGTCGTACCTATTTCCTGTTACAAGGTAAATATGATTTATCTCTCGTTTTAAAACCGCTTTACCGCTTTTTAAATGGAAGCATATTTTCTTAAAACAATATACAAAAATCGCGCGATCAGCAATAAGCCGATTAAAAAAACAACAAAACTTACTTCGGTCGAGCATATATAAACAATAGCGCACGGAAAAATATTGTATTAAACGTAAATCCAAATCCGAGTGTGTTTAAGTAACGCACATGGTTGTTCGCGGTCTCCTAGAGACATTTAACTAGCGATGTCACTGCCCTATGCACGTAGCAAGGGATAGTACGAAAGCAGTACCGGCGCACGAACGAACCTATCACCAGCGCACCGCATATAAAACTGTTTACTACCGTTCGCCAACTTGGCTTTTACTCATATCGCAGTTCTAAATACCCTTACCATCACGTTTTTAATCATAATTGTTAACGATTGCTCATGTGGAACTCTTTAGCTATGGTCACCTACGGCAATATGATAACAGGTGCGTGCTTCTCTTAATCGTTGGCTAGATTTATTCTTATTTTCCGTAGTTCCTAGTCCGAGAAATCACCGCAGGAAAACGTCGAGATTAAATTATTTTTGGGGGTGATATGAACTAACTGAAGCTAATTTACTCGTCTTACGTCAAACTTTTTTCTCATATGTCGTTTTTCCACTTGAATTCAATTTTTGACATTAAAATGCGTCTTCGTAATTGGTTAAAATTGACAGGGACGAAACAATCAACTGCATTTGTATAACAAGTTAGAACAAATGCAGAATACAGAATGTAGAAATTTATTTACCTACGCTTTATAAAATAATTTCTTACCATTGTAGCGAGTCGACTAACAAATTCTGTCAAGAAAGGAAATAATAAAAATAATAAACAAAACACATAATAGTTTTTTTTTCAAGTACAAGAAATGACAATCGTAAATGGCACGCTTATGTATGCAAAATGTGCGACTTCCTTCCTTTAATAATAATAATAATTATATTTAATATAATATATAATATAATATAATATAATATAATTATTTTTGTATATTTCCGTTTGCTGTTGTAGACTGTATAAAGATGTGATGGTATTTGTGTTGCATTTCCTTTTCGAAAGATTACCACTACCCTGAAAAAAAAGATCCTCTACCCCAAATAAGTATGAATTTCAAAAAAATGCTTCGCGCTTTTGAATAGGTTCAAATGCGAAAGTTTTTGTAAAAAGAAAAATGCGCCATTCACTCAATGTTTTTCGCTTTTGACTCAAATATGTAGACAATTACGAGATTTAGTTAGCCTTTGGCACAAAAGACAACAGTCTGTAATAATTAATACTCTGAGTCAAAAGCGGAGATAATTGGAGGAAGAGACGACACGCTTTGATACAACAGTACTACCAAAAGCATTTGTTTGAAGTAATAGAAGACTTAACGCAAAAGATTTCTTGGAAGAAGGTAACTAGTTAGATTTATCTTGGTACAAAAGCTTAAATGAATTGATTTAATGCTTTCTTTTTTTAAATCAAAAACTGAAATATCTATTTATTAATTTTTTGATTGCACAAGAAATTAAGGGGTTCTTATGAAGAAAGTAGTTTGTAGCCAGAATTTTATGAATTAAATATGTGCGAAAATTGCTTGTTGTTCACTTCTCATTTTTTATAATACATTGATTTAATTACTTGGTGTTTTATATTTTATATTCATATTGATTCAATTTAAGGAGCAAGTTGGAAAAATAGTCGATTAAGGTCTTCTCAACATATACTTAGAACTTTAAAAATTATAAGAATTTTTTCTACTTTTGCTCAACTCGGTGGAACTTTTTCATTGAGGCTACTAATTTCTTCCTTAATGTTATTCAGACTCGAACTGTTTTGTTTCTACTTAATCTGCGTCCGGTATTTTTGTCTTTTCCATAGTAGGCTGTTTTGGGTGTACCTATCTGAAGGTCTCTTATCAATACCCATCCATTAATAACCCTTTCGTTTTACGATTATTTTTGGTGTCTCTATCTTCTGATGAATTTAAAGTTGCCTAAAATTGAGCCCCTGCTGTTTCTTTTCTCTGAGGACAGAGATAAAGTGACTGGGTAGTCTAAAATCTAGCCGTAATCCCCGGAGCAATCACGATTTTAGCCGATCGAGTTGGGACAATGCTTAAACTAAGCAAAACTAAGAAAAATTAAGCAAAGATAACCAAAACCAGTTAGGAAACAAATTAAACGGGCCAATAAACTCCCAATGTTTAGAATTCGGCTGCCCAGTATCAGTACACTGTAGTTCAGTTCGGACAATATCGTTTGTGCTGCGGGTGTGATGGCTAATTTTCAGTATCAGAGAGAAGGACTCTAATTGTTAACCGTTTTGTAGCTTGACGTTTATAATTATTAGTTATATGTATATATCATAATAAAACTAACAAGTTAAAAAGCGGCACTATTTAGTTCAGTGAATATGGGAACATGGTGTGTGTAAACGCGTTAATTCTGTTATTTTTATTAGTAGGTACCTATAGTTCTCGAAGATGAATAGTGACAAGATTAGTGAAAAAATGAACGATTTGCTCACGTTCGTTGATCTTCTCGTGAAACAAACGTGTCGTAGGGCCGCGTACGATTATCAGATGCGGTCAAAACCGATAAAGGAAGACAAAGCTAGTATCTATTCCCTGGATTATTTGAAGAAAGTACACGATAAACCCCGTGAAAACATCTACAAGTTGGTTAAGGTACCCGCGTCATATGCATGTTGTGAAGTGTAAGCTAAACTGGCACACATTGCAGAACCCTCAAAAAACTCTTAAGGGGTTGAAGGTTGATAATGGTTTCAATGGACAAAAAAAGGACAACAAGTTCACGAAAATTGAACAGCGAATGTTGCTTGATTTCGTCGAGAAAGTTAAAGATCAAGCTCCTCCAAGACAGCTGTTGTGGATTGACCTGCAGCATTACCTCTATTATGTTTATAGGAATTTCGCTTGTCCTAATCCTGATCCTTCAGCCGAAGTCTTGTCTACATTTTTTATTTGTGAAATGAAGGAACTGGTGGATAAGTAAGATTTGCGCTTTACCTATAAGTAAACCTTGTAAAATGTTTCTGCTGCGATGTTTATTATATCCATATCAGCCATAACCCCACTTTCTAGGGCACATCAATAAAGCTGTAAATTTAAATTGAATTACGGAATTAAACCCATTGTTTAAGCAAAATGCTATTTTTGTTGAAAAGTTAGATGGCAATAAAATTTTTGTCTCAATGATTACCTTAACATTTATGCGGACAAGGGGATTCGAAGTTTATTTTTTAGCATATTTTACAGATCAAAAAACTAAACTTAATATTCGAAGAGTCATATTTCTTGTCCGTTTTATTTTTTTTTCGGTCCTCTATCACTTCAGCATTATATTATCTATTTCGCGCGAAATTTCAAGTCTTGCAAATTTGGGTATTTTTGGTAGCTATTTCTAACCTTTAGGGCAGTTATTTCAACAATATTTTAAACATTGTAGTTTAAAAAAGGAAGATGAGAGTCAAGTGTGGTTGAGGGTTTTCACATTGCTGAGAGAATATTGTATCTTTGCTCAGTGGCATTACACCAAAAATTGTGAGGAGCACGCTCTTTTAAGTATGGTGTAATTATTTAGAATGAATTTTTGGGTTTAATTTTTTCGATTTTTTGTAGAATTTTTCTGCTATTACGAAGCAATGTTGACCGCGGCCAAAAATCTGGTGCCAGTATTCTCAGACTTCGAGCGTGATGTCATTTACAAGAGATACAAAGTGTGCTGGGTTGACTTTAACACTTTTATTTTCATCCGATTTTTCTATGAAAGCGGGAGAGTGAAAACGAGACTTGCGGAGTGTGTTAAAGTGAGTACGTCCATGTAAATTGAGTCAGAGGTGTGCATTATATAGTTATTCCAGACAAAAAATGTCGCAGGGGAGGCTCCTCAGATGTTTACTCTGTTTAGTGAATTAAAAAAGTTGTGGACAGAGGAACAAAATCGGATAGGCTTAATTAAGTAGGGTTGAATTATTTTTTTAAAATCGTTTCATTAAAGTGTTTTTACTCTTTTAGTCAAGAGGGCAAATTAGCGGAAAATTCCCCTGAATTTGGTAAAGAAAAAAAAGTAATCGCGGCTCATAAAAAAGTTTTGGCGGGAAATTTTTGGGTGGAACGAACAAAAGAAGAGTGAGATATTCCCTCCTTGTTTTTGAATTTTCAATTAAGCGGTTTGTTTTATTTGTTTAAGGAAAAAGAAAATTGACTTAAGTCGATTGGATCACAATATTTTCGATTTGCTAAGAGATCGGGAGTTCTTTCCTGAGGGACCTGGCCTGAACAAGAACGGCCAGTGCATTTGTGAAGAGTGTTTAATATGTAAATATAAGTTGTTTTTAGACTGCCAGCCCGCGAATGATTTTATCGCTATTAGAAGTTCTGAAAGAACTACGGTTTGTCGTAAATGCAAAACTATGCTTAAATTGGAAGTGTTTCAACGCCATATAAACAGTCACGTAATGGATAGTGAATCACAAAGGCAGCCAATTAATAACAGACCAACAAATTTGACGCGTATAATTGCAGAGAAAATGGATTTTGTCAAAATGGGTGATCGGTCAGTAAGCCTAAGTGAGATGCTTAGCGAAAAATTGCGAATAAGCAAATCTCAGAATACAGAAGAGTGTTCCGATAAAATGGAAATGGACACTACAAAACTAGCTTTTGAAAAATTCCTTAGACAAACCCGAGATAGTCCTACCAATACCGAACATTTATTCAATAAAAATGGCAGGAATGTCATAAAAATTAAAAAGGATCTGTTGAACGGCATTTCTAAGAAGGAACCGGATAGCATGAGAAAGGATAAATCAAAGTGAGTACCAATAATATTATTATTAACATTTTGCAAAAAAACACTATCTGTAGTTTTGTATAAATGTAAGTATACTAATTCAACATTGTATTGGAACTGGCAAGGCAAATATTCTAAAATTCTTATAAAAATTTTATAAATTCTGTACACCAACTGGTTCGTAATATATTTAAAAGGGATATCCTGTTTGCATCCTTTTATTAGTCCTTCCACGTTAAGTCTTGGGATAGAATGAACCTTTTTTGTAACTTTTAGAAGAATTCTTTTTAAAAAATATGTATGTTTGGAGTTACTGAAACCGGTTTTTTTTTTCAGTTCCATAACTTCAAAATTGGAAAAATTAACAGCGAACGGATCCCAAGAGTAAATAAAAACAAAATTTTAAACCATCCTCTAAAAAATTTTTTTTAGAATTCCCGTGTCGATAAATACGGAAAAATTGGGCGAAACTGAACTTAGAATAAGGGATATTCGAAGGAATTGGCATAAGTAAGATTTAATGTAAACAATAAACCTGAAATTTACATGAATCGGTTTTTCATTAGGCCTTATCCAATGAGCAGAATAAGCAAATGTACCGGCACTGACGATGATTCCCCGTCGGGTAAGTTTTATAATTTCCAATGTTTTTATATCTCCAAGTGTTCTCTGTGACGCCATTCCAGGAGTTTGTCCCGGTCACGTGGAACCGGACAATGTGGAACAAAAGAAATGCGATTGTACATATTGCGAGGTATTTGGGGCAGTAAGTTTGGTAGTCAGAACTGAAATTCGTGTTATTTAGATCTGGCGTGTCTTGTTTGTTTTTAAGGTTCACAAATATGCGGAACTCAGAGATAGATTGCGGCTAAGACTGAACCAGAGAAGGGAGAAAAAATCAGTAGAGAGTCAGCAAAATTTGGTCTCGAACGGCGGTAACGCGAAAGTTAATAAAACTGAATCCAGGGTGAGATCAGTTTTTTTTTTTTTTTTAATCTGTCGCAATAATTATTTTAAAGGTTTCAGCAACAGCTTCACCGACGAATATGCCGTCGTCGATTTCGGTTTCGTCAGAACCGTCGGTTGGCGTCAAAGAAATTTCCGATATTCATGGTTTGGTGAATTATATAGAGGGCAATTCCGCTATCAATAAAATCGAACTAGCTAAAAAGAAAGCGGCTAAAAAAGCTCGGCAACGCGAAAGAAGGGTATTTATGTTTTTTTTTTGACTTAGTTAACTTAGTTAATGTTATGTGCAATTGCTTAGGAGCAAGAGAGAATCCAGGCCGAGCTGGACGCGAAAAGAAAAGCAGAAGAGAAAGAACACAGGAAAAAGGAGCAAGAAAGGAAACAAGAAGAATTAAAACTGTTGGAAGCGCAAACCAAAAAGAAACTCAAGAAACAAAGGCAACAGTTGAAGAAGTTGGAAAATGAGAGACTTAAAAATATTGTTGAGGAGACCATACCGGCCATGGTTACAATTAAAAGGGTGTCCAACACGGAAAATGGCACACCTGCAGTTACAATAACGCTGAAAGGGTACACGCCGGATCAAGATAAACTGTTGTATACCCTTGTGGAGGATCCAAAAGATGAGGGAAAGGATACTAAAATTGAACCGGTTGTAAGCAAAGAGTTGAATAAAGGTAAAGTACTGAGTAGGTTTTGTTGGCATTCATGTAGTGGCCATATTTTGCAGCAAAGAAAAAAATTAAAAATAAACCTCTTCAAGTTCAAGAGAAGGAGCCCAAAGTTGTAGCAAAAGAAGTGAAAGTAATGTTGGCTGTGGATAAAAATTCTTCGAAAGCATTTCCAGATACTGCGTCTGATAATACATGCAAAAAACCCATCGCAAAGGTTGTTAATAGAGAAGTGTTGCCGACTGAAGATGAAATGAGAGCGCTAGGTAATCTTAGATTACCTCCTGGAATTACCATAACTAAAGTGGAAGGTCCTTTGTCTAATCGAAATCGTGTTGGATCTGATGCAAGCAAAGCGAGCTCTATTGTAGGTAAATCTGGGGTAATTGTTGTAGATACTGAGAAGCTTATTCATAATAACGACGGTGGAGCTGAGTCCGTTAAAGTCTCCAAATCAAGTAAAAAGAAGAGGAAAAATAAAAAGAATATGGAGATGACTATTATAAACAAACCAATCGCTAACCAACCTAAAATGGTTACTTTGAAGAATCCCCTTTTCCAACAGTATCAAAATGCTAAACCTTTGGATAATATAGACAACTCAGCGCCTGCGTCTATATTTACTAGCGAAAATGGTATGGTCACAATTCGCAGTTCAAGACTACAGCAATCGTTAAATAATGACGCTAAACAGTCGAATGCCATGAAACTCCCTATGCCAATTCTTTCTAATATGATGCCCGAAATTCCAAACTTGATTAATCCTAATAAATTCACTCCAGGTAATTGTATAAACGTAACTGACGACGGCAGGCAAACTCCACTAAATGCTCAAGAAATTCTCTCTGGTTTGCCTGGTATTGAAATAACTAAGGTTGACAAAAAATTAGAACCAGTAGTGTTAGAGGATAAAGGATCTTATCCTGACGCTCAGGTCTCTATCATTCCTTCGCCTGGTAATGGCAAAGATTCAGAATTTGGTAAAGATGATGATGATTGGTTATATGGTAAGTCATCCTTTTTTAATTGTTTTGCTTCTATTCATTGGTTTTCACAATATTAAGTTTTGTTTTTTTTTTAATTATTTTAGATAATGTTTTTAAACCACGGGACGTATTAGAAGACGATATGGACGACGAAGAGTTGGAATTAGAAGCATTCAAACGTTTTTGTCAACAATCTGTCCCCCCGAAATGTAAAGAAAAAGTTGCTCATTTAAATGTTGCTGACATTGTTTTAAAGAAAAAAACTTGTTAATGGTTTACCAAGACCATTATGCCAATTGTTTCACTTAGTGTTATTTAAGATGTGATAATTTATTTTAAAAAATAATAATTTGTAATATGTTTCGTGAAATAGAATTTGCAACATTGGTTGTTAAGTTTTTATGGAACTTCCAAGTTATGAAGAATATACATTATACAGAGTCCTGCATCAGTGCGTCAGCATTCATAGCACCCATATTTATAAAAGTAGAAAAAAAGTTTAATACAAAAGTTGTAGGATGTGGGTTGTTGCATATTTATTTTTATGGTGGTTTTTCTTATTTTATACAGGGAGTTCAATATTTGGTTACAAAATAGCAACTCTCAAATCAGCTTTTCCTATTATTTTAAAATGCCACACTCTGTATTTTATTTTATTATTCAATGCAGAATGTAATTACAAGCATGTCTTGTTATTATGAATGTATTAAAATTCTCGATAGTTGGGTGTTCCTTATAAACTAGAGCTTTTACATACCCCCACACACACAAAAAAAATCTAATTTGGTTAAGTTGGGCGACCTCGAAGGCTATCCTATCCTGATCCTCCTCATTCAATCCAGCGATTTCCGGATTATCTAGCTCTGTTCTGACCTATTGCGCATAATGGGCTGGAGGTTCAACTTGTTGGAGCATAGTTGGTGGTAAATTAGTAAGTAAGGTAAATAGTTTCTCAAGAATTCAAGATAAATTTGACCGGTAAGGTGGTCGAAAAAATGCTAACCGATCATATTACTACCAATCAGTACATCCCCAAAGATTTATGGATTAACGATGTTGATAGTCCATTTCAGTCACGAAAGATGCGTGGGTTATCGGCGGCATAATAATAAAAATTGTTTGTTTACTCATTCGTTGTGAAATGTGGCCTCATCAGTAAATAACACCGACATAAAACGACGTCGATTTTCTTGAAGAGGTACTCTAGCCCACCGACAAAATTGTACCCGGAAAGTAATTTTCACTCATAGCCTGGTGTAGATCAATATGATAAGCATGATAACAATGCATTTTTAAAATTCGCTGAACTGACCTTTCACTAATTTCAGCCTCTTCTCCCACTCATGCCTGACTTATGTTTGAATTTTCAGTAACTGTTAACCAAAGTGCTACTTGATTTTCCTCATTGGTAGCCGATTTCTTAATTTTTACACTCTCTGTCTCGATAAAGCTCTCAAACAATCTAGTAAAGCTCCTTTCCGGAACTGAGTCGCGTTATTTTTGAAAAGTACCAATGCTTTTTTGGAATAATATTTCAATTCTGGGGCATTTATGGCTGGTACACTGCACTAGTTTAATGAGGATATTTATGGTTTTTGGTAAATATTTCTAAAATCATTAATACATTGGTGATAAAAAAATATGCTTCTAATTAAATTGTGCATTTAATAATAAAATAAAATACAGGGTGTACCATTTGAAAATGGTAAGAAGAACTGCTTGAACAGTTGCCATTTTTGTAACCAAATTTTGAGTACACTATATAAAATAAGAAAAACTTGTTTATTATTAGATTTCTAACATTTCTGTTACTATTTATTATTTATTATATTATATATTCTATTTATCTGGAACAAAACATTTTTTTTTCTAATTTTCTCAAGCGTGCAAAACGATCTCTTCATTTTTTTTATTTATTGCTCCTGAAATATCGAAGCAAATAAAAAATATTTTGGCACATAAGAGAACCTAAATGTGCCGAAAAATACAGGGTGTGTCATTAAAAATGATATATTTTATTGCCTTGCCCTTTTTTGGACTGTATATTTAAAAATATGTTTGAAATCCATCAACCTACATCCTACAACTTTTGAATACTTTTTTTCCACTGTTGTAAATAAGGAAGCTATGAATGCCCGACCATGTATATACATATATATTTTTTCCTTCTTTTTATCAGAGGTTTCTTCCTGCAATTTAGCGTAGATACTTTACAAAATGCGTGAAAACTTAATATCGTCTGTTCGAAAATGATTTATTAAACGCTAATGAATTCTAATTGGGAGTTGTGACCGCACATGGCAAATTTTTATTTTACGTCAAATACATCTCGATAGACGTCGCCCTTGTACAACAAAAATAGGCCAAGCGCCAATTACAAAATTTTCCAGGAGAGCAGAAAAACTTTTTTAAGTTATAATTTATTTCCACCTTTTAGTCATTATTCTTTTTTATGATTTTTTTTTTGTTTTCTGTACGGGTGAGATTTTCCGGCACAATGTGTATAAGCAATTCAAATAAGCGTTAAAAATGAGCTAATCTCGGATGCTCTGTAGATGGTACTGTGGATGCAGAATTGAGGTGTTGCCAGGTTGTCATTTTTTCTTGTTATTTGGTTGAAGAGGGGGTTGGGGGGGGGTACAAAGGTTGATCTCATTATGATATAATTTCAGTTAGTAAAGTTATTGATTGGTGGTCTTTCGACGCAACCTGGGTTCTTACTAAATAATAATCAATTATCTAAAAATATTGTTTAAATACTTAGAAGTAACTATATTTTGAAGAATTTTGATTGAGTTGTATCGGCAACGCCGATTCAATTATAAAAATTAATCCTCAATCCCAGAAAGATGCTACTGTTAAAGTTTATTTATGTAAATAAATAGAAAATAGGGAGGATGACCAATCGTTAATATGGGTTGGCTTAGTTGTTGTGAGTGTAAGTCCAAGGAAGAAAAAATAACAGAATTAGATTTCTCTCGCTGTGGAATTTCGGAAGTGCCAAATGATGTTTACACAAATTCGCCCACATTAGAAGTTTTACACTTAGAAGGAAACAAAGTTAGTTGTTTGGAGTCTGTTCGTCTGGATATATTACCTATATTACCATCTGTTTTAGTTGAAAGATCTGCCGCCCCAGTTATTTCAGTGTATAGACCTTAGGTATTTAAATATAAGTGATAACGAAATCCGAGCCATACCTCCACTTATTTCAAAGTTATCGAATTTGCAAGTATTGATATTTAGTAAAAACGGTAAGATCTCGTCCACCTCTTATTAATTTTTATATTACTATAAACTGATTTAGTTTTAGATGGGGTGCATCCAAATCTACACAAACTTAATAAACTGACCATGCTAGATCTCAGTATGAATGACCTAGGTAAAGTCCCAGATGCTGTGATGAGCCTAATAAATTTACAGCAGCTCTGCCTCAATGATACAGGAATTGATTTCGTTCCGGCCAACATTGGTAGACTCTCTAACTTAAAGATATTAGAATTAAGGGATAATAATTTATGTGAATTGCCTAAATCCATAAGACGTTTGACAAATTTACAAAGACTTGATGTGAGCGATAACAATTTATCCAATTTAGTATGTATCTTTTTTACAACTTATTGAAAAAAATCTTATAAATCTTTTTTTAGACAGAAGTCTGTGAATCGCATGGGAATTTGACTGAGCTTTGGATAAATGGCAATAATATATCTGAATTGTCAGTTTCTATAACCTATTTAAAAAAAATTAATGATTTTGATGCATCTTACAACAACTTAGAATCTGTACCAAAGGAGATAGGTCATTGGACCAAAATTACTAATCTGATTTTAAGTTTCAACAACATTTCATATCTACCAAAGGCCATTGGAAATTTGAGAAATCTTCAAGTACTAAAGCTGGAATCAAATTTTTTGAAGGAGTTGCCAAACACCATCTGCAAGTTGATTAACTTGGAGGAACTGAATCTACAGAACAATTGTCTCAACAAGGTACCAAGTGGTATTGGCCACCTTAGAAAACTAGCCACTCTAATATTATCTGACAACAAACTCCACTGCTTACCACCAGGTGTTTAATAATACAAATTAATTTTATTTCAAGCTATATTCGTTTCATTGTTTTAGAAATTGGAAGCTGCAGTGAATTATCAATTCTAAACATACATAACAACTTTCTAGCAAGATTGCCAGACGAAGTAGGCCATTTGCAACACCTAACAACCTTGGGTCTCATTGGAAATAGACTTTCGTTTCTACCAATTACAATCTCAAAGCTAACCAATTTAAAAGCATTATGGCTGACCCCAAATCAAACACAGCCACTTATTCATCTACAAAATGAACAACTTTCTGATGGACAAGTGGTTCTGACATCTGTTGTATTCCCTCAAACACCTCTAAGGGAACGTGCCACACCTCTACCCCCAGTAGGAACTCAGACAAGTCATATTAGTTTTAAGACTGAAAGAACTGAACCTGATGTTGCCACTACAAACTTATCATTAAGTAGAACTCCAACTCCCCATCATAAGGAGTTAAAGCGTCTGAGAGAAATACTTAGAAACAATCATATTTCAGTCAATCAAGTGTTAAATGTATCTGAAATTAAGGAGGCTAAAGTGACTCACATAACTGGTGACATCAGTACTTCCCAGACAAGTTTAAATGGTCATGAAGGAGAATCCTCTGATTTGTTAGATAGTGTTTTGGAACAAAAAGAGGAGAAACTCCAACCTAAACAACCACCACCTTATCATATTGCTGCGGCCTACTCTAAGAATGCTCATTTGTTTGCATATAGCCCTCCTAGTCCACATGACCAGCCAAAACAGTTTAGCCAACAGCAACCTTCCAACATTCATATGCCCACTCCAAAATTGGCTAACCGACATCAGTTAAATGAAAATATTCAACCCCCATTACAGTTATCTGATAAAAAGAATATGAAATCAGTTTCCACTAACACAAAGGAGGATGCAAGTTTCTTGTCTAAAAAAACTAGTTGGCCATTTGGGCCTCAGAGTTTCTGTCAAGTTTTTGAAGTCGAGCTTCCAGACTGCCATGAACCTGGAGATTTTCAAATTGTAGCTAAAAATGACGTAAGTTTTTTTGTTACCATAAGTTATCATAGGTGCTAAGTTCAGTAAAGTTATGAGCATTCTTTGCTAAATAGATTATAAAATTGCAGGGAATTTTCGTTGAAGAAGTTAATACTCAAGGGGTCATATTCCAAAGACTGCATGTTGGTGATAAAATATTGGCCTTTGATGAAACAGATTATACAGCTATAGATTCATTAGCTGCTTATCAAGATGCTACGAGAAGAATCGGTAATGTAAAGATTGTAACAGTTTCTAGAAGACAGGCATCTTGAATGTTATATAAAATTTACAAATATTTTTGTGTGTTCAATTTAACAGTGTATATTTTTTATGACGTTTGGTTATATAAGTTATATATTGTATAACTAAGCAAATTTAAAATGTGTTCTAATACCTCACATAATTCATTGAGTAACAGGCTGTGATTTTTTTGTAATTGTTTTTGTAACCTAGAATATATGTTTATTTATTGAGTATATAGCCCTGCTAGTTTTGTAAACTATTATTTATACATTCTGCCTCTTTTATATGTCTTGGGCTTTCGCCACCATCATTCATTGAAAGAGTGACACAGTGACCTGTGGGAGATTGTGAACGTTATTATGACATGCGGGAATAAGGTAAGGGGTTCTACATGTCGCGAAAAAATCAATGAAATGTTGTTATTTGAATTATATTATTTGGTGTTACTGTTTATCCAGATTTTATAACATGGTGTCCAGTGACTTGCAAAGTTTCAATTTGGTCAGACATCTTGCAAATATCCCAGAATTTTGTGCAATTTTTTTTTCTTTTTAAAGAGGTCAGAAAAATAGGGGATTACATCTGGACACTATATAATATGGTGACTTATCAGAACCAACAAATATTGTGGTGCTAAAAACTTGTTATTTGTTGAGTTTCAATTTAAACTTGAAGGTTTACAAAAAAAAAGAAAACATAGATTTAGGCAGATAATTTTTTCAATTCAAAAAGTAGGTTTGTTTATTAAAATGTTATTATGTAAATATACAGTATTTTGTATATGTATATGCTCTCTCTTGTAGTTCTGAAAAAATTGTATCATTTCTCGCAATATATCCTTCATTATATTTAGATAATTGTAGCTAAATATTTCGTAGGTGTTGTGTGTTACTTGAAATCTTTTATGCAGGGATTACAATAAAATATGCATTGTATAAACTTTTAAGCTTATAGCTCCAGGTATGCATCTATCGGCGTGTTCTTTTTTTTGAAGCTCTTAATATGTATAAATAATTACAAAACTGGTGGTATAATTAATTATAGTTTTTAATTATGTTGAATTTCAATTGACTGACTTCCATATTTATACTTTTTTAATAAAATGTTTCTTATTGGACTTTGTTTTGTATTTTATCTTGTAGTTTCATTTATCTACAGTTCTCACATTATTTTGGCATAATTGGGTGTCTGCGGAACAGTATATTTGTATATGGATGAATGATGTTAAAGTACTGTAGCCTAGCTAAGTTGGGACAGTAGTTATTCTCACCCTGTGTGCCCTATTTGCGGTCAAATGTATGACAGATTTCTTCTTCTTCATTGGCGCCCCCTTTTGTTAGGTTCACAAACCAGTGGATTGTTCTGTCGTATAAGGCTATTCATTCCTTCCACGCGGAATAGTATATATTTGTGAATATATGATGGCAGTAGTGTATCTCTCTCTCTCTCTCTCTCTCTCTCTCTCTCTCTCTCTCTAGTTGCTGTCAAATATCCGGCGATTTTTTAAAGAAATGACGTTGCCTAGGTGACGCATCTGGTGTACCTATCGACTTAAAACAATAACAAATCCCACTGATACATAGTTTCCCTTACATTCGTTACGACGAGATAATGAATTTGAGATAATAATCATTAAAATGGCACAGCTAACATATGTAAACAATTAATTTATTCATTTATTTCTTAAAAATAGGTGTTGTATATTTTAACTCCTCATAATTTAGTTTGAACTAGCCTTATGCTAGCTTTTAGCAATTAGGAAGTAATATAAGCATGGAAGGAAATAGTAGGGAGTCAAACAGAAACAGGGAAATAGATTGGTCGAAATTTGGTCTTGGTTCAGAAGCGGCACAAAGGGTCCGAGCTAATACAAGTGGGTTTGTTGATTTATCCAGTGAGGGGCATTATGCAGCAGGGGGTCACCAAGCATCTGGTGCGAATGAGCTATTCGCCGAGGAACAAGTATTGCCCATTCCTTCCAGCAATAACCAGATTTCAATTGTTTCTTTTAGGGCGATGTTCCTTGGTGGAAATCGAATTTTTTTATATCTCAGCCTGTCTTATTTGGCACATGGGATGGAGTGTTCACTTCTTGTTTAATAAATATTTTCGGAGTTATAGTCTTTTTAAGATCAGGCTGGATTGTTAGCCAAGCTGGGGTCATTAGTGCCGTGTTAATTGTCCTTTCAACAGGTTCTTAGAGCTTTTACAAAAGGCCTAACATCTACTCCTTCACTGAAATTTTTTTAGTGATGACAGCTTTAATATCAGTATTATCAGCAGTAGGAATTTGTGAAAGATGTAGGATTGAGAGCGGAGGAGTCTATTTTGTTCTGGGACATGTACTTGGATCTAGATTTGGGGGCTCTTTGGGATTGTTATATTGTTTTGGTCAGGTAAGCATTTTTCTTAAAGAAAAATTATATTTTCACTCATTTTATTCATTGTTTCAGGCTGTAGGTTGTGCATTAAATGTTTTGGGTTTTGGTGAATCCATGGCTGAGCTCATTGGTTTAGGAGATTCAACATGGGCAGTGAGAATCATTGCAATATTTGCAGTATTACTACTTAGCATCATAAATGTTGCTGGAGTTAAGTGGGTGATTAAATTACAATTTATTTTGTTACTTATATTGTTGTTGGCCGGTCTAGACTTTATGGTAGGTAGCTTTGTTCATACTGATGAGGGTAAGTGGTTATAATTTTATCGTTGAACTATTTATGGGAGATACATTTTAGAACATGGATTTGATGGTTGGATAAGTGACAATATAGAAAAAAATTTATGGTCTGACTACAAAGATAAATACGGTTGGTTTACTGTCTTTGGAGTGTTTTTCCCAACTATAACTGGTATATTATCAGGAATAAACATGAGTGGAGACTTAAAGGCTCCTTCCACAAATATTCCAAATGGAACTTTGTCTGCCATAAGTTTTGCTACATTTCTTTATTTAGTTTTTATTGTATTTTTGGGAGCTACTTGCCAAAGAAAGTTCCTCCAGGAAGATTTTATGATAGCCTCTAAAGTATCTTTCTTTGGTGTCCTATTTTTGGCTGGGCTATATGTTTCTTCCATGTCAAGTTGCCTGGGCGCCATGTATGGAACACCCAGAGTGTTGCAATCTATTGCTTTGGAAAATGTGATTCCCGGCATTGGAATTTTAGGAATGGGAGTAAGCAGTTCAATAACTTAGTGCTTTGGTTTGTAATTTTCATTTCCATTGTAGAGAGGACCAAATAAAGTACCTTTATATTCCATGGCTGTTGTAGCCACTGTGACTTTCGCATTTATTTTAATTGGAGAAATCAACACATTAGCTCCTATAGTAACAATGCCTTATTTATTAACATACGCTTGTATTGATTACTCCTACTTTGCACTTGCACAAACTTTTGATATACAACATCAGAGGGAACAGAGGTTTCATAGGCCAAGAATTCAGACTACTATAAGTGTGGATTCTGATCAAAATGATTTGGATAGACTTTTTCCCGAAAGGACTAGACATAAAATGTTAAGGGTGAATAAAATTTTTTATGTTTGGGATTGGTATAGTAAAATTCATTTTTAGGGCGAATCTAGTTCCAATTCCCCAAGCAGTCCCAGTGATAACACAGAAACTACACCTATAACACCCAGACCCCATATTCACTCAAAACAAAAGAACTGGTATTCGAACTTGTGTAATAGGTGGCTCTCTTTGATAGGGGTGCATTTTCAATGCAGTAATTTTGATTCACTAAATAAATAAATTCGTTTTAGGCGGCAATCAAAATCCTAATTATGTTTTTTGTTAGCTGGGTTTATGCGATCGTGTGTATTAGCGTTGTTTTCTTGGTGTGGTTGTATATTGGTACAGCAAATCCTGCGGTAAAACCCGGATTAGCGTCAGAGTTCCATTTTTTTAGATGGATGAAAAGTGTGATTTTACGTTGCTGCGGGTGAGTGTGTAGTTAGTTATATTTGAATTGCGACTATTTTTTTTTTAAGAAAAAGGGTGACGGACTACGAGCAAATTATCGTAACACCTGTTCATCCAGGCTTAGATGTCGTCTCAGCTCAATTAAACGAGGACAATGAAGACTTTTCTAGTCGAAGGAGGTACCACCAATCGGAAACTGTCACTGGCCATATGGTCGATATCGATGACTAAATATCATTACTATAAATGTTTTGACACCCTATTACTTGTATTTATTTTTGCTTTGTTAATACTCGCAATTGTTGATCAGCTATTAGATTATTTACTAAATTATTTTGAGTATAGGGTGTTATATTACAAAACGCTAACGAATTCTAAATTATTCCGATTAACAAGGACTTCCAACTGCCAAACTGTTTTTACATATAAAGGGCCACTTGATTCCGTTCCTGGGAGACACGCAACGAATTAGCCTCGCTTCGACCCTGCACAAATACAAATATTCGCCGATTTTTTTCATGAAACAGCCTCAGTAATACTTCTAAAATACTTATATCGTTGGATTATTGTGGCGATTTTTTAATATTTATTTTGGTTTGATTAAATTTAGATTGGGCGTCTGAACTTCCCAGGAACGGATCCAGGACCGCTTCTATAAAGGTATTTCGTTAAATTTGGATGTGTTGGTACAATCTTGCAAATCCTCGTCAAGTGTGACGCGATTAATTTACAAGCCTATGTTTACCGGGGCTTTCGTCAATTTTGTACCCATCCATTTAAATCTGGCGAACATTATATGGTGACAGACACTTTGTAGTGTCGACCGATATATGAAGCAATGTATTTTGTGACTACTATTTCTATATTAATAAAGAGTACAAATAATTAATATGCATTTTTCTCACACTGAAGAGTTTATTTTATTACAAAGTGCTTCTTATTCTTAGCAATGCTATTAACTTCACGGGGTGTGAAGTTTGAATCATTGAAACCTCTCTTCGATTTTTTTCTGGGTTTAATTTGAAAATGAATAAAATAAATCCTGAAGGTTTGAGGCTTGTTGGGATATATTAAAGTAATAAAGTATATATTTTACCTGATCTCCTGACACTTAAGGAATAGGTAGGTTGTTGGGATTTTTTTTATTGTCCTCTGAACTTGTCGATAGTTAAGGTATAGCGTCTCTGAAAAATTTATATTAGTGAAAATGAAACAAATCGAGACAACATATTTATTTATAATACTAACAAGTCTTATTTTCCAGATAAATGGTGTTATAAATATACCTACGAATTCAAACTACATCTGAGAGGTAAAAATCATAGGCATATAAACCATACGCGTTTGCAAAATTGCGGCTTCTGGAACGTGGAAGCGTAAAAACTAAAGCCCAACATTTATGAAAACAAATTAAAAAAAAGAAAAACAATTCAAATTTGATGAAAGCTCTGAAAATAATTTATTTGAAACTAAAAACAACAAACCAAACATGAATTTTCTTTGACAAATGGAAAACCAAACAACATCACAATAACTTAGAAATTTCACAAAAGCTATGTGGTATTATTTCCGTCCAAAGAAGTTTTTCCTTCTTCCATACGGTTAGCCTCTGCTCTTCGTCTAGCATTTTGATTATCTGATCGAGCCCTGCCGCGCAACACAGTACCCCCTCGACGGTGGGCGGTTCTACCGGCACCTTCACCACTAGCTGACTCGGATATGCGGCTAGACCGGGTCAGCTGGAGGAAATTGTTATCAGAGCTGCCTTCACCAGATATGGACGACAAGGTTGATAGTACCAACTCCTGGACAAAAGCGCAACGTTCCTGCTTCTCTTCATTAGAACTTGTATTTAAGGATAATTCATCCAGTAAACCTATCAAATTGGAAAGAATAACCCTTTAGAAAGTTATTTAGTATAGCAACTCACCAGATAAAAGAAATTGTGAATTTTGTCCTTGTGATGGTGCTGATGGTGCATTGGCGGATGGTTGAATGAACACAGGTGATGCGTTGAGCAGAATGGTTGATGTACCAAAATTCGAAGTATGAGCTTCTCTTAGTGTCTGACTTTGAGTTTGACGCCGAGGAAAACGTTCTAGTTGTTGTCTTGCAGCATTAACTTGTTGTCGTTCCAGTTGTAGCTGCATCTGGAGTTGCTGCAGCTGCGTTGGTGTACTGCTGCTCGTACTACTAGCAGATCTGCGGACGCCTAAAAATCAATGAGAACTTTATACTAGAACATTACCACACTGAGATACCTTTTTACCAGATAACTGAGACAGCAATTCAGCAATTGGATCTACGGACTCTCGAGAAGACGGTGATAGAGATGATAATCCCCCAGAACTAAAAATATTAAGCCACAATCTTTTCCAGACAGTAAGATGTCCAGTTGCTCCTCATTTGCAGGTCTGCTTTTACGGCAGTTTAGGCGCATGTCCAGCAAATAAAGAACAAATAGCTTTTTTACTACTGAACACCTTGTTCAGTGCTATTCAATAAAAGCGTTAATTTTTTCAACAGATACAAGTACCTAAAATGCATATTAGATCGACGTGGTCTTAAGGACGACGCTCCTCGTCCAGTTCCAGAGTGAGAAGCTGTAGTGTGAGGAATGCGTCTCACATTATGACGAGTCGCTCCTGAGTCGTCAAGAAAAGAGATGAGATCCCGAGGACCTGAACGATGTTCTAGGGTTAGGTGACCAGCAAAATCATCAGTCATTAAATTTGGATCACCCCCGGGCATTGCAGCACATAAAGGACACACCTGTAAGAGAGCTGTTTGTTACCCAAAAATGGAAGGCTACAAAAATCGTCTTACCACTTCAAAAGTAGTTTCTTGGTGATCCGCAGTTACATGCTCTTGCAGAGTTACATCAGTGAAGCCCATTCGTGAACAGTAGGGACAAGTATAGGACTGGGGCATTTCGAGAGTAGTTATGGCTTCTCCTCCATAATAAACGTCTTTAAAAAATTAGTTTAGAACTTTAATGTTTTTACCTACTTTCTTACCAAAGTCTGATCTTGTGAGGATGCATTGCATAGGGTGATCCGTAGTATGCCTTGTGTTGGTAGCCCCAGATTCATAACAAACAGCACACAAATCATAATCATAGCAAACTAAGCATTTGTATCTGCGGCCTCTAAAGTTCCCTTTTAAACAGGAGTCACAACTAACCCCTTAAAATATTTGACATATATTATAAATTATTCTTAAAAAAATCTCATTCCTTACCTTCGTGACGACTCATTGCGGTTATTTTCGTCGATATTTAAAAGATTTAAACTAATATCTTATTAAAGTGCAAATTTTTCTGACAATAAGTTGACTTTGACAATCAACAATGTGGTTGCTAAGTTAACTCACAGTTAAGCTCAGATTGGTAAATGGCACTGCCGTGTTCCTAAATCCTATAATAAACTGTTGTCACCTATGTCATTGAACATAGTCACACAATCTTGCACTTATATCAATTAATTTTTTCGCCGTAATTTTGAATTTTTTAATTTTTAAGAACGGCGCAACTACGTGCTTAGCAATAGTAGGGGAATAGGACAACTTGGGGGCTGTGCTCAGAGTCGCTTGTCTTGTTTATTTTCTGTGGCACAGAAAAATATTTTCACATGTAAATAGATAAAACTTTAACACTTCTGAATATTTTCAAAAATTCACCCAAAACAAAAATTGGGTGTTATCGTCGATGGGGAAATACTGCGGAAGTTGGTGTCAACTCTAATATTAATATATTAATGGAGGGACAAAATGTGGTGTTCTGCGATAATAGAAAGTTAGGGAAAAACAAAAAATAAATAAAATCTATTGTGCAAAAAGGTCTCCAAAGTGGCACAGACCACCGAAATTTATTATTGTCAAGATTTATTATAGTCACTAGGGGGTTCCCGTCTTGTTAACAGACCTCTACTCTACAAAGCTGTCCTGGTTTAACTTCGCCGTCCAATGAATAAGATTCCCTTCGGCAGATGGCGTGCTCGAATTGTAAAGATATATTTTATTTAATTTTATAGGTAAGTACAGAGTGAAATTAAAAAAATATGGACGAATGCAGTACAGGGAGAGGAAGAACTGTTGATTTTAATAAGTACTCTTCGTAGGCAAAGGGAATTGAGTAATGACTTAGGGAATCGATGAGGCGAGAGATGTAATAATCAAATTAGCGGATATGATATGATTTTTCGGTAATTTTCAAATATAATGCAGAAAAACTGTTGAGCTTTCACCGAGACAGCTTTTAAAAAGTATCCATTATTTATTAGGTGGCGAGTGAAGGCTAACGCAATTATTTATTCAGTAGTCATTAAAGACTTTTGTTGTTGGGGCAAACTTGCAACGGAATAACTTAGTAGCTCTATATTTAAGCGCCGTTGAAAATCCGTTTATTGTTAACCCTCCTATTTCTTGATGCGCCACGTTTGGAGCTTTGTAGTTTCTAAAATGATACAGTCGACGGATAACACACCATGAAGCAAAAAAATTAATATGTATAAGTCGGGTTGGTGGCCAAGAACCGGAGAAAAATTCCCCGGGGAGCACTGAAAAAAACACATTTCTTCAATTCGGGTGAATTTGCGGGGAAGTTTATCCGAGAAAAGAATCCCTAACGGTGTGACATGTGACAATTTGTCGCTCTTGGTGCCTTAAGAGCCTGTCACTTTTAATTTAGATTAGTTTCGATAACAGAAAAAAGAAACGTCCTGAACATTGCGGAAGGCGTAAGAAATAATGGGGGTTTTATTTTTGATTTGCGTGCTAAATGCGTAAAGTCCCAAATAAAGGGTATTTACTTCAGAATGGAAGCGTCTTGCCATTTTGCAATTGCAAAAACAAATTTTATATTTTTTGCGCTAATATTAATGGAGTAATGCTGCGATGGAGTGATCGATTTTGAACGATTTCGACTATATATTAGTTGAACCAAAGCCTTCAACTTGAATGCAATTTGGTAACTGTTGTTGTCACGGTTACTCCAGTCTTTGTCGCATCTTTTCCTCTTTCGAGATTCTTGGCGATCTACATCAGTAATCACAGACCTTTGAACCTACACTCGCATAGCATCTACGATTCTCCTCGTTCATGAAGATTGGCTATAACTACAGCAAAATTCTCTTCTGACCAGTGTTTGAAAGTCCATTCCAGTTCATTCGCCGATATTTATCATCAAAGACCTGGATTCCCTTCAATTTGACCTTTGATGATCAATTGTAGTAGGTGATATTTGATATTCCTGAAAACATGTCCAAAGTATGCGGATTTCTTTTCCTTAGTTATGCTTAGTAGCTCTCTTTCTTGGTTCATGCGCCGTAATAAGAATTCATTAGAATCGAAATATCCACATTTCAAACGCTTCAATGTTCCTCATTGTGGTCACTTTCAGCGTCCAGGATTCTATTTTATGTCAGAATTCAGAATGAATGTAGCACTTAATCATACGATATCGGGTATTTACAAATTAATGACTTCATTTTAAGAAAAGCGGAGCCTGTTCGATTCAGGGTTTGATGATTCTAGTTACCTAGTACCAAAATCTATTTATGTGGATTTTCGTTTTATTTCTACCTCATTTAGGCATAGTTATTTGTGACATATAAATAAGGCGCATTTTATTCAAAAAAAACGGTTGGTGCGGATGAGTGACAACCGTTCAGACAGTTACTGCGTTTATTGCAATGGACATTATAACTATAAAACTGTATACTTGCTTCTTATTTGACCAATTTAATTGATGTCAATTAAGGGTCAATTCATCTTATTATAGATTGGGAATACGACAACATGTACCATGTCGATTACGTCAGCGCGTTCCAGATATTTTCAGATTTATTTAATTGGTGGATTGATTAACACAAGATGACAGTCTGAACGGACGATAAATACAATTTCCGATAAACAATTGTTTAGATAAGAACAAATATTAATTCGTCGTTTCTACAGTGATGCCGTGAGAATTTTACGGTTTGCTTTTTGTATTGTGTGAACTTTCGGCACCTTTCGGAAAATTGTTGCTCTCTTTCCAATTACCTGGGAGTTAATGATCATTTCCTTCGACAAATTTGATCTAAAAGCGCGCTAAACTGTTTGCACTGCTTTTGTGAATTTTCTGGTACGTGAACGACTGGATGTCTGGCTAATGGTTTTTCTTTTGTATAGATACCTGGTAAATTTGTCGGTTTAGCCGTTTATGTATGTACGTTGTCAGTAAAGTTATTAATGATATATATCGGAAGGAGAATTTGCTAACGGTCAACTTGCCCGGACTGATAATTTTAATATTACGTCAGTGCAAAAACCATCTCGTTACAATGGAACTGATTACCCTAAAAAAGGTGTCGATTTTAAAGGATATATATTTCTACGGATATACCAGGCAAGATTTACGCCAGATGCCATTCGTCTTCCACATAGGGTTTTTCTTCTAACGAAAAAGACTCCAAACAGAAATTCATCCTTAGATAAAAGATAAAGAAAGGACGCGACAGTAAAAGGAGCTTTATCACAAAGATGGTAACCAAGGTAACGATTGACCTGCCCGGATTGGCTACTAGAAAAGTGTCAATAGATACGCCCACAACTCCGAAGCAGATAGAGATTATACTCGGCAAAAAGGAGTTTCGACTCCTTGCTGCGTACTTCCTTTGAAAAAGGATGATATTACATCGTCTCGTAAAAGATTTCCGACACGGATAAACTTGCTCTCCGTGTCGTTAAAACGCTGTTAATAAGGCACGACGGATTATTTCTAATTTGCTTTGTTCGATAATTGGATACCGAGGCAGATTGAAAAGTATTTGTTGGTATTTAGCATTCTCAGTAATTTAATGCCATTGGAAAAATAAAAAATAAAAAATAAATACTGAAAGCAACAATTTTCAAACTTCCAATCTTTCGTTTTCCATAAGTTAATTTAGAGAAAAAACTGTACTTGGGAAAATGTATTAAACAATAAGCATTTTCTGCTTTGGCTGTTCATATCACCTGTTTGCTTTAAATTTGGTTTCCTACATTGCTTCTTACAATTTTTAAAAATTGAAGGATAATATATCGCAACCTCAGTACAACATAACCATAACTCAAAACATTTCATTAGTTTATTCGACATAATTATCAAATTATAAAAACACAAAAAAATTCGTTATTGCCCTACAAAAGTAGCAACGTATCCAATGTGATGTAATGTAAAATAAATAAAATAATCTTATACTTTTCAAAGTGACATTCAATTGGTCATACTTTGAAAACTCAAACAACTATCAATTGTGAGTTGTGTTTGAAGGTGCAATATTAGTAATTTTTGTACAAACACAAATTAATACATATTACTAGAAAATGCAGCATCAAATTTTTGTTGGGCGACATTTGGTGACCAAATGAGAGGTCAAAGGTGCTGGTGTTATCATGTTACGAATTATTTGCTTATCACTTTTGTATATTTTCAAGTGGAGTGGCGAAAACGACGCTATTAATTTTTTAAGTTGGGATTTTCCAGCTAATTAAAGAACTAACCAAAACACATAAAAAGTTAAACACCTGAAAGTTAAAACTTGGCTGTTTTGCCAATTATTTCTATATAGCTTTTTGTATTTTGTGGTATAGAATTATTGTAGAAAACCAACGAAATAGATAAAATTTAACACCCACCGCGAAAGTTGGGCACTTGGCGAAAACTGGCACTTTTACACCTTGGTCGTTAAGATTCAAGTTTTCTTGTACGTGATAGCCATTATCTTGTAAGATAAAATTCTATACAAGACGGGACGACGCAAAGAAACCACCCCCTCGGTAGATTAAGGACCTTTGCTGTAATTAGCGTGACGGGGTGTTTATTGTTTAGAAACTTCGCACTTTCCAGCAGCCTCGCAGCTGAGACTTCTCGGTTCTTATTTTATCTTCTCTGTCCGTACCCTGTTTTTACACCACGTTTATTACCCCTACCCCTATGGCCGTAGCGAACTCCTGATTTTCATTTTCGGTGTCCTATTCGGGCTTGGCGCTTAAGTGTTTTCATTAATAATAACCCTTAGCGCACCTGAGCATGGCTAAAAGAGATGCTCTGCATTAAGAGCGAATCCCTGAATAACTTATGACTTTTTAGCTGACACCATAGTTAGTTGACGTCACGTTTTAGTCTAAACTAACTTAGCAAATTAAATTAATCATTAATCAAATTGTGCTCTCCACAAATTTGAAAGGTTAAAAAAAAAGATAGCCGTAAATAAAAAAAGTTCTTTAGCAACTTACAGAGATACCCGTAGAATTGACTTTGTCCTTTGCATATACAGAGTGATCAGAAATCATGAGGATTAGACTTGAGAAATATTATTTAATGAAATTTACTCAATAATATTTTTTCTAGGATGCCTTTAAACTTAGCACATATACTCTTTTATGTTTTACCCTTAATGCCAAATGGCCTTAGCTTCTGTTTGAATTTTTTTACAAATTTGAAAAATTTACAATTAAAGATCATTAAAAGCTTTAAGACATATCACAATAAAATAATCCGTTTCCAAGAAAATTTCCCCGCAGTTAATTAGTACCGATGAATATTTAAAATTGAATTGAAAATACAAGAATTTTCTTGAAACAAATTTAACACTAGACTTTGACAACTTGGCTACGAGAAATAGCTTAAAACTATTAAACATTGATGTGATATGTTTGAAAGCTTTTTTAATCGTTTTTAATTTTGAGTATAAGTAAAATTGTCAACAAAAATGTTTGAGGACATTTTCTTAAAGTCGTAAGCAGCTAAGGCGCTTTGGCATTAAGGGTTTTACATTAAATTTGGTCTAAGAATAGAAAAAAATATTAGGAATAAATGAGTTAAATTTGAAGTTAATCGGTAGACTATAAAAAATGTTATTAAGGAAAATGAACTAATATTAATATGTATTTTTTAAAATAACTTTTTTCGAATTATGGTATTGGAATAGCATAAATTATTAGGAATTTTGTGCTCTGTTGTGATTTCTGAAATTGAAATTTTTGTTCTGTTTTTAAAAAATGTTTCATTCTGTTTCATAAGAAAATAATTGAAAGCAAAATATTACAGTGTTAGGATGGGTGATAGGGTGAAATGTTCAGAGCAAAATATTTCCGCCTGTTTTTCAAACATCCTGTATAAATTGTTGGGATCGGGTGCAACGTCGCGATGCACCCGGCGACGCGAACTAGCGAAATATAAAAATCGCCTCGTTGTCGTCGTAAAAGCAGGAAATGAAATTTTTATCTGTTCGAAACCTTTTTGACACGGCATACAAATACTATTGGTTGACTGACACTTTTCGTTGTGTCTTGTTTTCAATTTAAAAACGAATTTCGGGCACGGGAAAAAATCGATGCCTGTCACTTTAAAACGAAAGAGGCTTTGTCAGACGTCGCGGAATCTGATTAAAATCTATTTCTGTTTCGAACTCGTATTGCTCTTTTACAGTGTGACCCATTTCTATCGAAAGTGATCCGCGTAAGGTTATTCGGTTTACCGAAAAAAATAAAAAATAAAAATAAATCGATTGTGACTTTTCTGTCACCAATCAATTAAATGTCAGCGTGGTGATGGTCTCGTTTTGGCGTGCCTTTTCAAAATTAATCATGAAATACAAGCGGAGAAATTATTTAACTAGCAGAGTAGCGGTGGTATATGTGAGGTTAACAATCCTGGATGCATTTAGGTTGTCTGTTAGTTATTTCATTGCATGAGACTTGCAATTTCTTGCAAAGTTTATTAGTGTGTCTCTCGGGCGACACAAGACGGTACATTTGAACTACTCAGTATCCCTGACATACTTAGTAATTTTTAAAAGTAAAAATAAACATTTTAAATGTGTTTCCAATTATATTGTCCTTATTAGAGCTAACGGTGATTTCATATTTTTGATTTTTTGGATTTTTTTTGTGAATGATACATTTTATACAAAACATACAATTTCTATAAAACATCAAGAAGTGTAAATGGCAATCAGTTCTAGTCATTTGGTATAACGGGAGTTATTTTTACCTTGCCTTAACCCTGCTTCAAATTATCTTCAGTTCTTAGCGGTAGAGAAGTGGTTTTTGGTAGGAGTTGTTTCAAAGGAAGAAAACTTCGGATGTATAAATACAATTATTTTTATTTGCTATTTATATTATCATTATGTACAACTCTTTACAAACGTAATATTTAAAGTCCTATTTGGCCAATAGAGAAATTTGTTTGACGTCGGCAGCGGTTTCCAAAACCGTCTGAAAATTCACAGATCGTTTACATATAATGCAAATAAGAGGAAAATAATATAAATCAGATAAATAAGTATTTTCTTGGTTGAGATTGCACTAAGAGCTAAATTAAATACTAGGTTACAAAAATCCTGTAAAAAAATGTGAATAGGTACGGGTGTTTGTGATTAAAAATTGTAAAAACTAACAGAGACAAAAAAAATCAACGTGCTTAAAACTGTGTAAAAAAACGATAAATATACATAAGTACGTATACACATCATAATACCGGATCATTCTTTTCCACCCGGTAAAATGTCTTCGGTAGAATATAAAACTTTAAAAAAAAAAACTGGCCACCTATATAGGGAAAAGTACCTAAAGAAGGGAACAAGAAAATATTTTCAAGAATATAATAACAACGATTCGAGATAACAACAATTAACAAGCTACTTAACTACAAAAAAACAAAGTGTTAAGCATTGACTAAAATGAGAAAAAAAATAAAACAGTAAGGTAACTATATCGTCAAATTTTTGCGAATTATACAACGAAATATAATATACAGCGTGCAAAATTCACTAGAAAGATTGCGCCAAAAAAGTTTTGCGATGAACTTGTCGATAGCTTATGCTGGGAAAATGATCAGCTGGAAAAATTAACTTAAAATCTTTGTAGTGAAATTTGGAACATCCTGCGTCTGCGTCATATAGTATTTTGTTCGTGTTCCACATAATAAGGCGCTCTGGATAATTTTGCAACTATCGGTGTCGATTTTTGAGTGACTCTCATTTATTAATTGGTTGCGTTTTGCTTAGTTGTTAATTTGTTTGTAGGATTCTTACATTAAATTTTTCTTCAAGTTAAGTTCTCGAAAAATTAGGACATATCTTAAAAACCTATGTACCACGAGAAAAACGAAAGCCTTCTCGTTTACAATTTGCTTAGGTTGTCCATTACGAAATGTTAATTAAACGAGCCGTCAATGTGTTGGTGAGAATCCTGTTAGGTACATAATCGTTTATTAAGCTACCAGACTCTACTTTATAATGTAGAACCTAAACACGACCTTTGTAAGTATATGTACATCGAATATCCATTAAAATATGTAACTAATACGCTGATATTATATACAGATAAACCGTAAACATTACGATTTATTTCATTGTGATATAAAAAGGAACATTAAATTTCAATCTGAGTATTCCCCAGTCTAGCTATGTATATTTGGCAATCTGATATAGAAATCTTCTCACACCTGCTTGTGATATGTCAGTCAGAATTCACAGAATCGAGCGTCCAACACACGTCCCCCCACTCCGCCTAGTCTTTGCATCGCAGCAATCAACAAATAACATTAACGATAAATTATTGACTAGTACAACTAGTACAATTTTAAATATCACATGTACGGCCATGAAAATGAGCTGCCCGATAGTAGCATGTCCCTTATCAATGTTTCGATGGGTGTTTTGCCAACTAAACGAACGAAAAACAACTGTTCTATTACCGCCGAACTAACTGTCCTTAGACTAGGCAAGCGTAGTAGCAATTTCCCGAATCTAGTTGGCTGATTCGGATACTGCGACCGGCAGTACTCTTCCAAGGCGCACTGCGATTTCTCTTGTATCGACTCTATATGAGCCACGTCGCTGAGTCCACAAGCATCTGCAATAAAACGATATTAAAAAAAGGTGGTATAGTGCTTTCACAATTAAACGGTTTTGGTTTATTGCCCATTTTTTTAGATAATAGCTTGGCAATAAACTTACTGTCAACGAGCAATGTAAAAAGATGCAATCTAGGATTAGACGGCGGAAAATTAACTTGGTATACATATATACATCTATATATACACTTACATATACAGATTTATAATGTTCTATATGCAGTTCCTTCCAGCAAAATTAATTATAATGGGTTTAACAATATGAGTGAAACTATTATAAGAATCTTCTACAATCCGAATTTTTCTTGCGATGTCAAATTAACACACTTTTTACTAAATCTACAACACTAGTACTTAAGTGGGAGAAGAATTTTGCGACTTTAATTGGTTAGTTTTGGTTAGTCACATGTGCTCTATAGGATTGAAGGGACAAGAATAGTAGTTGTACCACTGTATACCAAGTAGCAGCCTTTTAATTGCAAAATAAAACACAACTATATCAATCAAAATTATGATTTTAGTTTATTTTTTTCTAAATATTACAATGCGTACGGATAGGAGGATTCATAAGATCAGCTAAGCTAAAGCTTTAGACCCATTGTTATATCTGGTGCAAAAAAATTAACATTGACATGATGGGAAATCCTGTAATTTTAAGAAGTACCAAGCAAGCAAGAATTGCTGTTTATACTTTTTTAAAATGGTAAACCTAATGGCAATTAACTTCGCGTCTAAGTTTGCTGGCTAAGTTGGCTAAGTGGTGGTTTTTAAGGCATAACAACAATCATCACCATTTACTGCGATTTTTAAGAGGAAAAAAAGGAATAAATTAAAAACTATATTTGCAATGTTATGAAACGGTACTATTAACTCCGCCAGTGCCGGTCCCAAGCCCGGATCAAAAACGAGGAGGGCGAGGAGTATCAACCTCGTTAAAAAACCAGGGTTCAGCTGGCAACGGCTGATAACACCCTGTGAGGGTCCCTACCTAGGGTTACAGGTGAAGAAAAATATGTATCATCTCAGTTATGATCGTAAAGGAGAAGAATATTGATTGGACAACAAACCACCAACCTTACTGCGCATTAGGAAGCGTTAGGCACACCAGACTAGTCTACGCCGGTTGTACTAGTGGCCTCTTAGAAGTATCCAAGGTAAATGACACCCCTTGTATATCATTAAGATTTTACGTAACAAAAAAAGTTGTTTCTGTTTAAATTTCTAATCTTAGTCTCTTCTCCAATTAAAAAATGCATTTTCAATAAACATCTTGCCATATTTCATTCTTAGCTTGGTTAGTTATTGAGTTTCTTTCCTTTTATATGTTATATGTTTTAAGATCGTCTTCCACCGATTTCTTCATAGTCTGATTTCATTGGTTACATTTTAATATGCTGCGGAAATAGGGAAGGAATTTTGGTTAGTTCAAACACGTTCTGCCTTTCATTAATCGATCAGAATGATTAATGCAGGGCTGGCATCTTTTTTTAGTATTTCCGTCCGCAAAATAAAAAAGATTCCATTAACATAGCGGAGGACATTTTAATTACATTTTGACTCTAAGAATAGATCGAAAAATTCTTGACCCTCGTTTATTCGTTTGACATATCCTCTATAAATATACCCGCGTAAAGTGCAATTGTGCCTCACTTCCATTATATATTTTTTCGCCTTATCTCGTTTTCGTCTCAAACATTCATGACAGCTGCCGTGCAATTGAATTTAATTTACAGCCGGAGCATTATTAAAACATTTGTGTAACCGATGTAATTAATTAAGAAGACAGACTATGCTAATCCGCGTTCATCAATTTTTAATGGCCATCGGAACAATTAAAACTTCCTAATATTAAAACATTTTATGTTCCCAAGACTTTCTTTATGGCCGATGCGGATTGGCCCGGGATATTCTGAAGTTCCTCATTAATCCTTTCAATTGTCCACGTTTCAGAAACTTTCCGACGCTAAAAGATTCTCTTTCTCTTTTGTAACATTCCGTTTTAATGACAAACTTCAAACTTCTCAAATATTCCCTTCAATATTTAATATTCTATTCCCATTATGGGTTTATCTCACTTTGACTCCAAAGTCGTCGATGCCACTTTTTGCTCTACTACAATTAGTTATGTAGATAACTATGCCAATATTGTTTGCGAGAAATCACTTCAAGACACTCCACTATTCTGAATTGTTGTTTTTTTTTTTCTCAAACTCTTTATTTACACGGCCTCGTCAAAATGTTTAGGAGGAAAATAAAAAAGTCTTGTTAAGGTTTTCAAATTTTATTCAAACGTCTTATATCAATGGCCATGTGGTGATCATTGTATGGGTCTCCATTTGGTTGGTTTTTGAAAAAATATATATTGCTAGGTAAATAAAACTGGAAATTACTTTTTTCTTTGGATTTAAAAATGTAAAAATCCATAGAGGATGCATTTTTATTCTGGAGAATAGAGCAATGTATGTATGATTGTTGATTGATCGTTTTGAATGTATAATAAAATACGAAGTATACTAAAAAGAAAACATTTGATAAAGACACGGTGTTGTCGAAACAATTGTCATGTTAAAATATATAATTTCGTGAAAATCTGAACTTTTAGTTGTTATTTATTTTGTTAAATGGATTTTCTTCAAGTAAAAGCCACCTCAGTTCAATTTAAGAAAAGACTCTATTAAAAAAATTCTGAAAAAGTTTACACTTACAGAATTTCTTTTAGCATCTCAGTTGCTATTGCACAATGTTTAACAAATATAAATACGTTAGGGGTTAGAAAGTTTTCTTTTTTAGTTAACTGAAATCAGGCTATATGGTATGCGGTTAAATGTGAAAAATCGTTGGTATTTAGACGCAAATAGGAAAAAAGAGCAGACATTTTTTTTTCCAATAGGCCGCCTAAAATACTTGACCTAATTTTATAAAAATGTAATATGATGATCATTAGTAATAACCCCTTAAATGTATTTAGCTTGTCTAGTTTAATAAGAGTGCATCTAAACACGTAATTCCTTAACACTCTGTGTGATAGACACAAAAAAATTTGGTTAGTATGAGCTTTTAATTACAAAAATGTTTGGTATCGACTAAATAAAATCTTTTTGAAAATAAAAAAAGAACCAGTGTTTCATTTTTAATAAATTGTTGATTAAAAATGAAGAAACTTTTTCGAATTTCCAAGAAAAAAACACTATTTTGTTGCGTGTTTGAGTTTTTATCTTTCAATAAAAAAAATCCAAAGGTCTCCTTTAGAAGAAAAAATTGTGACGTTGTATTTTCGTGTTCTATATAGATTCCAATTACACATTTGCCGGACTCCCGGTATATAGCAATACAATACGTCAATACAATTAAGTTAATCCGGTGCAAGTTAGAAAATTCCGACATATTACGTCATTAGCTCCCTACTGATCCTCGTGATGAGGGAAATTTATCTAAAGCACTTCTAATGAGCTTCGATTTATATCCGGGGCTAAAATGTAGTTAAAGGTTTGTTTCTATTATGGGTCACTGGTGCACCTATGTAAATTTTTTCGAGAGTTCGAACGAACAAGTTCGTGATGATTCAGAATGACGGTACAAATATAAAGGCATTAATTTAGTCTCCGGTTCATTCTTTCATTTTTCTTAATGAACACAAGAGATGCGTTACGCAATTTGTCGGTTATATTTATTACTATTTGTGAGGCAGCTGGTGTTTTTAAACAATTAAAGTTCGCTATATATCTGTAATTACACATAGCGGTGGACCAGTTAGTAACACTTGTCCTTAATTGTTACAAGCACGACTAGCAACGATTACATTTAATTTTTATTTTAACATTTGCGCCTACAAGTAAATGCCAATTAATCATTAAGATTATCGAATTAGTCGCCGAAACGCGTTCGGAAAAAAGAACGAACGTTAAAAATTAATCTATAGGCGGGACCTCGACACAGCTGCGCAATTTATAAGGAATGTAGACATAAATTTCTCGAATTTGTATAAAAATTTCACGCCCGGTATAGGAAATTCGATACGTGCGTCGACACAAAACGCGTCAAATGACTTCTCCGCCTCTCGAGATTTACAGACGTCGCAAAATGGTCAATAATTTGTCGGAAAAGGAATAGGCCAGATGTTCGGGATCAATTTATTAAAAATATACCTTTAAATTTTTAACTAACCTTCCGAAAACGCGAGAAACCACATTTTTACGTAAAATTAATGTCGTCGTGAACTTTATGATAATTTAGAGATTACGAATCGCCGATTGAGGCCATATGTGAAACAATAATTGAGCAGACGATAAAAGCAAAATACATTAAAAAACTAATTAATCTTATTATAATTAAAATCTCAACTTTTTTTTGAATTCCGACGTTAAAAATTAACCAAAGATTCTTGCATTTCTGGGAAAAAAAGTTTGTAGTGTTTTCATTCGAATTGGACATTTTTATGATTAAAAAAGTTGAAGTTGAAGTTGAACACATCATTTACAACCACCCTGTAACGAAGGCGTTGATTCTATGATTTAAAAAATGAACTGCTAAAAACGAGGACCATTTAATGCTGCTATTCGGCCGTCAAATAAGAAAAGTAAAATGGGATATGTAAAAATCTATATAATATAATAAATATAATCAGAGTAAATAATAGAATAATATATTATTACGCAATTAGTTATTATTAAAAATAAAATTAAAATAGTATTTTATTGTAATTAGAATGAAATTGTTTATTTCAGGGATTTAAGTAATTTAGAACAAAACGATTATTCCTAAAAACTTTGAGATCCTCGGAAACAAACAAGTTTGCAGATTTATTTTCTGCTGATAAATACGTCTTTCAGATCTTTGCATTGAAAACATACTGTATAAACGTTGGCTCGAAACGAAACGATAGAACAATGAAATTATTACGATTATAAAAATACACTTTCTGCATTTTATCCAACTTTTTTAGAATGAATTAGACGGGCTTGAAATAAACCACCCCTATTCCTTTTTTGTTACGAATTGA